AGTCCTTGCCTGTGAGGACTTCGAGAAATGCTTACTGAAGAGGGTGCCGTTGTAAAGATCAGGCTTGCAGACAGAGGGGACCCAACCAGAAAGACTGTGTGGGTCAACATATGTTTTATACAAGCAAGCTGCCGTCGGAGGCTGTGAGTGCAGCGATCAGGCTGTGCAGCAAACAGACTTGGAGATGAATTTTTTCTCCCCCTTTTACTAGTGGTGTTGACCACAGACAAGTCAGCCAACCTTTCCAAGCCTTGGTTGCCTTGTCTGTAATATGAACATACGAGTGATATTTATACCTCATGGGGTTGTTGTAGGGATTTAACTGGACATGAATATAATTCATATTGTCCCTAGCACATAGCAAGGGCTCTGTAAATGTGAACAATGATCATGATGATGATGATAATCGGTGGCCACACTTTAATTCCAAGGAATCTTGATAAAGAACAGGCCTACCTCTCCAGTCCCCTTCTGGTCTCCAATCAACTTAAACTTAGGCATTGAACCAATGAACAAGTGGCGCTCTCTGGGTCCAAGAAGAGGCCCCTGAAAACAGAAGGGGATTGGCGTCCCACACAGTGACAGAGTGGGGAGTCATTTGGAACCGGAAGCAGCGGCAAAATGTTAATTGTCTCCTTATGAGACAGGCTGAGCCTCTCTTATATGGATGGGAATGTCCTCCAGTTACTTCTTGAGCCTCTTCTAGATAAGATGAAGGTTTCCCTTTGGGTACTCCCCAAACCAATGTGTCTGAACCTGTGCCAGTCGATGCCAGCCCACGGCGGGAACCTGGAGAACAGAGATCCGCTCTGAGCCTGAGCAAAGAAACCCAGCGCTTTATAAGTCAGACCCAGGAGCGGTCCGGGGAGCCATACTCTGTCAGTGTGCGCTCCCTTGATGCCTCAAGCACCCTCTCTCTCCCAGTTTTTAGTAAACCTCTTCTCTTTTGAATCTGTTTCACCTCCTCTCTTGATTTCTATCCCGAAGGGGTGGTGCAACAACTACTCTGATGGTGACACTTACGGTGGGCTAGGGGAGTCACGTGGTCCCCAGAATCAGAATGGATTGAGGGATGGGCAAGATACTTTCAATTACATCTTCCACTGACTCCTCAGACCCTATGTGGTCTATTAAGGTTTCTGTTTTACTTATGAAGGAACGATGAAGTAACTGGCCCAAGGTTACATAGCTAGGAAGTGGCTGGGCAGGATTCTAGTTCAAGGCCACCCTCCCACCTCCAGTCCAGTCTGTCTTGGCCTGTCTTGGCCTGGTTGAGCTAACGAAGTGGGGGTGGGCTCAGAAGTCCATCAGATGGACTGTCCCAGTGGCTCTCTGGAGTCTGTCCGCTCCTCTCCTGCACACTGCATGGTCTGGGCGTCTCCCATGGGGACTGTCTCCTTGTCCTCTTCCTCCCATCTGAGCTCACACCCAGGCAATGAAACACAGTTGACCATGTTCTTCCATGGTGTAAAACCCTTCCACTGCCCACAGGCCTGCTTCTCACATTGGCCGGTGACCCCAGCAGAGGAGGTGGCCATCTTAACGTTGTGGGTTAAGCCTCACAGCGGATGTGTGTGCGTTGGTGGCGAGCGGAGTATCATTCTTCACAGAAAAAGTTTCACTGGCCTCAAAGATGAAGAGAAACCTGCAGCCTGGTCCAGCAGGCCCTGTCATACTGGCATAACTGCCCTCCTGTGGTGCTTTCTCCATATCTGAGTGTTCTTGTGCTCCGGTCAGAACAATCTTGAAGCCTTCTTACTTACAGCCAGTTCTGACTTACTGCCCCCTGACTAGAATGTCTTTCTATCTCCCCTTTTCAGCCTAGGAGGCTCCTAGTCCAATTCCCCTCCTCCTAGAAGCCCTCCTTGATCCCACCACCCCCATCCTTGCAGTGCTGCTGCCTCAGCATCTTGCTTTCCCCTCTTCACAGCTTCCTACCTCAGGCTGTTGGGACTACCATTTTGAGAGGCAACCTCTCTCCAGGAGGTTATGAGCAATGAGGTCAGGGAGTTTACCATTAACTCTGCCTTCACTTGTCCACACACACTGGGAGCTCCTCTCTGTGGCCAGCATGGGCTCTGCATGCAGGAATGACTCAGGGTGTCCTCAGAAGAGCTCCAGTCTAAGGCAGAGACAAACCATCCATTCATTTATTGATTGATCTACTAAAACGACAAACAAAAAGCAAAACACTTTGGTAATCCCACATCTGGGCCAGGCTCTGTGTTCCAGGTACAGAAAAGAGCAAAACCTGTGCCTGTCCCGGGGGATCCCAGCCTGATCAGGGGCCAAGGGAAACCATTAAGTGCATGGTGTGTCCCCTGGGCTGGGGAGCACCAAGGCAAGTGTAGGGTCCTTTTCTTTTGTTTTAAAATGACAATGAATAATTTGTTCTGTGGGATTTTTTCTTTTTTCCTGTCTTAGGGAACTTGTAGAGTTGTAACTATGAGTGAACTCTATAAATCAAGGCACCCAGTAAATGACTGATCAACTGATTGATTACATGTTAGACAAGAAGTTGCAAGCAATGATAGGGCTGCATTCTGGGTCTCCACCACCCTGGACTTCCTCAGTGGGGAATAAATTTACTCTGACCATGGCTGGCTTGAGCAGGCTCTGCAGCTCCAGGCTATAGAGCCTCCTGCAAACTTGAAGTAAAATGCAGCAGTTCTCAGCCTCCCTCCCAAGGGGGTCGTGAGCATTAATTAGTTACCATTGGTAAAGTGCTCTGAAGATGTGGGGTGTATAAACACAGCAAGTCATTAGGCCGCTCCACACCACTATGCTCTACAGCCTGGGAACTGCTCATTGAGAAATAATTAACACCTCAGGGTGCAGAGGATGGATGCTGGTTTTTTCAGGATTAGAAAGGATGTAATAATGTGCACGGGGAGTAGGGAGAACTATAAGTCTACTTTGGATCCCGAAATATACTAAAGGTTATTCATCTCCTGCCTCCAAGGAGGAAGTATAAGGAATATTGCCTCAGTAAAACCTTTGGGACTGCACTCCTTGGGGAAAAAGCCTCAGCCACAGTGCTGGGCCACAGAGGCTGAGCCACACTCTTAAATCAATAGAGCTCAGGTCCAGCCCGGTCACTGTGGCTCAGCAGTTAAGTGTCAACCCATGCACCAAGAGGTCGCCGGTTCGATTCTCAGTCAGGGCACATGCCCAGGTTGTGGACCTGATCCCGAGGGGGTCATGCAGGAGGTGGCCAGTGAATGTTCTCTCTCATCGATGTTTCTATCTCTCTCTCCCTCCCCCTTCCTCTCTCTCTAAAAATCAATAAAGAAAAAAAAGAGCTCAGGTCCAGGCCTACGCTGTCTGACCTCCTAGCTGGTTGGGCACAGGGCAGTTGTGGTCCATCCAAGCTGTGTTTTCTTCAACTGTAAGACTGAAATGATAGCATGTTTCCACCATCTCCCCTATCCCCCCAACCGGTTGTCTAGTGCCTTTTCTTGAAGCCAGCAAATCCAACCTGGCTACACACTAGGATCTGAGGGACTATAAAGTACTGATGCCCAGGCCCACCCAGATCAATAACCAGCATCTCAGGGCTGGGCCTGGGTGCATACGAAGATTCCAGTGCAGTCAAGGTTGAGAACCACTGCTTTGGCCCAGGAGTGTATTAGAAGTGGTGGGAAAAGAAACTGTAGACCCTAGCACACACCATGCTTCCCTCACACCTGCTCATCATTTCCTGATTCCGTGCCTGTGAGTGTCCTGGTCCCTCTGCCTGGACATTCTACTCCATTCCCACTGGCATTCTTGTCCTGGTAAACCCCATTCATCCTTCAGGCTCACCTCCAAGCTCACCTCCTCAGTGAAGCCCTCCTTCCCAGCATTCCTACAGGAGGTTTCTCAGCGCCCATTACACCTCTGATCACACTGTGTTGTTCTTGGCAGATCCTGGGTGAGCTAAGAGGTTCTTGGAGCCACTATCAGAATCACCAGTGTATTACATTGGGTCTGGTACATTTTAAGCACTCAATAAACTATAGCTGTTATTACTTAGGTGGCATTCTACGATACGAAGCTCCCACCTCAGTACGTCTGCATTTGTGCCCAGTGTCTGGAACATTGTTTCCTCAGATTTCTGCAAAGTTCTCTCATCTCCTTCAGGTCTTTGCTAAAATGAGACCCTCTCAATGAGGCTTTCTTGATCATCCTATTTTAAATTGCAACCACTTGACTCCAACCTATGCCCTTCCCTAATTAATTTTTCTTCATAGTATTTAACAGCATCTGACTGATAGATCCTGTCTTTACATGACATTTTGATAAGTTGTTCACCATGGACTTTGCATTAATTTTTAAATTAATTGCGTGAAAATGCTACTTCTCTTGATTACTGAGTCCTTTGGCCTCCCCTTAAGTTTCATTGTATTTGTTTCTCGACTAGAATGTAAGCTACATTGACTATAGAGAATTTTGTTTGTTTTTGTTCACTATTCTCAGTTTCTGCAACAGTGGTAGCTGCTCAAAAAGTATTTTGAGTTAAAGACTAACTTAGTGTCTTAAAGGCTGCCTTTTTCCAGTTGTTTAACATTTTAAATTTTATTTAAATTGAAAGCCTGTAAAATCATAGGGTAGATTTTAAAGAACGCGGCCCACTTTTGTCATGGTTACACTTTTGCCGTCGGTTCCCCGCGTCCGAGAGTGCGGCGGGCCCTGGCAGTGGGAGGGAACACCAGATTCAAAACCTGGGAAAAAGGCTTTGACCATAGAGTTACACCTCTGTATATCCTAGAGAGCACTTCCGGGACGGTGATTTACTCACTGCGGTCCGGGCCAATCTTTGATCTTGGGAAGAGCCGAGTTCTCTCGCCTTAGCCGAGCTTCCGGAAAACCATTCGCTGTCTATAAGATGGGTGGGGCTAGTCCCCTCATCGCAGCTTGTGATTGGCTATAAAGGCGGGAGGCGGGGCTTGGGAGGGCACTCCCTCCTCCCTCCCGCCCGCTCCCGGCGCAGGCGTGCTTGTCCGGCGCGGCGGTGTTGCAGACGGCGTTGTCTGGGGCTGCACCTGGTGAGCGTGGGTGACGGCGAGGGCTGAGGAACGGGCTGGGGGCAGCAGAGTTAAGAGAGGGCTTCGGGCGCGTATACCTAGGACCCTGCTGTTCGCCTTCTCACGTGCGTCCCGTCTTTGGGTTCGGGCAGTGTCACATAAACTTTTGAATAATACTTTTTTCCTGGTCACAGTTTCCTCCGTGGAAAATTGAGGTCAGGACTTCCTCCCCGTCTACCTCAGGTTGTTGTGAGTGTCACAGTGTCCCTGGAAATGTCAGCCCTGGAAAGACCCTCTGGGATCACCTGGTGGCTGAGCCAATCTTCCCATTTTACATATGGGAAAACAGGTCCGGAAAGTGGAGTCCTTTGACCGAGTCACCGCTGACGACCGAGCCAGTTCTTAGAACTAGGTTTGGAGTTCCACTGCTGTTTTATGCAGCACGGTCCGTGATGCAGACTTAGTGGGAATTGGAGGCCCTGTGCTCAAATGCCGAGTTGCTTGACACCATGACTTCCCGTCTCTGAGCCTCCCTCTCTGTGAGCTGGGCATAATGATAATAGCAAACACTTTATGGCACTAGTAAGTATACAAGCACTTTTATAAGCACTTTATGCATAGCTCCCCTGCTTGGATTGCAGGGCCATTGTGAGCCAAAGAACCTTAAAAGGGGCCTGTGCTGGAGGGACACAGTAGGTGCTCTAAGGAAGTTATGGATTGAATGACAGAGCCTCTTTACCAGAGTCTGTGGTGCAAGACACATTAGTTACTATATTGCTTTCAAATATTGTCTGTGGAAAAATGAAGATACAGCCTGGTTGGTGTGGTTCAGTGGTTGAGCGTCGACCCATACACTAGAAGGTCGCTGGTTCGATTCCTGGTCAGGGCACATGCCTAGGTTGTGGGCCTGATCCCCAGTGGGGGGCATGCAGGAGGCGGCCATTTGATGTTCTCTCTCATCTATGTTTCTGTCTCTCCCTCTCACTACCTCTTTCTCTGAAATTAATGAAGAAAAACAAATTAAAAAAAAAACAAAACCAAAAAGATACAATTATTCTCCTGTTGTTGTAAACTGAAGGGTCTAAGGACAGGCACTCATTTGGGGCTGGGGACAGAAGGCTTAAGGTTATTGAAATTATCCAGCTAGCACCTCTTCACTTTGCTCTTTATTTACTAATATATTTGATCAACAGACATAATTCATTATAGCCTAAATATTAGACATTGCCATAGGCCCTGAAATCTAAAATTGCATAAGACCCCATGAACTCACAGTTTAATGGAGGAATTGGGTATGAAACATTGTTCACTCCCAATGCCTGACACACAGCAGTTGCTCACAAATATGTTTGAAAATTTTCCAGTACAGTCTACTATGAAGAGGTTTGTGCAGTGGGGGCCCAAAGAAGAAAGTGACTATCTCTATTTGGAAGAGTTGGAGAAGGCTTCTTGCAATAAGTGAATTTTGACGAATTGGAGTTGCCAGGGTGAAGTTGGCCTATTCTGGGAATGATGAGAAATTTGGGGCATGTTAGGGGACTGGTAGGATAAGAAGTTGGAAGACATGTGTTGGAATCAAAATATGAAGAAGTTTGGTACCAATCTGAGAAAGTGGTGGTGGGAGCATTAATGGATTATAAACAGGAGAGATTAAGTCAGTATATCTGTAATATGGAGACTGGACAGACAGAAATAAAGAATTATTCACTTTATTCATTGATAGACATTTATTGAATGTCTGCTATATCCTGACACAATGCTGGATGTTGCAGGTATAACAAAATAGACATGTTCCAACAAAATAGACATGGTTACTGCCCGCATGGAGTTCACAGCCTAAATCAGAGTGGGTGAACAGTTAGGTTTTTGTAGTGGTTCTCCCATTGTGGTCCCTGGACCAGCAGTGTCAGCATCACCTGGGAACTTGCTAAAAATACATGGTCTCTGCCCACATCCAGCCCTACTGAATCAGAAACTGTGGGGGTGAGGTCTCATTGTCAGTAGTTTAACAAGCCTTCCAGGTGATTCAGATGCTCACTTAAGTATCAGAACCACTGGTCAACTGTAATGTAACAAATGGTATTGAGGAGCTAACCCAGCGGTTCTCAACCTGTGGGTCGTGACCCATTTAGGGGTCGAACGACCCTTTCACAGGGGCCGCCTAAGACCACCGGAAAACACATATTTCCGATGGTCTTAGGAACCGAGACACCGCTCCTCTATCCGTCTCTAGGAGGGTCCGCCCACATGCAGATACGCCCACACTCAACATGAGGAGCTGTATTAAAGGGTGGCGGCATTAGGAAGGTTTACAACCACTGCTGCTAACCCAAGGCTGAAGCAGTAAGGGTGAGAAAAAAGGGGGTGGACTTGAGAGAAATCTTGCAGACAGAGTCATTTGCTTTAGGAGGGGCCAAGGGTGAAGGCATTTCTGGCTTGGACCACTGGCTTGAGGTAGAACCGCAGGTGATGGAGTCACGTGTCAGCCACATGTTCCTTGCCTCTAGGACCCATCAGGCAGACACACTAGGACTGTAGCAGTGCCTCCCAACCTTTTTCAGGCCATAGGCTACATAGGAAATGATAATGTCTGTATGGCGCACAGGGGAAATGGAGGAAGCTGCCTGAGGTTGGAGGTGACGAGCTGGAGGACTTGAGGCTGGAAGCTGGAGGTAACCACATTGGAATTCCAGCTTCCCAGTGCTGAGAGGGATCAGTAACCCCTTCTCACATACTGCAGGGGAGCTTTGCTCCATGGGATATGCTGAAAATCAGAGGTGCTCACTAAAGTTGACGATATAAATCAAGAACCTTGGAAGTTTATAACCTTTGACTCAGTAATTTCATTCCCAAAAAACTCTCTTCCAAATATATAACAAAATAAAACCTGTTCATTGTAGATTATGTATAAAGGAGAAAACCAACAACTCTCTAGTAGTAGGAGAATCATTCCTGATATAGTCAATCAATGAAATCTTATACTCTCATTAGAAATGTGTGAATATTTGGTAAAATAATAGAGAAACCTATGTGCTCATTCGTCAGACAGTGTCTAGCAAGCCCCTGCTGTGTGCTCAGTGGAGAACAAGTTAGATGTAGTCCTTGCCTGCACAGAGCAGAGCGCCTGGGGGAAGACAGGCAGCTCGTTGAGCAGCAACTCCAAAGAGTGACTGGTGTTTGGTGGGGGTGAGTGGGCTGCTGCAGGAGAAGCTGGTCTTTGGGGCATAGGGAGAGTGATGGTAATCCCTGAGGCCTGGAGAATGGTTAGTGTGGGTACGCAAGCGGGACAGTGTTTAAAAGTGAGCATGCTGCAGCTGCAACACAGAGAGGGCAATGGTGAGAGGAAGCCGGAGGAGCAGCAGCCAGCTCACATGGGGCCATGGGCACCATGAAGGTCAGACGCTTAGACCCGATTCTGAGGGTTGCAGGAAGCCGTTGGAGGACTTTAAGGAAGAAAAACTGTTGCAAGTTTTAGAAGAGTCCCTTGTGGCTGCAGCGTGGAGAATGGATTGGAGGAGGGGATGGAAGCCCAGTGAGGAGGCTGTTGGAATAACCACGTGAGATGATGGTGGCCTGGACCTGGGTGGAGGCTGTGGAAGTGGAGAGAAGGAACCGATTGAACAGCAAGTGAAGAGGTAGGAATGACAGGGCCAGAGGGTTGGTGTATGTGTGACATGCGATGGGATGGATGAACGCGGGTTTCTGGTTTGGGCGAAGGGTGGCTTGTGGTGTCATTCAGAGTGATAGGCAGCATTGCAGAGTGGCGGGTTTGGGGACAAGGTGCCGAGTTCCTTCTGAGGTGCTGAGTGAAGTGCAATGTGTTCTCCAGGAGGCAGTTGGATAGGTAGGTATGAAACAGGAGAAACAGGTACGGACGGGGTGTAGTGCTGACCTGGAGCCATTAGCATGCAGCCTAACCAGGGAGTGTGTATGTGAGGAGAGAAGAGCACAGATATTTGACATTCAAGGAGGGTGGGCAAGGACAGGGCTGACAAAAAAGTTAAGGGATCCCCAGCTGTGGTCATCTGTGAGCCGAGGGATTATAGTTGCTTTCCTTTTCTTTTTTATTTGTTTGTTTTTTTTAACCCAGTTTTCTATAACAATAGCAAACGTTGATTGAGCTCAGATAATGTGCCAGACACTGTTCTGTTAACTTTTTATAACTCTTCTAAATTCCCACAATGAACCTATAAGGTAGGTCCTATTGTATTACCATTTTACAGATGAAGAAGCTGAGCACAGAGGGGTTAAGACACACATCCCAAGTTGCACAGGGTGCCGTCGGCAGGCAGCCCTCCTGGAATTGAGGCTGCCTGGCATCAGAGCCTGTGCATTCGCCACCTGCTGTGTCTCTCCACAGAATGCTGTTACACTTTTGCATGTGGGGAGATACTGATTTCTTTTACATGGCAGGAAGAGGTAAGGGAAGTAGTACTTGGATCTGCTAGGATATTCTAAATGAAAGGATTTGCATTTGCAGAATCAGCACTGTCTTAGAAGTTTGTTGGTGGCCAGACTGAGCTGGCTACTCCAAGGTGTCAGTCACAGTTAACGTTTGTTTCTGCACCATTCATTTTCCTCCAGGCCCAAGTGCTTCCCGGTGCCCGGGTGTCATGGAAAGGCTGCTGACGAGATGCAGAGCTCTGCCCGTGCCGGCCACCTGCAACCACCAGCTCTCTGGGTATATTCTCCGCAGGTTTCCCCACTGTGCCCCAGGGAGAGGGAAGCGCTTGGTGCTGTCCCGCATGTTCCAGCCCCAGAACCTTCGGGAAGACCAGGTGCTCTCCCTGGAAGGCAAATCTGATGACCTGACCTGTAAGAGCCAGCGGCTGATGCTGCAGGTGGGCCTGATCCACCCAGCAAGCTCTGGCTGTTACCACCTTCTGCCTTACACTGTCCGTGCCATGGAGAAGCTGGTGCGGGTGATAGACCAGGAGATGCAGGCCATTGGTGGGCAGAAGGTCAACATGCCCAGCCTCAGCCCAGCAGAGCTCTGGCGAGCCACCAACAGGTGGGACTTGATGGGCAAGGAGCTGCTAAGACTTAGAGACAGACACAGCAAGGAATACTGCTTAGGACCAACTCACGAGGAAGCCATTACAGCCCTGGTTGCCTCCCAGAAGACACTGTCCTACAAGCAGCTCCCGTTCCTACTATACCAGGTGACACGGAAGTTTCGGGATGAGCCTAGGCCCCGCTTTGGTCTTCTCCGTGGCCGAGAGTTTTACATGAAGGACATGTACACCTTTGACTCCTCCCCAGAGGCCGCCCGGCAGACCTACAGCCTGGTGTGCGATGCCTACAGCCGCCTGTTCGACAGGCTGGGGCTGCAGTGTGTCAAGGTCCAGGCAGACGTGGGCAGCATCGGGGGCACAATGTCTCACGAGTTCCAGCTACCAGTGGATATCGGAGAGGACCGGTTTGCTGTTTGTCCCAGCTGCAGCTTCGCAGCCAATGTGGAGACTCTAGACTTGTCACAGATGAACTGCCCTGCTTGCCAGGGCCCACTGACCGAAACCAAAGGCATTGAGGTGGGGCACACGTTCTACCTGGGCACCAAGTACTCCTCTGTTTTTAATGCCCAGTTTATTAATGTCCATGGCAAACCTTCCCTGGCTGAAATGGGATGCTATGGCTTGGGTGTGACACGGATCTTGGCTGCTGCCATTGAGGTTCTCTCCACAGAAGACTGCATTCGCTGGCCTGGCCTCCTGGCTCCTTACCAAGTCTGCCTCATCCCCCCAAAGAAGGGCAGTAAGGAGGAGGCGGCTGCAGAGCTCACGGGCCCCCTGTACGACCACATCGCAGAGGCGGTGCCGCAGCTTCGTGGGGAGGTCCTTCTGGACGACAGGACCCATCTGACCATTGGAAACAGACTGAAAGATGCCAACAAGTTTGGCTACCCTTTTGTGATCATCACTGGCAAGAGGGCCCTGGAGGACCCTGCCCTTTTTGAGGTTTGGTGCCAGAACACTAGTGAGGTGGTCTTCCTCACCGAAGAAGCAGTCGTGGAGTTACTGAGCCACGTGCAGGTTGTCTGAATGCCCCAGCCCACCGCCTCCTGTCGTCACCTTGGAGTTCATTCAGCGCTGCCTTTCCCACACTCCTTTCTGGGGCTGGTCTCCAGAAACAGGGCAGCTCATGGACGATGAGCACGTGTTGGGGAAACCAATTTTTATGCAGTCATTTGTTCAAACTATTTGTATTTAAAGTCATTAACTTTGTCCCTTTCTCTGGACTGGCCATGCTGCCACATGCCATTCCTTTTATATCTCAGTGTGGAAGCTTCTGTGAGGAGGTAGGGAGGCAAGAAAGAGCAGACTTCTCATCTTGGCCCCCAGGCGAGTCACTGCCCTTCTCTCAGCTGGTTCCCATGTGTAGGTGGGAGTGGCTGGTGGCCGAGGCCTTCCCGGCTCCGGAGTCTGACCACAGGTCACTTGCTGCATGCAGTCTGGACAGCAGGCCCTCCAGCCCCCCTCCACTTGAACAACTCTTCTCTCCTTCTGGGGCCTCAGTTTCCCCATCTGAGACATGAGAAAATGGGACTAGATCTAAAAGTCCTTAACGGCTGTCTGTCACTGGCTGGTTCCACCAGAGGTTCACGACAGACAGATCTGGTTGCCCTGATCCTCCTTAGTCTAAGCCACACAGAAAGTTGATATAATCAGCTAATGACCCCAATAAACCTGACTCTATTGAAGTGGCTCTGCACTGAGATCATATTGCAGCAATTGAATAAAGTCAAACTATTGGGATAAGCTCTGCACATTTATTTGAAACAGTGGTAACATCTGACATCTTAATAGTGTTATGGTACCTTGTCTTGAGAGTCGTCTTTCCTTTCCTTTTCTACCATTTCTACACTCCGTCCCAAAAGGAAAGGAAGTGGTATCTGGGAAAGTGTTTTAAACTTTCTTCCCACAAATACCAAGGATAGCAGGCTTCAAGGGCCACTGTGATCTTGTCCTCAGTGCAGTGGGATCCTAGAGCCACGTCGGGGAATACTAAGGTCTTGCAGTTGATGGTCAGCTCCCGGAGGCCACGGTCTTGGCAGATTCCAAGCTCACTGCAGTTCTTATCTTGACCAGTTGTTCCACCTGCGCCACAACTTAAGCAGCTTGTTACTGCTGGAGTGACCCACCCCAAGCCCACACCATCACGTTCCCTAATTAAAGCATTTGGCAAGCCCTAGTCACTCCCAGGCCTACCACAGCTCAGGCCCAGCATTAGGCCAGGAGGTGTGGGTTCTGACAGTAACCTAGAAAGGCTGGATTGTGAGGCAGGAGCTTACCCTGGGCTGCACGTTGGAATCACCTGGGTCTTACTCAGCGAGGTTCTGACTGGGGTGTGGCCAGGTGTCAGCAATTTTAAAACTGGATGATTCTAATGTGCAAAGTCCATTGAGAGCTCCTGATGTGCAGGTAGTGGCCTTCCCTGAGCCCACTTTGTAGTTGAGCGTTTCTTTGAGTAACCTCAGTATTCATTATCAGACTGTGTGTGCTCACTGCTTTTAATGGTCTGGTTATTTATTTGTTGGGGTTCTTGCCATGTGCCACTGTGCTGTGAGGCCCTTTTATACACTGTTTTCAGACCTTGAAACTGTGCAGGGGAGGTGCTGTTACTCAGTTTACCAATGAGCAAACCTGAAGTTTGAGCAACCTACACAAGGATGCACAGCTCTTGAGTATCAGAGTGAGAATCCAAGCGTTGACCCACACCTATGCCCTCCACCATACTGCATGGCCTCTGCCTGCGCAAAAGCCATTTCAGTTAAAACTGAATTATGTCTGTCTAATGAAGTTAGCTTAAAATAGATGAGAAATTAGAATTCGTGCAAATAGTTGCATATATATTTAAATGTATGCTCCATAATCTTATGTATGGAAGGCTAGCCAAATGTAAGCCCTTTAAAAAACCAATTAATTTTAAACTTTCATAAATGTGCAACTTATGGAATGATTTGAGGATGGTATAGAATCGTGGAACTTCAGAGCGAGGGGAGAACTTGTAGTCTGCCTGTCCAACCCTCACTTCACAGATGGGAAAGAGGCCTGGGGTGGGAATTCACCTGCCACATACCATCTGACTGGAAAAAGGCCTGATTGCAGGCCAGGTGCTGCATCCCCTAAACGAGGCTACTCCCAGTCGATCTTACTGTACTGAAACAGGTCTGGCTGGATCAGCCTTGGAGCTACAAAAGCCTTGTAATATCAAATAGGTACCTGTCCTCTACTTTCCAAGGTAGACAAATACTGGAGTGCAGAGACTTGTCCAAGGGCAAATTGGACTGAAACCTAGGTGTCCTGATCACTAAGCCAGTGTTTCTTCTAGTAGCCAGGGGCAGTATAATTTGGTCGAAACATCAGAAGTGACATAATCCTAGATCCACCTCTAGGGCCTTAGACAAACTACTTGCCCTTTGTGTTTCAGATTCTTCATCTGTAAGATGCCCTCATGATGATGGTACCCACCTCCCAGTGTGGTCTGGAGGTTGGCTGAGCTTCCTTATATGAAATGCTTAACCTTAGTATGCTCTCAGGAAACACTTCCCTCATACCAGGCTTAGAATGCCCCCAGTGGGAGCTCAGGTGCTGCTGTTAACTTTGTGTCCAGCCCTGGATCTTTTTTTGATGTGATGCTTTACAGCCTTCCTGGGGAATGCCTCCAACAAGAACTAAGTAACGCCTGTGGAATGGTTCCATCCCCTTAGAGGAAAGATGGAAATATTCAAATTGTATACCCCCCTCCTTCCTGGACTTGCCAGTGTTAGCTCTTGCCATAATTGATGAAATGGAAATGCTGGCAGAATAACAGGGACAGGCTGTATTATCATTGCTCATTCCTTGGGGAGATCTAGAAGCAACTGGCTGGGAAATATTTAGCAGAATTAATACTTGGGGACAAAGGCTGATACATAACAAAACCATCGTGGAAATCAAGCTTAGGATGTAAATCAAGGAAGGGCTCCATTAATGTTCTTTGTCTTAATGGAAGAAACACCTGCTGGGCTACCCATAAAGGAGCTTTGCAGAAATCTGTTGAAATTGTCATTTCCTTAACTACCTGAGTGCCAGGCTTCTACACAGAGTTCCCACCATCCATTTCTACACCAAAGGGCCAGAATGCTTTTTAGAATGTGTTGTTAAGCATCCAAGGGCATGTAAAGCTTTGTTTTAGAGTTAGGAAAAGTTTTTATAATTGTGGATAGTTTTCTATAATGGGGCCAGGAAGCTGAAGTTCAGCCTCCATCCTAAGCCTGGCCGAGGCCATACTGAGCCATTCTCCCTTGCCCCCCAGCTAGAGACTCCTGCTCGGTTCTCTTTGTAAGAACTCAGCACTCAGTGTGAGGCCTGACATCCAGTTAGCAACAACCCCAGCAGGCATAAAATATTTGTATGATGTTATTGTAAACTTAGGGAGCATTTGAAGAAATGAAGTGGGTACAGGGAAACATTTTACAGGTGAAGTAGGCTCCCAGCACAGTCCCTTAGTCACAAGTCAACAGCCGCTAGAATCCTTCTTCTGGTCTAACAGTTTGCCATTCTGTCTTTTTTCTCTTTTCCACTTCTGCCTGCACCCCTACCTGGAGGGACGGGCAGAGACTAAAGGGAAGGGAGAGCAGAAGCTGGCCAATGACCTGGCCTGCCAGGAGCCTTATGGAAGGGCTGGGTGATGGGAATGAAGGTCATGTGATGACCCTTGTCAGGTGCATATCTTTTTCTTTTTCTCACCCAAGGATACTTTTCTATTTATCATCAGATAGAGTGGGAGGGAGGGAGGGAGACAGAAACATGGACGTGATAGTGACACATCAACTGGTTGCCTCCTGCACAACTCGACTGACCTAGGCCAGGGACAAACAGCAACCGAGATACATGCCCTTGAGCAGAATCAAACCTGTGACTCATTGGTCTGTGGGCCATCTTTTTAAATGTACAACCTGCTCTCATCTGGCATCTCCTAGCCTCAGCATCCTGAGGCATACTGGAACCCGCTTTGCTCCAAGACAGCGAGGTAGCCGGAGGTGGCTGCGACAGGGATCCCTGCAATGCCTGCTGGGGTTGTTGCTAACTGGATGTCAGGCCTCACACAGTTCTCTCTTACAAAGAGAACCGAGCAGGAGTCTCTAGCTGGGGAGCAAGGGAGAATCGCTCAGTATGGCCTCGGCCAGGCTTAGGATGGAGGCTGAACTTCAGCTTCCTGGCCTCAAGCTGCATGGTTCTTGGCAAATATTCCACAGCAAGTTGCCCTTCAAAGACAAGGAAGCACACAGCACAAAACCTCACAATAGTCTATTTTAAGGGCAACAACTGGTTTCAGTTTAATGGTGTATAAGTTAGCTTTGCTACAGTAATAAACCCCAAATCTCAGCACTGTTACTACAACGTCTTTCTCATTCATGTTCCAGTCGGTGCCTGCAGGGCAGCGGCTGGTCTGCTGCCTGTCTGACCAAGCTGGCACTAGGCTGAAGGACCGCCCGCTGGGGGACATGTTCTCATGGCAGAGGGGAAAGAACATGAACCTTCCACACCATGGCTCTCCAAGGAAGTACACCCCTCCCCGGGGGACCAGGTGAGCACTGCAAGAAGTCACATGGCTACAGGTAAGGACATATAAAACCCTTTAGGTACAACCTAAGACAATGACTCAACACGCAAAAAGGTTTTCCAGTTTAAAAGATACAAAATCCTGAAATGTGCACACTGGTGAAGAACGCAGAGTCCACTGTCTAAGTGTATCACATGTATCACAGTCCTCCATTTTTCAAAGATCAGAAAAATTGGCAAACCATTTAGGGGTCCTGGAGGATCCCAGATTGTAGGTGTTTATAGATACAGGGACAGGACCCGGTTTTCCTTGCCACATCTCACCCCAAGGCATCTACAGTACCCCCACAGGACAACCCTCTATGCTCATGAAATAACCAGAGGCCAGAGTCTCTCAGCTTTAATGCCTTAAAATTACATGCATGGTTTGTGTATATGTGCAGTTTGAGGGGTAGCATCGCTAAAGCCTTTAATTCCACAAAGGTTCAGAACCAGGCCACAAGATCCTGAGTCAGTCCAGTGAGTTCCTCGGTCAGTTGCTGTGGTAACTGCAACAGGCGGTCCCTTCAGAGATAAGGCTGTTGGTTAACACATCTCACAGTGAGTCCAAGGATGTCATCACCAAGGCACAGAGTTTTGAATCAGAGGCCTGACATTCAGTTAGCAAGAACCCCACTAGGAGGAGAGTGCAGACTACAGAGTCTGCAGCTCAGGAAGTCAGCAGCTCCTCTCCACCCACGATATGAGGAAGAACTGTCTCCAGGGTGACAGAAAGAATGTGCTGGATTCTAGGAGTTTGTCCAGCTGATTCAAGGATGCTGCATTCCAGACAGAAGATCAGAAAGGAGATCCAGGGGGCCTGGCTCCACAGCCTGGCTCGGTCACTTTATCTGGTGCACCTTTCTTCCCCGGAGATAATTTCTACAAAAAGGAGAGGATCCCACACAAACCAAAAATGCTGGTGTCAGGGCTTTTACAAAGTACCTGCAGTGAACACAAGAGAGAGGGGTTAATTGAATTGCAATCTTAATCATCCATGGACCTTCCCAACATTCAAAATGAACTTTTGGATGTGAGTCAACACTAAAATGCAAGTTTAGCACATTTATTTGTTTGGTTGTTTATAAATCTGGCAAATTAGCATGACCTCGCCCTCTTATAACCTAGCCAGAACCTTTGGGCCAGTCCTCTAGTGTTGAAAGTCGATGGCTAAACATGACATAAAACTACAAGGACATGCTTTCATTCATTCATTCAGTAGTGACTATCCAGGGTAAGCCAGGCACGTGCTGTAAATAGACAAAAAACCAAAACCACTCTCCCTGCTCTCAAGCCCTGGAGGGAAGGAGATAATCAATTCACAACAGCAAGGCACGACTGCAGAAACACTGGGAATATAGCATTAGCCCAAGTGGTATGGTTCCTTCTGTGGGAAAGGGGAATCAGAAAAGGCCTCCTGGAAATGTCATATCTGAGCTTGACTTTAATTTGGAAAAGGGGTCATGACGGGCGTGGGGGAATAGGCAGTGCAGGTCACCAGAATATTTGCTGTTGGGCATAAAGCAAATGGAGTAGGGCAGGTTGGAGAAACGGGCAAGGCCTGGGCCTCCCAGGTGGAGGGTTGTTAGCACTACCCAATGTGCTTAGATTTGGACAGAGGAGCCTGCATCTTAGCTCCACCCAGTCCAGGGTCTGAAGTTGCTGGAAACCTGTCCTGGATAGCGTCTTGCCTAGACCAGTCATTTATAAAGCAAATTTTACCTAAACAAACACCCTCTGTGGCTCCACACACCACTGTCAGAATAAAGGTCATGTTCTTTAGGCAGAACATTCAAGGGCTTCACAAATGGCCTTAACTTAGCTTTCCAGCCTCATTTCCCACCACACCCAACCACCTTCATTCCCATAACACAGTAGCCTAAATGCAAGAACATTTGTTTTGCTCAAAGCTCAGGGTAAAGTAGTCCAAGAGTCAACTTATACATCTACTGAGGGCAGTCTTAAAATTTTTTTTTTCTTTATTGATCTTGAGAGAGAAACATTGATGAGAGAGAACATCGACTGGCTGCCTCCTGCATGTCCCCACTGGGAATTGGGCCCACAACCTGGGCATGTGCCCTGACCGGGATCAAACTGATGACCTCCTGGTGCATGGGTCGATGCTCAACCACTGAGCCCCACCAGAGAGGCGAGGGCAGTCTTTATAGTCCAGGATCACCCCAAACCAGAAGAAACTGACAACTGCCAAATCCAGCTGGCTGCTATTGCTATGAATGAAGGCGCTTTCTGAGAGCAAGAGCACCCTTTCGAGTTTACAAAAGGAATTTGTCTCCTACTCCCTCACCTGCTCTCAAATACCTGCGAAATATGTGGGAAGAGTCGTCATTCCCATTCTAGAGACGAGGAAATTGCCTGAGAGGCAGTGTGTGCTTCGAGTCACACAGCCAGGGAATGATGGTGTCTGACCTCAAGAGCCAATGCTCGTTCCATCCCAGCTGTCTTCGGGTACAAACACCAGGAGCTTTTCCCTCCTCAGACCAGTCCCATTCACTTCTCCCAGGCTGAAGGGGCAATGAGCTGTCATCACACTGCCACCTGTTTGGCAAATGACTGGGCCAGTCTCCATGGCTGCCATCTCACAGTTTTGTGTCCAGGGCAGAGGGCAGGAAGTGTGAGGCAATTAGCAGTGGACGGAGAACCTGGCCGCATCCCTGAGGGTGGGTGAGCATCTTTCCTGTTCTCAGCCCCATGAAGTGACTCACCTGGGGTGCTGTAGCACCTGCAGCAGGGTGCTCTTGGGAGGCACCCGGTACAGTTCTGCCCTGTCCTCGTCCTCAAAGTAGACCTGCAAGATTAACGGGGGAGCAGGAGTGAGATGCAAACAAACGGCTGCAGCAGCACCAGGCATGTGGAGGCCAAGTCCAGGGAAAAGTTAGAGAGAAGGTGACTGTTGTTAGCTGGATGTCTCCCGTACAGAGTTACAGAATATAAAGCACTCAGTCCTCCCCCAGGATACTAAGAAAGGTATCATCAGCTCCATTTTCCAAAGACACAACCAGACTCAAAGAAGGGAAGTGACTCACCCGTGAAACCCAATCAGTAAACAGAGGAGCTAAGACTCATATGAGGTACCTAAAGTAGTCAAGTTAATAGAGACAAAGTAAAATGGTGGTTTCTAGGGGCTTGAGGAGGGAAGAAATAGGGAGTTAGTACTTAATGGGTACAGAGTTTCAGTTTAGGATGATGAAAATGGAGATGGAGTCCTGGCTAGTTTCTCAGTGGTTAGAGCATCGGCCCTCGAAATGAAGGGTTGCAGGTTCGATTCTGGTCAAGGGCATGTACCTGGGTTGCAGGTTCGATCCCTGGCCAGCCCCAGTCAAGGTCATGCAGGAGGCAACCAACTGATGTGTCTCTCACATCGATGTTTCTCTCTTCCTCTCTCCCTTCCACTCTATCTAAAAATCAATGGAAAAATATTCTCAGGTGAATTAAAAAAAGAAGATGACCCTGGCCGGTTTGGCTCAGCAGTTAGAGCATCTGCCTGCGGTCCAGAGAGACCCGGGTTCGGATCCCGCTAAGGGCACATACCTCGGTTGCAGTTTGTCCCTGGCCCTGGTTGGTCGTGCGGGTGGCAGCCACTCAATGTGTCCCTTTCATGTCGATGTTTCTCTCTCTCTCTCTCTTCCCCTCTCTCCCTCCCACTCTATCTGAACAAAAACTGGAAAAATGTCCTCAGATGAGGATAAAAAAAGAAGATGGATAGTGGCAAGGGTTGTGTAATAATGTGAATGTACTTAATGCTACTGAACTATAATTAATAATAATTACATATATAATAACTATAATTAAAAATTTATATTTTATGGTAAATATACAGAACATAAAATGGTAAATCTTATATTCAGTATATTTTACCATAATTTTTTTTAAAGCAATGAAACCCCAGCCCCCTCACCTCAAAATATTCCACAGAAGAACAAAATAAAATTTCTCTTACCTCTAAATTATCAGGGCAATATTTGTGCTCCAAGTCCCAAGAGGGTCTTTCACCAAACATCACCATTATATGATCGATAAACCTAAGGATATAACATGTCATTTCTGGATATCAATAACTTATGATCTACTTCCCCACATTACAGTCTCTAGACACCAAATCACAGCGATATCGAGAATGTATAAAACATGAAATGCAGATGTAAGCCATTTTGATAACAGTGCCCAAAATGTGTACGTGTATCACTTGTCCTATTATGATAGTCATTTTCTTTCATTTGTTTTCTTTAAATTAATTTAAAGTAATTTTTCTTTACATTTAAGCCTGACTCATGCTTAAAAACATTCCTCATGTTTGGCCACATTCTAAGCATTAACCCTAGGAAATCACATGTTAAAACTGCTAGTTATAGTTTTCCTAATAAATATATACTTAAATCACTATGCATACTACCTACAATGATTCCGTATCCCACCAGATATGTACAAACATTGTACTGTGGCATTCCACTTACTAGCCCCATCAGTACAATGGTGAGAATGTGTCTTTCACTGCAAAGCTAGTTAGCAAAGGGAGGAATCAGCTATAGAGACTATGCCAAACCCAGACTGAAACCTTCTACACTGTTCTCTTCTCTCAATCAAAAATCCACCGTCCCTCCTGCAGAGACAACAGGAAATGAGCATGCAAGCAGGAGCAGAGGGTTCCTGGGCAAGTAAGTACCTGGAGTCCTCATGAAAAGCAGAGATGAAGTCCGATTGGGCATACTCCGGGTACAGAAAGAGCACAGGCCAGCTTAGTCTGCCCTGGTCATCTACACTCAGCCTGGCTCCATACGGGTTCTCAAAGCTGAGCCCATCCAAGAGTTCACTTAGACCTTCTGAGGCTGAGTCTTCATCCTCACTGGCAGCTTCAGAGACTAGCCTGATGTTCCTAGCCTGGGGTAAAGACAGAAATATACAGAAACCTTATTGTTTAAAAGGATGCAAACCCATTTCACTAAAATAGGGAAACCACAACACTGCAAGATTCCTGATTCATCTTCATTATGCCTGAGGACTAGCACATAGTAGGCATCACTTGTTTAACTCAACTTCCCTGGACATCTACCACAACAGAGACAAGCTAAGGCCCGGCTGGTGTGGCTCAGTGGTTGAGTGTCAACCCATGTACCAAGAGGTCGCCGATTCGATTCCCGGTCAGGGCACATGCCCAGGTTGTGGGCCAGATCCCCAGTGGGGGGCATGCAGAAGGCAGCCAATCCATGTTCTCTCTCATCAATGTTTCTATCTCTCCCTTCTCTCTCTAAAAAAAAACAATAGAGAAAAAAATGTTTAATAAAAAAAGAGATGAGCTAGGCATAGTTCCCACCCTCAAGACCCTGTTCATGGTCTAAAGGGGAGATAGCTATGGAAATAAGTACAATATACGGTTAAGAAGTAAAGCTGTGGAACTCAGCTGTGAATAATTAATTCAGTCTGAGGGCTGGAGGTGGCTGGGAAATGGTAGGCCTTAAATACTTTGAAAGGCAGAGAAGTAGGGGTGGGAGAAAGTGGAAGGGCATTCCACCCCAAGGAACAGCCTATGTGCAAAGGCACAGAAAAGATCACTTCTGGTCAAGATGGCGGTGTAGGTGAATGCAGTACTCACCTCCTCCCACAACCACATCAAAATTACAACTAAACTACAGAACAACCATCATTCAGAACTGCCTGAAATCTAGTTGAATGGAAGTCCCACAACTACGAAATTAAAGAAGCCACACTGAGACTGGTAGGAGGGGCTGAGGCACAGATGAGCTGGACCCACACCCATGTGTGGAGGATACCTTGGCTGTGAAGGTCCTCCCTGAGGAGTGAGGAGTCCCTGTCCAACACTAGGCCCCCCAGCTCAGGGTCCAGTACCAGGAAGAGAAGTCCCCATAACTTCTGGCTGTAAAAACCAGCAGGAACTGAGGCTGAGGGAGGATGAGGCTGCTGGAGCCCCAGGCAGTTCTTGCTCAGACTGGCATCCTCCAGGCTCCAGCACTGGGGGAGCAGCTTGAAAGGCACCAGAGACATAAGGGGAAGAACTGAGTTGTTTGGCTTTGGGGCAAGAGCTGGAAGGGCAGCTTTCTCCTGGACAGACTTGCTGTCGGAGGCCGTTTGTTGTTCCTTTGGTGAGCCCTTCCCCTGGGCGGCATACGCCACCAAATCTGGGACTCCAGCAACCTGGCTCACACTATTTGCCCCTCCCTCGTGATTCCCTGAGGCCCTGCCCCAATGAAATTTCAGCCCCACCCAAGCTGTTCCCAGTGGCTTTACCATATGGTTTGGCCTGTCTTGATCCTGCTTCAGATTTTCCTAAAATCTCAAACAAGCAGCATCTGGTCTTAGCGAACCTCATACCTCTCATTAAGTGGCCCCAGGCCTGGCACTAGAAGCAGCCAGCCTTGGTTCACAACTTGGCTTTTCCTGGGCACCTCCAAGCCCAGCACAAGCAGCAGCCATCTGCAGATCACTGTAGCTTATGCCTGGTGGCCCCGGGTAGGACGCAGGCAGTGGCTGGCCTTGCCCCAGAGCCATCACACCCAGTGGAACAGCTTCAGACCACATAGAAACTTCACCACCCAACCACCTCCACAAGTGACACACTCAGTGAGTGGACTCGGGGCACCAGAGCACTGCTGAAGTAAGTCTTGCTCTGTGTGGTGGGCCCCTGCACAGCTGATCATCCAAGGTAGTCAAAGGTTGGTGGATAGTGGACACAGCCAGTTCTTGCAGCTGATCAGCCTTGAGTAAATCCCTGCCATGGATGTGCCAACAGAAATCAAGATTCAATTACAACAGAAGGGTGTACAGTCCACACTAGGGGTGCACCTCAAGGGCCCAGCTGGGGTGATCAGGGAAGCTGTGCCACTGGACCCTATAGGACACCTACTACAATAGGCCACCCTATGAAGCCTAGGAGACATAGCAACTCTACCTAATACATAGAAACAAATACAGGGAAGCAGCCAAAATGAGGAGACAAAAAAAACATGTCCCAAATGAAAGAACAGAATGAAACTCTAGGAAAAGAACTAAACAAAATGGAGATAAGCAATCAATCAGATGCAGAGTTCAAAACACTGGTTATAAGAATGCTCAAGGAACTTAGTGAGAACTTCAAGAGACTTAAGGAGGGGAGGGGGAATCAGTGGGGGGGAAAGGAGAAACATCTGTAACAAAAATTAATTAATAAAAAATAAATAAATTAAAAAAAAAGAGAGAGAGAGAGACTTAAGGAGAACTTCAAGGGACTTAGTGAGAACATCAACAGGATAAAAAAGGACCACTCATAAATGAAGGCTGTACTAACTGAAATAAAGAATAATTTACAGGGAATCAATAGTAGAGTACGTAAAGCCAAGAAGAAAACCATTGATTTGGAGTATAAGGAAGCAAAAATCACCCAATCAGAACAGCAAAAAGAAAAAAGAATCCAAAAAAATGAAGACAGTATAAGGAGCCTCTGGAACAACTTAAAGTATACCAACATTTGCATCATGGCAGTGCCAGAAGGAGAAGAGAGCAAGAAATTGGAAACCTATTTGAAAAAATAATGACAGAAAACTTCCCTAACTTGGTGAAGGAAACAGACATACACGTCCAGGAATGAGGAGACAAAATGAGGAGAAGGAGAATACTAAAATAATATGTCTTTCACTGCAAAGCTAGTTAGCAAAGGTACTGAACCCTGAGCTGGGGGGCCTAGTGTTGGACAGGAACTCCTCACTCTTCAGGGAGGACCTTCACAGCCAAGGTATCCTCTACACATGGGTGTGGGTCCAGCTCATCTGTGCACAGGGTCCAGCTCATGGTCCAGGAAGCAGAGAGTCCCAAACAAGGTGAACCCCAAGAGACCCACAACAAGACAAAGAGAGGATCTTAAAAGCAGTAAGAGAAAAGCAGTTAGTTACCTACAAGAGAGTTCCCATAAGACTGTCAGCTGATTTCTCAAAAGAAACTCTGCAGGCCAGAAGGGAGTGCAAGAAATATTCAGAGTGATGAAAAGCAAGAACCTACAACCAAGATTACTCTATCCTGCAAAGCTATCATTTAGAATCGATGGACATATAAAGAGTTTCCCAGACAAAAAGCTAAAGGAGTTCACCACCACCAAACCAGTATTATACGAAATGTTGAAGGGTCTTCTTGAAGAAAAAGATAAAAAATATGAACAATAAAATGGCAATAAATACATATCTATCAACAACTGAATCTACAAACAAAATGAACAAGCAGAACAGAAACAGACTCATAGATACAGAGAACATTTTGTTGGTTGCCAGATAGGAGGGGGTTTGGGGGAATGGATGAAAAAGATGAAGGAATTAAGAAGTACAAATTGGATGTTAGACTGACAAACCTTAAAGGGAAGTGGGGAGGGAGGGCAGGAAGAAATAAACCAAAGAACTTCTATGCATATATGTATAACCAATGGACACAGACAATAGTGTGGGGAAGGCAGGAGAGGGGTAGGATTGGGGAGGAGGAGGTCAATGGGGGAAAAAAGAGGGACATCTGCAATACATTCAACAATAAAGATAAGTTTTTTAAAAAGCATCTGGGGGGAAAAGATCAGAAAAAACCAAGAGTGAAAAGTGTGGCATGTATAAAAATGGCAAATGCTTCAGTTTAGCCAGGACATGGAATACTAAAAATAATGAACACAGACTTAATCTTGACTATCTTATGGAAATAAGGATACATCTAAGGTCTGAATAATAGAGTTACCTCTTATGTGTGTGGAGATTCTTAAGGCTACAAATGAGGGGAAAATTATATGCAATCAAAATTCCCTTTGATACTATCTCCTAAATCAGGAGTTTAGCATACTTTCCCTTAAATGGTCAGATAAGAAATATTTTAGGCTGTGTGGGTCAAATGGTCTCTGTTGAAGTTAACTACTCAACTCGGGCACTGTAGTGTGAAAACAGCCATAGGTAACATAAAGTAACAGCCAGGGCTGCAGTTTGCTGACCCTTGTTTTAATTAATTGATAAAATATAGTATTTCTTTGTGTATACACTGTCTGTTGTACAGTGAAGATTCTGAGATGCAGAGTTAGACTAAAGGAGAGAACCAACATAAGGTTTGTGTGCAAATGCTTGGGCATTCCAATACTGTACATTTTAGAAAATGATCAAATCCCTCGTTATGAATGGGGATTAGATGGCTAATCGGGAGTATTCCATTTTGTTTAACCTGTTAATGTGTCTTAACAGATTGCTTGTTGTGGGGAGGGACTAGTGGAGTGCATCTTAGTAGTGTGAAGTTCTCAAAGTCAACAAGTCACTTAAAAGGGTGCATAATTTAACTCAAAGAATGAAACCAAGAACCTATCCCACACCTTCACAGCAGGTGTTATCTCACTTGTGAAGACCAAGACCAAGCAAGCCAAGGCTCACCAGGTGACTTGCTCACCAAGTAAAAGCAGGGTTTGGATCAGACTACATTCATTTAAAACACAGTGAAGAGCCCAGCCAGTGTGGCTCAGTGGATTGAGTATCATCCCATGAACTGAGAGGTTCGATTCCCAGTCAGGGCATATGCCCAGGTTTCGGACTCAATCCCCAGTGAGGGGCGTGCAGGAGGCAGCTGATCGATGTGGCTCTCGCACATCCATCGTTCTACCTCCCTCTCCCTTCCTTTCTCTCTAAAAAATCAATAAAAATATAAAATAAAATAAAAATAATAAAACACAGAGTAAAGAGAGGGCAAAGAGGTAGAATTTGTTGCTGTTGTTGCTATAGTTAGAGCAACAACATCCTAAAATCCACTTTCTCAGGATACAGTAGAACACGTGGCTAAGAACAAGGACCTGGCTCTGAAACCTTAGCCGCGTGAGGTTTCTTCATTTCTCTGAGGCCACGTCATCATTCAGCAAAGCAGGAGGAAGAAAACCTACCTCAGAAGGCTGCTGTGAAGAGTAAATGATGCTTAACCCACAGCAACTACTCAGTCCTGAGCCCAACACATGTACACTGTGGGAGAGTGGATTGAACTCAGGGAGTTTGACTCCAGAGCCCCTTCATCACCTGCTTTACCAAAGCAGAAAGAAATAAACAAATTCATTCAGGTAAAGCATCCCAAGAAAGGTTCTGCCAAGGGGCCTCAGGATTCCTGGATTTCGCAAGACCATAAAGGCCTGAAGTTTGAGAACTCACCTTGATGGCCTGGAGTAAAGCCTCATTCCGATTCTGCTCCTTCTTTTCTTTCAATTTTGCTTTCCTTATATCCCTCTGTTCAGTTCGCTGAAAATAAAATTCAGATATATCAGCTCTAGGGAACTTGCTTCCTCTTTTTACCCCAGCCTGCTTCTAAATTACTGCCTCTGGTCTCTATCCAATCCAGGCTCCTAGGTCAAAGGATACCAGTGGCCGAATTCAGTTCAATAAACATTTTAAAATCACATGTCTGGGTGCCAGCACCAGTGGCATCAGAAATTTAAAAATTTACAGTTCTTGAACCCAAGGAGCTCATAGTCCACTGAAGGAGACAGACAAGGTAAAGGTCTGTTATATGTTACCCTGGCGGTGTGAACCAAGTGCTATAAAAACACAGAGGAGGGAGTAATTGATTCTGCCCCTTTGAGGAGGTGGGTTTCCCACCCAATGAAGGAGAAAGAGCACTCTCAGTAGAGGGACTGACATCGCATGGATACCACTACAGGGCATTTTAGCTTCACTGATATGGCTGGGAAAACCCAGGGCAAGAACTTATTAGAGGCTCTGCCTTTTGCACAATTATAATCTATGACAGAAAAGTGCCACCAGTCTACTTAATCTGGCAGAAATTGAATTTAGATTTCCTTTTCCTGCTAATCTACCCACAACCAGTTGATCCTGCAAACTCCTCTGTAAAGGGCCAGAGAGTAAATATTTTAGGCTTTGTAGACCATGTATGGTCTCTGTGACATTGTCTAGTTTTGTTGTTGTTTATAACATTCTTAGTTCACAGAATATGCAAAAAGAGGTCTGGGTTTGGCCTGTGGGTCAGTTTTCTGACCCCTGCTCTAAAATATAGCACCATCCCTCATTCTCCCCACAAAGACTAACACAGATATTTTTGTTTCTTATGACAAAGTCTACTCTTTCAGGGAGACAGTGGTTGATAATTCTTCGTCATTACTTCTCCAATCCAGTCTGCCAAGAAAGCTGCAAAAGTTCTTTCTGCTTTTAGCATGTTTGATTACACTGTCAAGAGTTCCCCACCCATGGATTACCACTAGAATTATGACCAATTCTGCCTTCCTAATTGGGCTACACTTGACCAGTGTCTGGCCCACATTAGCCAGTGATTAAGATGGATGATTAAGTATGACTTAGACTCTGTCTCATGTTTTACTCTGACTTACAGATGCAAGTGTGTGGATATAGTGTCCTGCTGTCTCACCTGAAGTTTGGGGTCTCAGTTGCCCATATAAAGTGGAATAATCACCAGGTCAGGTCAGAGGGACCTTGTACTGTGGTTTGCTGCTCCCTCTTTTTAAATCAACTCTGTTGAGGTATAATTTACTAATTTTTGTGTATAGTTCAACAAGTTTTGACAAATGTATACCCTGAATATTCAATACTATCAAGATAGAGAACATTTCTATCCCCTAGAAGATCCCTCATGTCCCTTTGCAGTCATTCTCCCTTCTATCCCACCACTGATAGGCTTGTTTCTTTTTTCTCTCTTGTTTTAATTTTTTTTTTTTTTTTTTGAGAGAGAGATAGAGAGAGAGGAAGGGAGAGATAGAAACATTGATGTTATAGAAAAATATGGATCAGCTGTCTCCTGCACACCCCCTACTGGGAATCGAGCCCACAACCTGGGCATGTGCCCTGACCAGAAATTGAATCAGGACCTCTCAGTCCATGGGTCGACACTCAATCCACTGAGCCACACTGGCTGGGCAACCATTAACTATTTTAAAATACACATTTCAGTGACATTTAGTATATTCACTATATTGTGCAATCATCACCTCTATATAGTTTCAAGACTTTTCAATACTTAAAACCCCAAGTCCTTTTAGTAGTCAGTCCTCATTTATCACATTCTCCCAACCACTGGCAACCACTAATCTGCTTTCTGTCTCTACAGATTTACCTACATTGAATGTTTCATATGCTATATGGAATCATACAACATGTGGTCTTTCATATCTGGCTTCTTTCTCTTAGCAGTATTTTGTGGTTCATTCACATTGTAGCACATATCAATACTACATTCCATTTTATGCCTGAATAATATTCCCATGTATGGTCATACCACATTTTATTTATCATTTGTTGTTGGGACATTTAGACTGTTTCCACTTTTCAACCACTATGAACAGTGTTGCTATGAACATTCATGTACAAGTATTTGTTTTAAATTCTTTGGGTTATACACCTAGGAGTGAAAGTGTTGGGTTATATGGTAATTCTATAGTTAACTTTTGAGGAATTGTCAACTGTTTTCCATAGTGGCTGTACCATTATACATCTTCTCTAGCAACATAAGAGGGTTTCAATTTCTCCACATTCTCACCAACATTTGTTATTTTCCTTTTTTAAAAAATTACATCTATCCTAGTGGGTGTGAAATAGTATCTCATTGCAGTTTTGATTTGTATTTCCCTAATGACTAATGATATTGAGTATGTTTCATGTGCTTGTTGGCCAATTGTGTATCATCTTTAGAGAAATATCTATTCAAATCCTTTGTCCACTTAAAAATTGGGTTGTCTTTTAATTATTTAGATGTTAAGAGTTCTTTATATATTCTAGATTAAAGTTCCTTAAACAGGTACACAACTTACAAATATTTTTTCCAATTCTGTGGTGGTCTTTTCATTTTCTTTATGTGTCCTTTGAAGCACACACATTTTTACTTTTAATAAAGTTAAATTCACCTATTATTTTCTTTTGTTGCCTGTGTTTTTTGTATCATATCTAAGAAAACAATGCTTAATCTTAGGTTATGAAGATTTATGCCAATGTTTCTTCTAAGAGCTTTATAATTTTAGCTTTTACATTTAGCTATCTGATCCATTTTGAGGTGATTTTTGTATACAGTATGAAGGTCCAAGTTCATTCTTTTGCGTGTGGATACCCAGCTGTCCCTCCCTCATTTATTAACAAGATTATTCCTTCCCCATTGAATGGTCTAGGTACCCTTGTTGACACTGTCTATAAATATGAGGGTTTATTTCTGAGCTCTCATTCTGTTACATTGATCTATATGCCTGTCCTTACATTAGAGCACAGTATCTTGATTATAGCTTTGTAGTAAGATTTGAAATTGGGAAGCGTGAGTCCTCTAACTTTTTGTTTTTCAGGATTTTTTTGAGTATTCTGGGTCCCTTGAGTTTCCATATGAATATTTCTATATGTCAGTATTCTGCAAAGAAGCCAACTGGAATTCTGATATAGGGTGCATTGAATCTGTAGACCAATTTGGGGAGTACTGTCATCTTTACAATATAAGATCTGATCCATGAACATGGAATGTCTTCCCACTTATTTAGGTTTAGATTTCTTTCAACATTTATATTTCCAGATTGTAAGTTTTGTTACTTTGGTTAAATCTGTTCCTAAGTATTTTATTCTTTTTGATGCTACTATAAATGAAATTGTTTTCTTAAGTTCATATTGGGAATGTTCATTAAAACTCTATTGAATACAACTGATTTCTGTATGTTGACATATATCCTACCAGCTTACTGAACTAATTTATTAGTTCCTTTTAGTGAATTCCTTGGGATTTTCTATATATCATTTGCAAATAGAGGTAGTTTTACTTCTCCTCTTATTCATTTTTCTTTTCATTTTAATATTTTTCTTTATTGTTATTGGGGCGGGGGGGACAGAGATAGAAACATTAATGAGAGAGAACATCGATTGGCTGCCTCCTGCATGCCCCCAACTGGGGGTTGGGCCCACAACCTGGACATGTGCCCGGATCGGGAATCAAACCAGTGACCTCTTGGTGCATGGGTCAGTGCTCAACCACTGAGCCACATCGGCCAGGCCCCTCGTTCATTTTTAAAGGGTAGGTTTGCTGGATAGAGACTTCTTGGTTGACAGTCTTTTTCTTTCAGCATTTTGAATGCCATCCCATTGCCTTTTGGCTTCCATGGTTTCTGATGAGATAACAGCTTTTAATTTTTTTGAGGATCTCTTATGTGTGAAAAGTCACTTCTCTCTTAATGCTTTTAAGATTCTCATCTTTAACTTTCAACAATTTATAATGTGTCTGAGTACAGATTTCTTTAAGTATATCCTACTTGGCTTGTTAAACTTCTTGGGAGGGTAGATTGCTGTTTTTCATCAAATCTGGGACATTTTCAGATCTTTTTTCCACAAATATTCTTTTGCCCCTTTCTCTCCTCTCCTGAAACTCCCATTATGCCTAAGATAATATGCCTGATGACATCCCACAGGTATCTTGGTCTCTCTTCACCTTTCTTTACTATTTTTCTTTCTGTCCTTGTACTGGGTGATCATAAATTACCTATCTTCAAAGTTCTGCTGTTCAGCCCCTTAGTGAATTTGTCATTTCAGTTACTGTACTTTTAAACTACAGCATTTTTATTTGGTTCTTTTTATAGTGTTTCTTTATTGATTGTCTCCATTTGGTGAGACATCAGTCTCATATTCTTTTTAGTTCTTTAGGCATCGTTTCCTTTCCTTCTTAAAATATACTTACAATAGCTGGTTTAAAGTCTTTGTCTTGTAAGTCCCATGTCTGGGCTTCCTTAGGGATAGTTTCTCTTGATTTTTTTTTCCTTCTGTGTATGGATTTTCTTCTTTACACAGCTTGTAATTTTTTGTTGAAAACTGGACTTTAAATACAATGTGGCAACTCTAGAAATCAGATTCTGTCTCCCTCTCTCCAGTGTTTGTTTTGCTGCTGATACTGTTTGTTTAGTGACTTTTCTGAATTCTGTAAAGCCAGTATTCTCTGTTGTATGTGACCACTAAAATCTCCAATCTGTTAGCTCACAGGTCAGCTAATGACTTGGCAGATTTCCCTAAATACCTGAAGCCAAAAAGTCTCCCAGTCTTTGACAAGAGACTCAATATGTGCATGTTGGGGCACACTTCCAATTCTCACCCAAGCAGTTTATAATTCAGCCTTAACCTTCTCTTCCTGCTTGCACAGAGCCTCCAAATCAGCCAGAGAAGAGAGGTTAGGGCCTTGATAGATCTTTACTGAGCACATTCATGGCCCTAGACACACATGTGACCTTCTAGAGTTCCAGGAATCTGTTAGAGCTTTACAAATCTCTTACAGATTCTCATTCCCCAGCTTTTCCTTTTAAGTTTTCTGATAAACCTATTGTTTACACCAACTGCCTCAGGCAGCTACAATCTTAACTGCTTCTAATTGTTTTTGACAAATGTTCTCCCACAACCACCACCCCTATACCCAGCCAGACTATGACAGTCTTATGCCATTTCTTATTTATTCAAATCATAATAGCCACAGATTTATCTAGTCCTCACTATGTCTAAGAAATGTGCTAAGTGTACACATGAACACACACACACACACACATATATTCTCATTTAATTTTCATAATATATAAACTTTGAGGTATATATTATGTTCACTGTTTTCAAAGAGGGGACTGGGTTTCAGAAATATCAGAAACTTACCCAAGGTTAAACAGTTCTGCTTTCTTTTGTCTGGAATGCCCCTCCCACCCCCACCTCCAACCATGTAAACTCTTGCTCAGTCTTAAAGAGATCAGACTCAGGCATCACCCCTTTCAGCAAACCTTCTCTGCTATCCCCATGTCTACCATGCTCTTGGCCAAGACAAAGTTAGATACCCCTACTACTATATATTCTTGCTTGCTTCTACCACACTATAACTATCTACTTACTTATTTGTTTACTTGTCTGTGTCCTCCAGCATTCCAATGGTTAGGGCTGGTTTGGGGTTTTTATTTTATTTTGTTTGTTTTTTATATAATACAGTGAATGTGTACAGGCAATATTACCATTGAACTAAACACTTGGAATTTCACAGAATGAAACAAACATAAATTACTCATTTGTTAATGGTTACTATCCACTAGGTACATATGAGGTTGCAGAATATCAGTCTTATAGACATTTGAGTAGACAACATCAGCGTGAAACATAAATCTCACACAAGATGTAATCAAAAGGTATTCAAACAAATTATCCTATCAAACTTTCTGTAGTAACATTAACTTAATGGAGTATTGTCTTAGCAACAGTGATGGTATGCAGATATATGCATGCCATTACAAACATGACGCACTAAACAGAACATATTGAGGTCAAAGCCTTTCTGCAGAAAGGGATTTAATTGACATTCTTTCAACTATAGTGTATAAACAGATAAAAATAGTTCTATCATAAAAAACAGTACTTAACAACATAGCTTTAAAATAAAAATACTTTAAAAATAAGTTCGATGAGATTAAATTTAGTTTTGAAGACTCTTTGGAGTGAAATATATATTTATTGCTTCTGGTTTTCCTACATTTTCCCAACATTAACTCCTACTTTCACCCTGTTCCAGTCTATTATTAATGAAGTGTGCAAAACACTGCCTGTAGCAATTTCAACCAGGCTTAATCTCCTGCCAAGTCAGGGAGAAGGTTAAGACATTCTCACCAAATTATTTCTCTTTCCAGAGGTATACTCCCTTTATATAACAGGGAGTTAGGTAGAAAAACTACCATAAGTCTTGGAAATGCAATTTTTAAATACAGATTCTATAGTAAGTAGGGAAATATTTTAAAGGCAAACACCCCTTCCCCATAGCAGTTTATTTTTCAAAATGGGTTTTCATGTATTCATGTTATCAAGAATTATCATTTTTTCTATAAGTGAATGTAATGAAACACTGGCCTTACGCTTAGCACACTGCATACTTCTCTACATTAAAATTCACACTAGTAACAAAAATCATAGTATGCATTAAAGCATTTCAGCAACATAATGAAAGTAGATCCTTTATTTTTTCTGAGAGAACACCTGAGTATTAAGTATTTTTAGATACATAGAGGTATAATCTGACACAAAAAATCAATATGGATTTAGTCTGCTAGTATGTTTGACTACTGAAATTTTGCTAATTTGCTACAAATTAAAGTAGTGGTGGGTATAAAACTTCATATAGGCAATCAATATAAACCTGGCAGTATTTATGTGTAATCCTGTAGCAATTTTAAGGTTTTAGATGGAATGATAGAAGGTTTGGAAGTTTTCTTTGTAGGATTTCAGAGTGTAAAAGATTCTTTTGAAGAGGTGAATGTATCTTCACTCATTAACTTAAAATCAGTCTAGTCATATCTAAATACTTTGTTCAGGAATAAACACTGGGATCTGAAATCAGAATTTATGTTTAATTGAAATGCATTTCTTCCATTATTCATGTTTTGGGACTCCCCTCTCCCTTTTGAAATGATAGAAAACTGTAATGAATTATTTTCAGATTTTAAAAAAGTCACATTTAAAAAAACTTTAAAATCAAATGGACATTTACATGTTATGTAGATTTAATCAGAACAAAGTATTTAATCTATTCTGGTACTTCCACTTGTAAGTAGAGAAGCATGTATCTCCCAGTGTCACCATTCTTACATTTGTTGTTCCAATGTGTTATATTATCCACAGCTAACAAGGCTTTCACACAGCAGTAAGTAAACCCTTATCAAATTATTCTGTACTATAGATAGAAGTATATTTTCAAAGACATACGCCCTTGTACACGATTTACAAATTCTCTCAATTATGATTTTTAAAAGGCAAAATAAATAAAAAGCAGAAAGAAAGGAAATGCTGCTGAGGTTTAAAGGCTTTTTGTTTTATCTTCCCAAACAGATGCTGGTCTTCTCGGTGCTGGAAGCTGGCTAGCCAAGATTGTTTTTCTTCCTTTTACATGGGCTATAAAAGGGATCTGGTTTCAGTTTTTGGTATTACACCACATGTACATCTGAAGGGACTCTGGAAAGGAAGTCAAGTAGTTCATTGTTCTTAATTACACAGGGATGCCAAAGCTTTTTTGTGAATTTATCGATGGCCCAGGCAAGGACAGTGTATCTCTGGAATAAAGTACAGGATGACTGTGAACTCACAGAGGGCTATGATGGCCAGCCAGCTTAAGAATGGGACCGTCCAGTTGAAAGTATTCTTTATCCTTTCACCAAAGGAAGCCACTTCATCTGTGATGTGCTGGACATTGATACATACCTCCTGGATGGCATAGATTTTATTTATAAACCCTTTTTCACCGTTCTTGTCATCTTCTTCTTCCTTGTCCCCTAGCATGTCCTCCACTACTGTATCACATTGCCTGTTATCTTTCCCCAATATTACCAAGTAGTTCCATGTCAACAGTAACAATAAAGCCAGTGGTATCATGTAGACCTCAAAGTTCCAGACAACAAAGAGAAAGTGTGTCTTTCTCCTCCTCCTCCAGCAATTTCTGGTTTCTTTTGTTGGTCTTTTGAAACTCTGCCTCCTTTCTTCTCTTGGTTTAGTTCTCCCTTTTCCAATGTATTCTTATTTTATTGATTCTATTGATCATAATGGTGGTATTGTACATGGCATATAGCGGTAATGTACTCTAGTGGCAGGATACTGTCCAGTTGAGGTCAAGATATTGCAGTGTCTTACTTATTAGGCATTTAAATGTGTTGTGTTTGATGAATGATTACCAATCATTCCATATGTCGAGAGGCTCGCTTTGGGGATGAGAGGGAACAAAAGGAATGATGACAGCAAGGGGAGGGTTGGTTACATCTGGAAGAGTTGGATACCACCTCCCAGTTGGAGGAGTACCTTGCATTGGTCTGGAATACATAAAAGACACATCAGTCTATAACTTATCTTTTGTCTCTAGTGATTTAAACTTAGCCTCCATGAACTTGGCCAAACTATCAATTGCACCTATGACAGAATCAATTCTCTCCAGTAGCTGATCTCTAATTCCTTTGTGTCAGTTAATATATCACTGGTCTCCACTTGACTCGCTTCCAGGTGGCTCTATGTGTTTCTTCCTTTTTATTCTTGACATTTGTAGAGTTAGCTCATCTGTTGACGTTGCTTCCATTCTTGTTTCTGTTTCTGTGACAGCTAGAGATAGACTTTGGGTCAACACTTCTTGTGGTGTGTCATCCAGGAATGCTAGCGGGTCTCTGTAAGTTGGATCTTTTGGTGGACCTGCCTGATGAGAGTTCACTGACCTAGACATCGTGATTGCTGATGGCCTGCCTAGGCAGTTCTGCAAGGGCTCCAACATCTTGGACAGAACTTTTTGGTTTTTGATTTTTGTTTTAAATTTGTTTTTTCTTTATTGATGTTAGAGAGAGCGAGAGAGAGAGAGAGAGAGAGAGAGAGAGAGAGAGAGAGAGAAATAGCGATGAGAGAGAACATCGATCAGCTGCCTCCTGCATGCCCCCCATGGAGATTTGGCCCATAACCTGGGCATATGCCCTGAGTGGGAATCGAACCGGTGACCTTTTGGTGCATGGGTCTATGCTCAACCACTGAGCCACACCAGCCAGGCGTGACTTTAATTTTAAAGAAGAAAAAGATTACAATGACCAAAAAGACATAATCTGGGGAATGCTAATTCATCAATGCTAATTAAATGCCAAGTAGCTACTGATTTACCACCAACCTTCAGTTTGTCTGCTTTAACCCTCATTTCCAGAAGCTTCTTCTCTTTGGCATCTATCTGCAGCCCCTCATCGCACCAGTTCACAGCCTCAGCAAAGTTTTTCAGTTCCAGATGACATAAGGCACCTGCAGAACCCAGAAGCCTTAGGACCATGGACAACATGCATGGCAAGAGCCCCCCTTGAGGAGGAACCTCCACCTCCCCCAGCTACCAGCCAGCATCCTGAAGGGAAAATAGAAAAAGCCCCTTGTATTGCATTCCCAAGACTAGAAGACTAGTTTCTGTATCTTAGATCAGTAAGGTCTCTAGGGCCCTCAGCTCAAAACTCTTATGAGCCTCCCTAGTCTTAAGGATGGAAGGCTACAGATTAGTGGCATAAAAAAAAACACAGGCCTTAGAATCACATAGATCTAGGCTGGAAATATGGCTCTGTCATTTATGAACTAGGCATGAGACAAAGGACTAAGCATCTCAGAGCTTCAGGTTTCTCATCAGCAAGTGAGAAGAATAAAGCCCATCTCAGGTGATTTTTCTAAAAGGAGTCAGAAAGCAGAATCTGCCTCAGCCATTAATGACAGCAGTGGCAAGTCCCAAGTCATTAGGTCTCTCCTAAAACTGTTCTTAATGGCTACCAGCTTAAGCTGCCTCTCCTTTAATCATGCTCATTTTTTTCTAGTTAGCCTCTTTAGGATTTCCACAGAATTTCAAAATATTAGAACAGTAAGTACTTAGATATCAACAGAATCCAACTTCATCTTCCAAAGATAAACTGATACTCAGAATGGGTGTCCTGCTAAGGTCAAATGGTAATGTAAAACTGACAATTCAATCAAGGGTTACAGACTTCCAGTCTGAGGCCAATTCCACAGGACTACGCTCAATTTACTTTCCAATCTTTGTTCAGTACCTTCTTTCCCTATGAGGAACATGGATCTACTTACCACCCCCCAATCATAAATATCTAAATAAGCATAACTTTGATAAAACATTTTAAGTTGGTCAATGGGGATAAAGAAAAAATTAATATTTGAGGAATAAATTAAAGTTTGCAAAGCACCTTTAAGCTTCTCAAAAAAAAAAAAAAGGTTAAGTATAAAAACTAATAAAAGCACTATTATTACATAGAAAGGTCAGACTACAGGAGCAAAAATAATCAGGGAATATCTCAGCATCAGAGTTATCAGCAAAGGTCCCCTAACTTACCTTTTAATTAACATTAACATGGCATTTGAAGATCTCACCTTTTAATCAACTAATTTGGAAAAAAATTTGAATGTGGTTTTTGGAACTGCTTTATTTTAATTAATTTTATTCTTTATTAATTTTAAATGAGGAATTTCAATTTCTCTACAAATTCTTGACACAAAGGGTTACATTATTCTTTAGGGGATTCTTTTAAAAATGGCACGTTGCTATTGATAAAGACTAGGAACTTAATATCAAGATAGCAAAAATAAGATGACTTCATTAGTATCTTAGCACCTTAATATCAAAGCTTAAAATGTCTCAACTTTTGGTACCATAAGTGCTAACATTTCCTTAATTAGTATCACGCTATAGCTCTGCAAGACTTACCTCGTACTATTGCTTTGAGGTGGCAGGGTTTTAGCTTTCTGGCAGCCGTCACATCATTGAGAGCGGAACGAAAATTGCCTAATAGAACATCATTTAGTAAAAGAAAGAACAAGTTTTAAGATCAAAGTATTTCCAAAATTTTATGCACAGAGACAAAGACAGTCTTGTACAATCTTGGATAAACATAAATCAGAGCAACTGTTTTTAGAAAAAAATACATGACTGTGCTCATCAAAAGCCTTAGAAATGTTTATAACATCAGGCAACCAATCCACAAAACTATAGATAGCTAGCTTGTAAGCATATGAAAAGATGCTCAACATCACGAATGATTAGAAAAATTGACATGAAATTGGTAAAAGTTATAGATAATATCCAGATATGGGAAAAGGGTACTCTAGTGGTAAATTAAAGAGCAAATTAGCATGCACTTTGTGGGCACATTGTGACCCAAGAATATTCTTCTAAGAATTTATCCCACCTTACAGAGTTGCTGTGAGGTCAAGAGGGATAACAAATGTGAAAGTGCTCGGTAAGCCATACCAGTGACATATTTAAGGACTGGCTCTCACTATTATGCATGTGCTCCTCTGGTGTCCTGCACACACGTTTTCTTCTTGCAAGGTGCTTTTGTCCTTATTGCCCCTATAAATGACGTCCTTTAAGTTCCCTAAGGAGAGGAACTATGTAGCTCTTGTTCAGTGCGGTGCCTAGCACACAGTAAAAGTCAGGTCTTACTCATCTCTGTGATGGCAGTGCCTGGTACAGAGTACTGTCTGATGAATGAAGAAAATGAATTCCTCCAGAAATGATAAGACTGGGTATCTAGTCCAGGTTCTGGCATTAACCAAAAGGTCCCTCTCTGGGCCTATACAAAAAGAAGGTATTGGCTGGCTCAAATAATCTCTAAAGTTCTACACTACTCTTACTTTTTAGAATTTTACAGTGAAACAGGCTGAATGCGAAAACAGTTGGAGCAGATGATGGTTGGGGAGAAACTATGCTCAAATGGTGATGAGTCCCAACAGACTCATCCCAGCTAGACTACAGTACAAGGCTTATTCTCTCCCAGCCCCTCAGAAATCCCTGGGGTCATTCCCAGGCCCTTTCTAAACTCTATGATAAGAAACATGGTTTAAAATGACCAAGCAAATAATCAGTGTTTCTACAGTCATATCTATAGGACAGTAGTGCATGTTAATAAGTGTTACTTGAAGAGGGGGCTTACAAAACTTGAGAAGCGTGGGTTCTTTGCTATAGGTAACCTCAGAGTCCTTAACATACTAATGTGTACTGCAAATCTCCCACAAAAAAAGCAGCACTTTCCAAACTTACTTGTCCAAAGAATATTTTCTTTCAAAAGTCCCACAGAATACTCTTTGAGAAATTCTCCCTTAGATAATGTAGTTTCTCTCACACAAAGATCTCTATTAATCCTTCTATCATTCTTGAGAAGGCCAGAGCGGGGGACAAAAACATTTTTTTGAGGGAACGGAAGCATTTGGGCTAAAAAAAAAATCTCAGATCATACCAAGTCATATATTAAGGTATTTGATGTCACTTATTTGGTTCAGATAGCAAAAATTATGCATTTATCTGGTTTCCCTTTTCACCAAGTCTGCCTGGAAGATCAGTCCATCAGAGCAAACAATCCTAAGTATCTGGGATAAGCAGCTCTTCTTCCTCTGACTCTCTCCACCTCTCCACTAACCATCTTAATGGCTTTATCCTAAGTTAACTCTTTTGAAGGCACCCAATAATGGAATAAATTACCCAGATAATACTGTGCTGCTGCCCGGTTGGTATAAAGAACAACATTCAAATCAGGGTCTGAACATTTCTTCTTTAAGCCTTCAGTATACGAAATCACAGCTTTTTCATAGTCTTTTTCTTTAAAGTAATCATTGCCCTCGTCTTTATAGGTCTTGGCCTGTTCTGCAAAGAAAAGAAGAAATAATCACTATTTCTTATTTTTTTAAACACCCATTAAAAATATTCTAAATAAATCATGCAACAATGAAACATAATAAACCAAACAGAAGAAACCAATATGGAAAGAAAACTCAAAAATTAATACCGTAAAATGGTATTTAACATGGAGAAACAGTCATGTGTACTTACTGCTACAATCAATTCCAAATATTTTACAAGGGAAATTATTAAGTGTTTAGAAAAAAGGAAGCATACAGGGGGGAAAAGGCATACTTAATCTAGCTCTTGAAGAACTTTTGTTTTTTGGTTTTTTTTTTAATCCTCACCCGAGGACATTTTTCCATCTTTTGTACAGATAGAGTGGGAGGGAGAGAGAGGAAGAGAGAGGGAAAGAGAAACATCGATGCGAAAGGGACACATCGAGTGGCTGCCACCCGCACGACCAACCAGGGTCGGGGACAAACTGCAACCGAAGTACGTGCCCTCAGCGGGAACCGAACCCGGGTCTCTCCGGACCGCAGGCCGACGCTCTAACCGCTGAGCCAAACTGGCCAGGGCAGAACTTTTGTTTTTTGAATTACTGAAGAAATGGGAGGAAAAATTATAATTCTGCTTTGCTTATGTTGTTTTATTCCCTGGAATGCAAATTCCCTCCTCACCCTAGTAAGAGCCTACAAAATTGTTAAGATTCAGTTTCAATGTCTGATCCATTGTGAGCCCACTCCTACCTCTGCCTTCAGTGTTCCAACAAAACCTAGAATACAGCTACACGTTAGCACTTATCACACGTTTGTCCTGATTCTTCAGGACAATCTGGCTACCCACTGGGTCATGATCCCTGTATCCCTAATGCCTAGCATTTAGTAGGTATCCAAATAACTGTATGTGGAATAAACAGTAACAAGTTATCTCAGGCTAACTACTACTTGTTATAAATCATAACAACTCACTCCACCTCAATTCAATGGAGACACAAAACAAATGTTACAGTCATGGAAGATACCTTCTGGAGATCGCTCATCATCAAAAATAATTGACTGAAGGCAAGCCAAGTCAGGATTCTCCTTGGGATCAATTTCTGATGGTGCTTTCTTCATAAATAGGGGGATCTTTTCCAATTCCTAGAGATTGTTAAGAGAAGAATGAACTATACGAATAGGATTTGCCACTGAGAAGATCCAATTCCAAGTCTCTACATCAAAGTTTTCTTATGATTTGCAAAACATCAGGATGGGCTATATCACTCCCTAACCAGGCCTCAGTTTCCCATCTGTAAAAAGAGAGCGTAGAGACCTCTAAAGATTCTTTCAGTTATCACATTCTTACAAGAGCGGTAGTGACTATTAACTGGGCGCTCGGTGTTCCGACGCTTGACCACCGTCTCGCTTCACTTCGCGGCAGTCAGGGTAATTGTACAGGTCCGGGAGCCCGCTCAGGGAAGTTAAGTGACCACCCAGCATCCCGGCCGTAAGTGATGGAGTCACAGGTCTGACTCCGAAACCTGGCCTCCTGAATGTGCTGACAGGTTAGGAACACCCTCAAATCCTCGAGGCCGATTTTCAACACGCGAGTAGAAACCACCTATCCGCGGGCAGCGCCTGGGTCCGGGGCTGAGGGAGGCGCCTCGGTGCCAGGAGCCCCACGGGTCCGCAGGACGCCCCCACGTGCGCGGAGCCCACGGGCCCGCCTACCTCTTCCCACCGGTCCTCGTGCAAGCCGCCACGGTAAGGCTGGCTCTGGAACTTTTCCAGGAACGCGTCCATGGCGTCGTCGGAGGCGGCCTCGGGCTCAGGCTGCTCCATGGCAGCGCCTGGGCCCCCGCCACGGTCCCGCGGGCCCGGGATCCCGGCGCCGAGAACCGGACAGCTTCCGGCGGTGCGGGCGCCTTTCCCTAAGTCCTCCGGGCAGCGCCTGCCCCCGCGCCTCTGGTTCCGTGGCACTGGGGGCGTGGCTGACCCGGCTCCAACCATCCCTCCCGACGAGCACCTGCCCCGCCCCGCCCCGCCCCGCCCTCCCCTCTGCGGTGCCGCAGCCCCGCCTCCCGAATGCTTTTGAGGGTTTGTGTACACCCAGCTCCCAACCTTGCCTCACTAACTTCATTCGCTCCTTTGTTCAGCTGGTTGACACATTTCCTAAGCTCCTTCTGGGTTCCAGGCCTGTTGTAGTCACTAGGTATACCGTGGTGGGCAAAGCAGATAAAATCTCGGCCCTCTAGGAGTTGATGTGGTAGTGGGGAGAGACAGACAATAAACAAATAAGATGTGAGAGTTTATCAGGTGGCAGCAAGAGCTATGGGAGAAAAGTTTTTTTTTGTTTTGTTTTTTGTGTGGGAGAAAAGTTTTAAACCGGTAGACTGGCATTCAAACAAAGGAAGCCTGGAGTGGCCAGGATGGAGAGAGGGGAATATTCCCCATGGAGAGAACAGGCAGAGACAGCTCCAGTGAGAAAACTTTGAGGGATGGGATGCTGCAGCCGAATGAGATAGAAGAAGGTGAGATGGGAGGGATAATGGGCCCATGATTCTGAGAATTGGGGTTTTCCTTAGTGCAATGGAACCTTTTGGAGAGTTTGGGGGAAAGAAGTGATGTATTCAGACATGTCTATTTCCAAGATTAACAACCCCCTACCCCCTACAGCTGAGATGGAAACAAGGTCTCCAGGCCCAGACAGCCTTCCTGCAGCTTTTGGGTTACGCACCAAGCGGCTGCCAGCCCTGCATTGGGTGCTACAGCCTTGGGGAGCCCACAGACTGGTCTAGAAGGAAAGGCAGCCAGGCTGCAGACCAGTGGAAACCAGGGCTGCTTACAAGTCTGCAGAGTGGAGGCACAGAGGAGTGGGTGTTTCCTGGGGGTGAGGCAGGATAGTAAGAAACTAGGAAAATCCCTTGACAAGTGGAATGAGGAAACTGAGACAGATAGCTGAACAAACTGAGAATTTACAGCTAGATGTAGAAGGTCACCTCCCTAGAGATAACATCTAGGCCTCGGTTGTATTTCAGCTCCAGACCCAGAAAAACAGCAAAACCAGGTGGGAAACCCAGGACCAGCTGCAATGACAAATGACCCCCTGCCCTGGTCCTGACCAATCAGTGGAGATCATGACCCTGAAAGGACACACCTGGAAAAGCTGATGAATATTCTATTGAGATTTCCCCTAAACTCCCAGCCTTTAAAAATCCTCAAAACAAAGGACCCAGCACAGCTTTCCCCTTCCAGGAGCAAGCTGTGCCTTTCCTTCCCCCCTCTTCTTCCCTCATGGGTATGCATCTTCTAAACTCTAGGGAACTCCAGGAGACTTGCAACCAGGGGAGCAATCCAGGGCTAACCCTGTGAACCTGTCTCCAAGGCCCGCTTTTCTCTAACTTCTCAGTGGGCCAAAGCAGCCCTGCCTAGGCTCATTTCTTTCCTATAACATTTCTGGAGAGCCAGAGCAGCCCCACTTAGGCTCTCTCCTGTAGCTGCTTCTATCCTAGGCCCTCCTTTGTTTCACTGTCCCCAGCTTTCATAAATGCATTGCACTCTGAGTAACAAGGACTCTCATCTTGTGAAATCTTTCCTGCACAAAGTCAAGAACCCACACACTACAGGCTGGCCTGAGGCAGACCCACTCAGGGCCAGGTCCCCTTTCTCATAACGGGAATTGAGGGAGGTTTCACAGAGGAGGTGATGCAGAGCTGAGAGCAGAGACGAAGAAGGTCTCTGCAGATGGATTGAGGCCAGATGGAAAGTTGGGCATTTCAGGCAGTTGAACCCATATGCAGAGAGGCGTGGAGGTGTACAATGGCCAGCATGCTAGGGACGGAGAGAGTAAGGCCAGCAAGGTTGGCTAGGGCCAGAGGCCTGACTGCACGTTGGCCTTCCTCCTGCAGAGGATATGAGCCACAGGAAAGACCTCAGGGCAAGTTTGTCTCAGGAAAGCCTGGATTGCCAGGTGAAAGACTGATGAGGGGAGGCTGTCAGTGAGAGACCAGGGGGGAGAAGAAATCTGAAGCCCAGTAGTGGAGCTGTCAGATTTGGTTATTATTTGGTATGAGGATGAGAGAGACAGCAGGGCTAAGGATGACATATGGAGGACCATGAACATTCCAGGGCCAGGACTCTATTTTTCTATTCTAACTTGCCCATATACAGCAGAACACCTGGTCCCTTTCCTCCAAACCCAAACCTTTCCCACACTTCCTCCTCCAGCCTGCTCCCCGACTACAGTTCCCGTTCTTACACTCCTCTTCATTATCTTTTCCCTTCTTGAATACTAAGTCCTTTTGCTTCCACTTTTAAATTTGATTCCTGTAAAACCCTGTGAAGTAAGAACCCATTTTTACAGGTGATGACAGGGGAGGCTCAGAAAAGGGAAGCGACTTGAGTAGGAAGTGCTGTTTGACCCTTTGAGCTCAAGACGACTTGGAGGCCTTGGCCAGTACCTGAGCCTCTGCTGAGCTTCGATTGCGGAGGGGGTGGGGGGGAACGACACCACCCAGCCAGGACCCTGGAGAGCAGGGGTGGGGGGAGTGGAGGGCGGAGCAGGTCTCCAGAGCCTGGTGGGGCTCGCAGGGCGGTCATGCGCAGGACTGTAGCTGCCTGGCAGCGGAAGAAGTAGCACCAGCGCCAAGGCACGTGTGTCTGCACTCGAGTGGTCTTGGAGGCGCCAGGGCTGCTGCCAGCCTCAGCCAGAGCCTAAGGCTGCCCTACTGCCTACCTGCTGCTAGCCCTGCGGGGCTCTGCGGGGATGGGAGGCAGAGAGGCCCCAGAGCTGGGGAAGAGGAGGGCCACTTCTATGTAGGGGATCAAGTGAACCCCGGGGAGGCATCCTGAGTTCTGGTCCCTGACCACTCCCTGCACCTCAGCAAAGCCAAGATTTCCAAGCCAGCACCTTATTGGAAAGGAACCGCTGTGATAAATAGAGAATTTAAGGAGTTCAAGTTAACTGATTACTGTGGAAAATACCTGTTTTTTCCTTCTACCCACTTGATTTCACTTTTTTGTGTCCACCTGAAATTATCGCCTTTGGTGATAGACTTAAAGAATTCAGATCTATAAACACTGGAGTGGTGGCGTGCTCTCTCGATTCACGGTTTGCCCATTTGGTCTGGATTAACACCCCTCGAAGACCAGGAGGATTTAGGCCAATAAAGATTCCACTTTTCAGATTTGACCCATCAGATCTCAAAGGACTATGGCATACATCTGCAAGACTCAGGCCATGCTCTTAGAGGTCTGTTCATTATTGATGACAAAGGGATCCTGAAAAGATTACTCCGAATGGCCTTCCTGTGGGGAGATGAGTGGATGAGACCCTGTGTTTGGCTCAAGCGTTCCAGTACACGATACACATGGAGGAGTCTGCCCTGCTGCCTGGAAATCTGGCAGTGAAACTGTATTCCCAGATCCAGCTGGAACACTGAAGTATTTCGACAAACTGAACTGAAAAATACTTCCTCAGGTTATAATGCTTGTATGCTCTCAATAAAGGAACCGTGTTGTTACCAAAAGAAGAAGAAAGCAGCAGTGTTTCTGGGTGGAAAGAGCTGAAGCATGGGTAGAAGACCTTTGGGACTCATTTTTTATTCCTTTGTGTGACCTTGGATAAGGCCCACTGTCTGAGCCCTGTCCTCATATGTGGAATGTAGACAAGAAGCCGGCCTACCCTGCCCATAACTCTGTATGGCTACCGTGAGACTCAAAGGAGGTGATGCTTGTGAGCATTCTTGGCAACAGAAAAGGTTGTGCAGCCCTGGCCAGTTTGGCTCAGCGGTTAGAGCGTCGGCCTGCGGTCCGGAGAGACCCGGGTTCGTATGTACCTTGGTTGCAGTTTGTCCCCAGCCCTGGTTGGGTCATGTGGGTGGCAGCCACTCGATGTGTAGCTTTCACGTCGATGTTTCTCTCTCTCTCTCTCTCCCTCTCACTCTATCTGAGCAAAATATCGAAAAATGTCCTCAGGTGAGGATAAAAAAAAAAAAAAAAGAAAGAAAAGGTTGTGCAAAAGGACCATTCCCATTTCTCACTCTCTCTTCGGCCCAGGATCCTGATGCCTTGGCCTACCATCTATTAGAGGATGATTGTGTGGTCTGCTTCATGAATTCCTTAGCCCCAACAGGAGCTTAAATATAGGTGCTCCTCAGGCGTATGTCTCTTCCCACTCTGCAGACTCACGCAGGGAATCTCACCTCACCCCTGTACACAGATTAGTCTCAAATGTGTTTTCATGTCAGATCCCTCTGCTGAGCTCCAGCCCTGTGCAGCCAGCCGCCCGGTGATGTCTCCACGAGCATGGCGCACAAGCCCCTCAGGTTCACCACGTCCAACCTGAACTCAGCCCTCCCCAAACCTGCTCCTGGTTCGAGGGATCACTCAGTGGGGGGGACCACCGACCCAGTCATCCACCCAGAAACCTGGGCACCATCCTAGGCACCTTGTTCTTCCTCCCCTTCCTTCATCAATCACCAGATTCTAAAAATTCTCTTTTCTTAGTCGCACACAGGTCTGATCACCCTCTTCACCCCACACTGAACCCAGCAACCCCACCCTTCGTCCTGAAACCTCCGGCCTGGTCTCCCTGCCTGTCCTCTTGTCCACACAACTCCCCCCACCTGCTGCCCGCCCTTTAATTCCACTTGGCGTGAGCTTTCTACTGCCCCCCCCCCCCATTATTCCCTTTTGTGCCCCAGAGCCCTCCTCACCCCCTCCCACCACTCTGTTTTAATGTGTAGTTTTAGCTTGTATGTGTTCTTGCAAAGTGAAACTCTTGTGCATACATTTTTAATGTGTGTGTTTTTTTTTACTCAGCAGTAGGTTTTAGGTCCGGTCCGTGGTGCTACATGTACCAGCACTGCCTCTAACTGCTTAGTGGGACTCCGTGGCGCCCATTCTCTCCCTGAGGATGGATGCCCAGGTCCTCCTCTCCCAGGCACCACAAATAATGCTGACAGACTCCCGCATACATCTCTCCTTATGGCCTGTGGAAGGATTTCCCTGAGACGTGTGCCCATGAGTGGACTCTCAGGGTCATGGGCATACATAAACTTAATATGACTGAAAAGGGACAGACCCCTGTTCAGGATGGCTGCACTCGTCTACCTCCCACCAGCAATGCCTGGGGATTCCGGTATCCCCACGAGGACGAGCTTTCTAAAGCAGAAATCTGCACAAGTTCCTCCCCTGCCTGCCCTCCCCTCCCCATCATGCCTTCCCACTGTTCTCTGGATGAAGTCTCCCTTCTTAACACAGCCTCCAAGGCCACAGTGACCAACCCTTGCCCTCCCCTTCCCTCCCACTGGGCTTCATTGGACCTACGTACCTGCTCTTGGGCCTTGGCCCTATGTGCCCCGTTCTCCATACAAACCCACCAAGTGGTCATCTTTCCAAACCCCCTGGAGGGGCACCTTGGCCCTGGGAAGCCTTCCCTGACACTCCAACCCCAAGCTAGTCTATGCACCTCCTCTGGACTTCACAGCTGTATACTTCCCTTCATCGCAGTACTGGCCTGCTGGGCTGTGGGTGTCTTTATGTCTCTTCTACTTCCATTAGGCCACAGTTTCTCAACCCCGGCATGTCTGACATTTGGGATGAATAATTCTTCCCCATGCGGGCTTTTCTGTGCATGGCAGGATGTTAAGCAGCATCACTGGCCTCTACCCACGGAGGCCAATAACAGCATCTCCTTCCCCAAGTTGTAACAACGAAAAATGTCTCAAGACATGGCCCAATAGTCCCTGGGTGTCAAAAATCACCCCTCTGTGAGGAGCCACTACATCAGACCATAAACTGCCCAGGGCCTGGGGCAGAGTCTCATTCATGTCTGTATCTCTGGCACCTGAAACAGGTCTGACCCAAGTGAGCTGCTCAGTACATGTTGCCCAAATGAATGGTGACCAATCTCTGGGTGAAGACCCAAGGGTGGGACTCAGAGATTAGGGTTCTGGGATATGCATGATGTCATAGGATGGGGGAAGTCTCTTCTTTTCCTCCATCAAAAACCACCCAAATCATCTCCTTTTGTACTTACGCCCTCCCTGTGTGGGGAGGGGAAATGAAACATCCAGCAAGCTTATGGTGTGGAGCAAGCCACTTGGCCTCTCTCAGCCTCAGCTTCCCCACTTACACAATGTGGACAAACTGCCTGTGTGAGTCCATACATGTTGGCTGAGCGGTGAAGGCCATGCTCCTGTCCCAGATTTGCTGCACAGAGCAAGACTGTGCCAGACCCTGAGGCATCTCCCACGAGGAAACACTCAGGGGAGAGAGGTGAGCCACGTGGCATTTATGGTGAGCATGGCTGGGGCTGGGGCCTCCCCTGAGGAGGGCTGGGGACTCAGGTTCATCACTGCTTCAAGGACATTGTCCAGGAGCCCAGGGCCTGCATGATCCAGGAGCGCCGCTGGTGAGTAGTGGGCAGGTTCTCACAACTAGTGCTCCAGCGGTGTGTGGTGGCCGGGTCACATACCCACGAGTCCTCATGTGACAGTGGCCAGGAGTTCCGCCAGCCGTTGGCCAGGATGTTGTCCTGGGCCTGGGCTGCATAGATGCACACTGATGCTTCTGGGTCATGTCTCAAGTTCTCCAGAGCTTAGTCATGGAAATAGAAGAGGCCACTTGTTAAGACCCAGTCCCCATCTGGGTCTCATACCTCCTCCTTCCTTCTCGCTTCCATGTCTTAGCTAAGGCACCCTCTACTCAGCCTCCCTCATCTTACCTTCCTCATAGCTCTTCAAATTGTTTACACTTCAAAGCTTGAAGCAAAACCTGCCTCCTCCAGAAAGTCTTCTTGGATTGCCCCGGTCTACCTTTAGCTTTCCTGGTTTTCTGAGCCTGGTTTCCTAGACTATAAGCTTCCCTAGGATGGGGCTGTGCCCTGTGTCTTGGTGACTCCATGGTACCAACATGTACTCGCCTGCATATAGACTAACACACTGAACCAAGCTGAGATTCTTACCTTGGAACCCATCCTTCCCTTCCCTGTGACCCACTGTAAGCCTACTCATTCTCTCGCTGGCCCCTGAAATCTCACCAATGTAGGGCACAACTCACCGGTTTTAACTTCATTCAGACGATCTTCTGTCATTATGCTTTCCATGAAGGGGACCAGGGACCCTTGAGCATAATCCAAGAGTTGAGCACATCTGCCTCCTGATTCTGACCCCACTCCATCCCACTCTCGGACCAGAACTCCTCAGAGAAGCTCTCCCCACTCTTCTCCAGCCCCTCAAATTAGGACACAGCTGAAGAACTTCATTTTGACCCAAGAGGGGCCATGGGAGAGATGGCAGGCTTGAAGGGCAGGGATGGCGTCAGGACAGGGGCAGGATGTGAGCTGTAGCCAGTTCTGCTGGGCAGCCCCAGGTGGTCCCTTAGTCAGACTGGCCCTAGTACCCTCACCTGGACTTGGGAGGTGCTGCCTCAGCTGCCCCTCCCTGGGGAGTTTGAGCTACAATAACATGAAAGATGCCGAGTGCTGACATACTTTCTAGGCAGGCCGTTGGCAGGACCCTTGGAGGGGTTGAGCCCCTGCTCCTCAGCAGTATCATTTAACCCTCCCCCGCTGTGCACAGTTGGCAAGGTTGTGACCAGCACAAGGACTCCAGGCCGAATGCAGCCCGCGGCCCACTTCCCAGGGAGTGATCTTAGAGGAGAGAAGGCCTTTCCGATTCGCACCATAACTGTCTGCTGGCCAACCCTCAAACCCAAGGGGAGGCATCCACTCAGGTGCCAAAAGGGCTGGCAGCTTCCTTCCAAGGGGAGGAAGCAAATCGGAGGCTGTGTAGGGCCCCAGGGGCAGGACAAGTCGTGCCGCGGAAGGTTACCTATGAACATGACTGAGCACTTCCGGATGGAGGCCCGGGGGTTCTTGGCGTACTCCAGGCTCTGGCCGAGAAAGATGAAGGCTCTGTCTCGATGGGTGTTCACCTGGGACGGAGAGAACCCGAGAGTGCTGAGCCCTCACGGGGACTAATTACTCATCCACCCCTCCCAAAACTAGGAATGGTGACTGTCAGGCAGCCAGACCCTGGCCTCTTGCCTCCTAAATATTTCTGCCTGAGCCTCCAGAGGCCAGGTCTCATCTTCGGCAGAATACAGTCACTGCAGTGGTCTTTCTGTCTTGAGTGTCTCCTCTTCTGATCCTCCCCCCTACTGCAGCTGGAAGGACAGTTCTAACATGCAGGTCTAGCCACCAGTGAGAATGCACATCGTATGCAAGGGACATGATCAATAGAAGACAGGTCTGACAACTTGAAGGATTCAAGTTGCAGAGCAGTTGGGAATAAATTGGAGAGTGAGGAGGGTCTTAAAAGCCTTTAAAACTAGACAGGAACAGCGTTGACTTCCGCATTGGAAAATAGGTAGCCAGCGTTCATTCTTGATAAGGCAAAAGCAAAGCAAAGTTTTGGGCAAAATAATCTGACAGTAGTGTTCAGGATGAGTTTGATCAAGTAAAAAGTAGGGGTCAGGCATCCTACTAAGAGGCTGTTGCAGGAGATGAAGAGAAATCTGTTCTGATCACTCCTGTGCGGACAGTCTGCACATCAGGGGGTAAACTCCTGGGCCTGGCATGCAAAGCCTCATGACCGTGTTCCATCTCTGCCTCCACTTCCACCCCTGCCTCCACCTGCCATGCGCATTGTGCTCCAGGGGCGGCACATAGCCCAGCTCTCCCCAGATATGTGACTGATACAAGCGATTGCTCCTGATTGCAGTGCCCTTCCTGCCCTCTCTCCTTCACCCCTTGAGGCTCGGCTCAGAAGCCACCTCCTCCCTGAAGCTCCCACAACCCTCGGGCAGAGCTGATCCCAACACCCTTGACGTTTCTGCAGCATCTTGCACACTTGGGCACGGCACCTATGACACTGTGCTGTAACTATTTATACCTGTCTCTCCCACTGGGCTCTGAGCTCCCAAAGAGAAGGAGTCATGTCACTCAGTTCAAGGTCCTCAGCACCCTGGACAGGACTGGGCATGGTACAGGTGCCCAGAAAATGTTGGATGGATGGATGAATGAGTGAATAAATGAACTGATGAATAGGTTACCAACCCCTTCTAAAGCTAAGGCTAGAACATGAGCAAAGCTGTTGACACTTAGAGACCGAAGAAGAGACTGAGACTCCTGTGGGGTCTACTTTTTTTTTTTTTTTTTTATCCTCACCCGAGGACATTTTTTCATGTTTTGTTCAGATAGAGCGGGGGGGAGAGAGAGGAAGAGAGAGAGAGAAACATCGATGTGAAGGGACACATCGAGTGGCTGCCACCCGCACGACCAACCAGGGCCGGGGACAAACTGCAACCGAGGTACATGCCCTTAGTGGGAACCGAACCCGGGTCTCTCTGGACCGCGGGCCGACGCTCCAACCGCTGAGCCAAACCGGCCAGGGCTCCTGTGGGGTCTAACACAGAGGTCACAAGCTGGCAGCCCACAGGCTTCACGCGGCCAGCCAAGTGCTGACCCGCACAGTGTTTTAAGAAAGCGAAATTGATCGCTAACTAATGTGTTATAAAAATCTGGGTTTCTAGCTTTTCTTATGAAAAGAGGACCTGGCTGCACAGTGAGGTAGAGCACTCTGCTCAGCTTTCCACGGGGACCGGGCCCTCCGGGCTGCCACAGGCACAACCACTGCCACATCACTCGTGATCATCGTCTGCCCAGTCACTGGCCACTGGAGGGGTTTGGATTAGTACCCTGCCGAACACTTCCTCCAGGCCTTTTTCTCTCTCTGCAAAATGATGGTGATAATGTCAGACACTGGACTGAGGAGATTTTGAGCATTGGTAGTGTTAAGCCCTTTTCTCAATTCTAGTAACAATCTGTATATATTTGTTAGGTTGGTATGGGAGATGCTGGCATGCTCTGTCCAATCTCCCTTTGGGTACAAAAAAATGTATCCCCTCTAGGTATGGGGATTGACGTATCTGAAGAAAACGGCTGATCCAAGGTCATGTCCCTTCCCAGGGTGGCTGGCATCAGAGAGAGGTGGGCACAGGGGTGTAAAGACCTGACCCCCAGCCCCATTTGGAGAATCTCACACAGTGTTGGCTCAGGCCTCCCTGAAACTATACCGAAGCTTGACTTCTCCGCTCCCACTCCTGCTCCTTGCCTTCCCTTGGTGTTGGCCCCAAGGGTGCTCCGTCACAAACCCCTCATGCCAATCTGTGTCTTAGAGTCTGTGTCCTGGGGAAACAGGGAAGGTAAGTGGGACTGGGCGGCAAAGCTTCCTCAATGTCACGCGGAGGAACTGGGCTGTGACCTGCGATGCAGCCCTTTACTACCTTAGGATGTTCTCAGGTGTTACCTAGAAAGGGGTCAGATAAATTTGGGAAACTATAAATTAAACAACCATGAGACATGTCCTTGGCACAGAATATCTCAGAGACTTGAACGAGCTGGTGGCATTGCCAATGCCCAAGAGGAAGGAGACGGTGCAGTATTTTCCAAGCTCCTCTGAGAGCTTCGTTCTCCCCTGTAGGGTGTATCCTAGAGAACCGGTGTCACCGAGGGTACAACCTGGCATCACTGTTGTACAAAAGGGAGCCAATGAAGCCCTTCCAGCAGGATAAACACACGTGTGTGTGTTTTTTTATCCTCACCCGAGGACATTTTTCCATTTTTTGTTCAGGTAGAGTAGGAAGGAGAGAGAGGAAGAAAGAGAGAGAGAGAGAAACATCGATGTGAAAGGGACACATTGAGTGGTTGCCACCTGCATGACCCATCCAGGGCCGGGGACAGACTGCAGCCAAGGTATGTGCCCTTAGCGGGAACTGAACCTGGGTCTCTCTGGACCGTAGGCTGACGCTCTGACTGCTGAGCCAAACCGGCCAGGGCCAGATGTGTGTTTTAACCAAACCACTCTGCTGTCCTGGGTGGGGAATGGATTGGAGAAGATGAGGTTAAAGGCTGGGAGACCCACTGCATGCCCGACCCATGTCCTGGCTGAAGGGCATCCACAACCTGAATTAAAGGCAATTACAGTGCGGTTGGGGAGAGGAAAACAGGTTTAGGGGTCTTTAGGGTATTTAAGATTGATCCAATGTGGAAGGTGAGGGAGATGAAGGCGTCTGGGATGATTCTAGGGACCGAGAGGGACTGAGCAGAGTTCAGCTGGGAAGGCCACATGTCCAGAAGAGACATGCTGAGCCCGCAGTGATGTGGTTCAGCCAGGAGAGGTGTCTGGCCAGCCGCTGGAAAGGGAACACGGGGAGTGCGGAGAGAAGTCAGACAGAGCTGGACCCTCAGGAGCCGGCAGCGGGTGGTAGTAGGAGTGCCAGTCAGGATGTAAAAAGAAAGAAGAGGAGCCCTGGCCGGTTTGGCTCAGCGGTTAGAGCGTCGGCCCACGGACCAGAGAGACCCAGGTTCGGTTCCTGCTAAGGGCACGTACCTCAGTTGCAGTTTGTCCCCGGCCCCGGTTGGGGTCATGTGGGTGGCAGCCAGTCGATGCATCTCTCTCACATCGATGTTTCTCTCTTTCTCTTTCCCCCTCTCTCCCTCCTGCTCTATCTGAAGACAAATGCAAAAATGTCCTCAGGTGAGGATAAAAGAAGAGGAAAGAAAAGACTTGCCCACCTCCGTACTCGGAAGGAACCACTCTAGTCCTGGAAGCACTCACGAGGTAGTTGCAAATTTTGGTCACCGTCTGCTGCTGGCTGTCCCAGGGTTTCCTGCTATAAGCTCTTTTTGGCAACTCCCAAGCCATGAAGCAAGAGCAGCGGAACAGGGTCTTCACACAGAACTGGGGGCCAAGAGGAAGAGACCGTCAGAGCTGCGGAATTCCGGGACAGCCGGAAGCTGTCCCAGAAGAAGGTTGTGCGAAACTGGATCTGGGGAAATCGATTCTAATTTGAAATGTACAAGTGTGGTTGGTTGTCTGGAAGCAGAATTCTGACGGGTGCTTTTGGAAAATAGACTTCCCATGCTAGACTGCAGCGATTCTGGATCAGTGTCCACAGAGGGTGCGCACTCTCACCTGGCCCACTTTGGTGTTGCCCTCCTGCATGGTGAGCAGCAGGGGCACCAAGGCGCTGATCAGCTGCTCCTCCAGGGCAGGCGTGCAGGGTGACCGCAGCTTCTGGACCACCTTGCCATACAGGTTGATGCAGGAGGAGCGCACATCCTCTCGTGCCTGGGACAGACGCAGAGGCTCAGGCACGCTCCCTCCCCCAGGAGGCTGCCCGCACCTCTGAACCCCACAAGGAAGCACTAGGACCTCCTTCCACTCATTCTGAGTGGCCCTCCGGGCACAGGAGACGGAATAGCAGAGGCCGCCGGCTGGGGCTGATCTGGGGCTGGCATCCCCCTCACCAGAGCCTAGGTCCAGAGCTCCACCCGCTCTTCCCAGCCAGGGCTCCTGCACATCTAAAAGGTGCCTTAGTGCCAAGTGGAATAATGCCCCCCTCTGCCAGGACCAATAAAAATGCACCCCCTTTCGGTACACCAATTTCAATGAAGCAAGTCTCCGGGGAGACTTGATTCCAAAAGAAGAGCTCCCTCAGTGCGAGCCAGTTAGAAAGGACCTTTCTCTATGCAAACCTAGTACTGAATGACATGGACCACTGGGAAGGAGGTGCCCCTTCCCCTGGGCTGACTCGACCCTGCCCAGACCCCAGCAGGCCATGGACAAAGAACCACCCTCTGCACACCCTCTCCCACCCCTTCCGCTCTCCCACCTACCACCACCCCGCCCCGTGGGGTTTCTTACGTCACTGAAGTGTGGCAGCAGGACCTGCAGCATGTCCACGTAGACCGAGCTGTCATTCAGCTTCCGGTCCTGCCCCTTGAAGATGGTCTTGAGGTTGTGGCCCGCCTCCATCACCAGCAGCCCGTCCACATTCTTCAGGCCCTTCACCATGGAGGGTATGAGCGCCTGCACTTTGGCAGTCTGTGGGGCAGGAGCATGCGGGATGGGGGCGCCTACCTAGGCTAACAGGTGGGAGACCCAGCCTCTGATTCACTGGGCACTTGGTGAAACAAGTCCCACCTGCAGGCCTTTGCTCAAGGCACCCCACCCGCCCGAATGCCCTCGCTCAAGCTCTTGCTGTCCCCACAGCCCTCTTTGGCCTCGTGGACTCCGTCCTGGCCTGGATTCCAGGCCCTTTGGTGTCCACTCCCTTCCTTGTGTTATTAGTTAGCTTTCCTGTCGCTTCATCCCACTGTGTATATCATGAGCTGCAACAGTGACTGGTAGAAAAAAACAAAGCACTTTAAAAAATGCGAATGAGCCCTGGCTAGTTTGCTCAGTGGTTAGAGCATTGGCCTGCAGACCAATGAGTCACGGATTTGATTCCAGTCAAGGGCATGTACCTCGGTTGTAGTTCATCCCCGGCCTTGGTCGAGGTCATGCGGGAGGCAACCAGTCGATGTGTCCCTCTCACACTGATGTTTCTCTCTCTCTTCCTCCCTCCCACTCTATGTGAAGATAAATGGAAAAATATTCTCCGGTGAGGATTAAAAAATAAAAATGCTAATGATGCCCCAACAATCCTGGCCTTGGTTTCCTAATCTGCAAGACTGGAATGATTACTGCCAGGCCCAGCGCCTCCTACACACACTGCCTTTGGGGTCATTGCCTGGATTAGAAACTGTATCAAGAAGAATAAAGTATTTAGGGAATTATTAGAGATACTCATTTTGAAGATGGGGCAACTGATTTTATAGATGGATCAGAAACGGGCTCTGACTCTAGCACCAGCATCTGAGAGTCCCTGAGGGCAGCTCCATCCTCCCTCCAGCCCGAGTCGGGCGGGGCCGGGCCCTTCTCTGCCCCCGGCTCACCTTCTCAGTCCTGCGGGCCAGGATGACCAGGCCTCGGATGGACAGCACCTTCATGACGGGGTTGTGGTGGTTCAGGCCTTCCGCCATTCGCCCCAAAGAGTACTCCTCGGGGATCCGCCGCACCTGCTCCATCTGGAGGAGCTGAAGGAGCAACGGTAATTACTCCGTGTCCCCATGCACTGGTAGTACATGTCAGATGACCAGGGACCGAGTGGGGGGCGTAACTGATTACTGCCTGGTCAGCACTGTCCAATGCAGGTCATATATATTAGCTTAAATTTTTTAATAGCCACATTTTTTAAAAAGTAGAAATAGGTAACATTAACCTTAGTAATACATCTTATTTAACCCAGTATATCCAAAATATTATCATTTCAACATGCAATCAATATAAAATTTATTTATATATTTCTCATTGGTGTGAATTTTATACTTAAAACACATTTCAATTCAGACAACTGCATTCCAGGGGCCAAACAGGCCCCCTGTGGCTGGTGGCAGTTGCATTGGACAGCCCGGGTCCAGTTAGTGATGGCCACTGGCCCGTCTCCACCCGGCACAGTGGTGACGGCCCTGCGCCCTGTCCCTTCCGCCCACTCTCCTCAGTGAGCCTCCACTCTCAGGATCTTAACTACTATCCCCAGGCAGATAACTCCTAGAGATCTGTCTCAGCCTCCGTTCGAGCTGATTCGGAAACAAGTATCACCGCACATCTCCAGTGGGTGTCCAGCACCTCATGCCAAAGCCGAACATGTCACTGCCCAGCTCAGAGCCCTGGTGCCCCCACTGCCTTTCACCATCAACCCTAATTGCCTGGGGCCTTATCACGCCAACCTACCCTCTAGCCACGCTCTTACCATCAACCAGCCTCTACCCAAGCCGCCCAGTGTTCATGGATGACCCAGGCTCTTCTGTCCCTTTGGTGTGGGCATGATGTCCTTCTGCCGGGGCACCCACCTCTCCTCCAGCCTCTGCTTACCTTGCATGGCTCAGCCCAGAGCCTGGCCCCGGGGAGCCATGTCTGACAGTGCCCCAGGCCGCCCCTAGGCTGACAGCGCCCTGCTCTGGGCCCCCAAGAGCCCTGAACATGGAGATCTCGGTGCTCCCATCCGCTTCTGCACCTGCCTCCCCCACCCCACTGGGGGATCCCTGAGGACACGAATGAGTGTATCTTCTTGGGTCCATTACCCAACACAGCCCCGGTGTGGAGCATGTGCTCAGGGGACACCTGTTGCATGGAACATGAAATTTGGTCCTTTCCCATTGGAGTTGCCCTTCCTCCTGTGTCCCCATTGCAAGGTTAGCACCACCAGCCACCGCCACCCTTGTCCCAGCTGCAAACCAGGCATCACCCTCCTCTCCTTTCGATCCCTCACCACCCTCCCCAGCCGCCATGACCGCTGGTCTTCAGTTCCTGCCTCACCGTCCTCATAAACACTCCTCCTACCTGTTCCCTTGCCCTACATCTACTGAGACCATTGAGACCACGTGTCTGTGTGATGAGAAGAGGGAGCTGGGGAGAGGTGCTCATCCATCTAACAATTCTCAGGCCTGCTCTACACCAGGTTCTGTGCTGGGCACTGGAGACATAGAAGAGAGTAACCATCGTAATAAAAATAGCAGCAGAGCTCACACAGAGCATGCTTCCTGTGTTCTGGGTGTTTCACATAAACTCACTGAATCCTCATCAAAACCCTGAGATGAGCAATTCGTTATCCCCATTTTACAGGTGAGGAAACTGAGGTGCAGGCAGGTTTAGTAACTTGCACAAGGTCACACAGCTCCTTGAGGAGTTCACTGGCCATTGGGAGAAGCAAGTACACACAAGACAATCACAGCTCAGGGGCCAGGGGGAGCCAGGGAGGGACATCTGAGCTACATCAAAGTTCCACAGTGTTCGTGGTGGGCCTGGCCCTGGCCAGGAGCAGGGCTACCTCTTCTGGGGAATAGGAGAAACTAGGGGAGGACCCTTGCTTCAGGAAGGGGGTGTCACTCAGGGTTCCAGGGGAATGCTGGGAAAGGTTAAGTCTAGAGTCTATGACCTTGTGGTAGAGTCTTCTGAGATCTGGCAAGATCCAATGTCCACTCCCTCCCTGAAGAACCCATATGGTAGCCACTAAGACTAAGAAGCATCTCTTGTCCAGCCAGTGTGGCCCAGGACACATGCCCAGGTTGTGGGCCCGATCTTTAGTGGGGACATGCAGGAGGCAGCCAATCGATGTTCTCTCTCATTGATGTTTCTCTCTCTCTCTCCCTCTCACTTCCTCTCTCTCTAAAAAAAAAATCAATAAAGGGAAAAAAATTGTTTTAAAGAAGCATCTCTCCCACGAGGCTGATGGGAATAAAGAGCCAGTCAGGAAGACCTGGTCTGAATCTCTCTGGACTCCTTGAGCAGTGTGACCTTCACAAATGTCCCTCACCTCACCTACACCTGAGCATCACAAGTCCTTCTTGGTGGCGCTGCTGTGCAGATGGACGGGGTAACTAACACATGAAAGAGGTCAACACGGTGTTTGGCACGTAGCAGGCCCTCAGGAAATGGTACTTTCCCTTTCCTCACCAGGGCCATGCGGGCAGTTAGAAGTAGGACCCATGCTTATCCTCACGCGGGTGGCATGTTCTGCTGCGTCCATTCAGCCCCCATCTCAGAGCCCTCTCAGGGCTGGGCTGGGGATGTCGCATGAACATGACTCCGCAGACTCACAGTCCAGCTGGACAGGCAGAAAGATGCGCAGAGTGCCCGGAACGCCATGCTGCCTCCGGTCCATCTGGCAAACTTTGCTCATCGTCAAGGCCCAGCTCAAATGACACCTCCTACAGGAAGCCTTCCTGAACCGAGCCTCCTGCCTCTGAGCCCCACTGTACAGGCCCTGGTGATAGCCCTGACCCCCTGTGTGACAACCAGCAAGTCCAAAGAGGCACAGAAGGGTGGGATAGGAGAGCAGGTTTTGCAAGTGCCCATCAACAGATGAATGGATGAACAGAATGTGGTCTATACACACCATGGAATATGATTCAGCCTGAAAAAGGAATGAAGTTCTGACCCCTGCTACAACATGAATGAACCTTAAAATCAATGTGTTAAGTGAAATAAACCAGATAGTGTATGATTCCACTTATATAAAACCTAGAATAGGCAGATTCACAGAAACAGAAAATGGAACAGTGGTTGCCAGAGGCTAGGAGAGAAGAGATGGGAGCTTCAGTTTGGAGAGGAAGATTAAAACGTTCTGAAGATAGATGGTGGTTACAGTTGTTCTACAATGTGAATGCACTTAATCCCACTGAACTGTACACTTAAAAATGGTTAAAATGGCCCTGACCGGTTTGGCTCAGAGGTTAGAGCGTCAGCCCACGGACCAGAGAAACATGGGTTCGGTTCCCACTAAGGGCACGTACCTCGGTTGCAGTTCGTCCCTGGCCCTGGTTGGGGTCATGCAGGTGGCAACCAGTCGATGTGTCTTTCTTACATCGATGCGCCCCTCCCACCCCCCCGCCTCTTGCTCTATCTGAAGATAAATGCAAAAATATGCTCGGGTGAGGATAAAAATAAAAAAGGTCAAAATGGGCCCTGACCAGGTGGCTCAGTTGGTCAGAGAGTCATCTTGCATACCAAAAGCTTGCAGTTCAATTCCCAGTCACAGCACAGGCCTAGATTGTGGGTTTGATCCCCAGTCAGGGTGTGTATGGGAGACAACTGACTGATGTTTCTCTCTCACTTCAGTGTTTCCCCCTGACTCTCTTCTCTGTCTAAAACTCAATTTTAAAAATATATCTTCACCTGGCTAGTTTGGCTCAGCAGTTAGAGCGTCAGCCCTCAGACCAAAGAGTCTCAGGTTCAATTCCTGGTCAAGGGCACGTACCTCAGTTGTAGGTTCGATGCCCAGCCCTAGTCGGGGGATTGTGCAAGAGGCAAGCAATCAATGTGTCTGTCTCACATCAATGTTTCTCTCTCTCCCTCCCTCCCTCACTTTCATTCTATCTGAAAAAACTCAATGGAAAAATATCCTCAAGTGAGGATTAAAAAAAAAAGACAAGTTCAGGCTGATAAACAGCAAAATAAATCTTTTTTTTTTATCCTCACCCAAGGACATTTTTCCATTTTTTGTTCAGATAGAGCGGAAGGGAGAGAGAGGAAGAGAGAGAGAGAAACATCGATGTGAAGGGACACATCAAGTGGCTGCCACCCGCACGACCAACCAGGGCCGGGGACAAACTGCAACTGAGGTACGTGCCCTTAGCGGGAACCGAACCCGGGTCTCTCTGTACCGCAGGCCGACGCTCCAACCGCTGAGCCAAACTGGCCAGGGCGTAAATCTTGAAAAAAACTGTGCCTCCCCCAAAAATATCCTCAGGTAAGGATAAAAAAATAAATGTTTAAAATGGTAACTTTTATGACATACAGGGTTCGGGCAAAAGTAGGTTTATAGTTGTTTGTATGGAAAATACAATAATAAATACTAATACAAGAATAAACTCTGTTTCATGTATTTACAACTGTAAAACTACGTTTGCCCCACCCTATATTTATTTTAACACACACGCACAACTCAAGGGAGTGTGTTTAAGAGTCTAGATGTCTGGGTTTTAATCCCGGATCTGCCACTCATGAGTTGCAAGGCCTTAGGAAAGTTACTGAAATCTGTGCCTCAGTTTCCTCCTCTAAAATGAGGGATAGAACAGTGTCTGCATCAGACTGTGAGGACTCCATGGCTCAACATGTGCAGAACTCTCGGAATGTGCCTGGAAGATAGTAAGTGCTCAGTAAATGTTCTGTTACTATGAGTCTCCTCTGTCAACCTTCTCGCGACTCATCTTTCCCCAGCACCCTCTCCCAGTGCCCACACGCACTCACTCAGCTTAGACGGCACTTGCTCCAGGAAGCCCCCACGGCACCCCACCACCTCGAGTCTCCTGGTCTCCTACCACAGCCTGGACTGCCCCATCACAACACACATCACTTTATGGCACCCGTGTTATAATAGGAGGTCCTCTGTCTGCTCTGTTGCACCACGAATTCAATGAGAGCAGGGAGGAGTCAAATTTACATTCGTCTCTCCAGTCTGACAACTGGCACACAGAAGTGCCCAGCAAAGGATGATGGCTGCCTGGGGCACTAACGGGGTCTGAGAAGAGTGGAATGGGGTGAAGGAGTGGAGAGAGGAATTGAGAAAGGAGGAAAAAGGGAACCCTTCAGATTCAAGAGAAATTATGTTCACAAGAGACTGTAACTTGTTCAGTTCTGTTTGCACAGGAGGAAGGACCTGTAAGGTGAACTGAGGCCTGTACCCGGGGGAAGGCCTGCGAGCAGCCCCCACCCTGCACCCGGGCCCGCCTGGTACCTCCACGAAGAAGGCGGTGGCGGTGACCTTGTGCTTCTCGTCGCCTCGCTCCAGGAGCGGGATGAGCAGGTAGAGGATGCGGCACATCTCCTGGCAGGAGTAGTGCACCATGGCCCTGGGGGTGGGGGACAGCAGCCACTCAGGCTCTCCGGCCCCAGGGAGACCTGCTGGGTGGGCGTCTGGCCCCGATGCTGGGAACTAGGGACAAGACAGGTTCCTGGGTTCCCAAGGTTTCCCATTTGCATGGTGCCTCGAGCACAGTAAGTGCTCAGTGAATGGGGCTGTATCCTGAGACCCGAGGGAGAGCAGCGCCCTGGACACTCGGGGCCGGGCTGAGAGGCGGGCTGCTCCCGCAGGAGTCCCTTCGCTGAAATCAAGGTGCTGCCTCCCGACCCGTGGGAGGCTGTGTGTGGGTGCAGCGAACAGCCCGATCTGGGCCAGCAGCTCATTTCCCATCTTTGCCACTTCCTGGCTTTGTGACCTTTGGTACCTGACTGCCCGTCTCTGGCATCTTCCCCTGCATCGGTAACACCTGCCCCACCAGTCAGCACAACGACAGTGAAAGCCAGCCTGTGTTGAGCTCTTACCACATGCCGGGGCTGTTCCAAGTACTTTATCGAGTGGTTGCCACCCACACGACCCAACCAGGGCCGGGGACAAACTGCAACCAAGGTACGTGCCCTTAGCGGGAACCGAACCCGGGTCTCTCCGGACCGCAGGCCGACGCTCTAACCGCTGAGCCAAACCGGCCAGGGCCCAAGTACTTTATTTAATCCTCGCCCCAAACCTTGGATGTGGAGCCTGTTTCTATTTCCACACTCCTGAGGGAAAACCGGGGCACGGACAGGGAAGTGACCTGCCCTGGGAAATGGCGAGTTGGGGTTCAGGCGCAGGCAGACAACTCCAAGGCCGCACTCTGAGCTGTTCAGCCACCCCAGCATTTCTGCATTCGTGTGGAATCACATTCATAATGCAGTGACACAGGTGCTTTCTAAATCAGCTAAGAGTCTGCATGGCCCGCGCCGTGATAACCAGTGTGCCTCCGCAGAGGGGGCGCCATCTCTCCCGTCTGCATCGTCTCCCCGCCGAGGCAGAGGACACGCGGCTGGTTCCAGAGAAGAGGTGGTGGAATGAGGGAAGGGTCTTGCCCAAAGAGACGCAAACGGAAGTCTGTCTGAAGATGCTGAGGCCTCTCCCCTCCCTCCAACCCCTGCCCCAGGGGTCCCTGGCCTCACCTTGCCAGCATGGACACTCCTCGGTGGTGGTTCTCCGCCTGCCCCATGAGCTCCCAGCCGCCCTGGTCATCCAGAAGGGTGGCCTCGTATGAGCAGCCCATCTTCAGCAGCAGGGTTTTCACCACTTTGACCACCCAACTGCCAAGACAAGGGGGCTGAGACCTCACGCCACCCCACCCCCAGCAGGCTGGGCCTCCCTCCACCCGGGCCTCTCCCACTATCAGCTCCCATTTGGCCAGACAAGCTTTTCTCTGCCATGCTAGTTGTTAGCTAGTGATGTTCAGTTACCCACGGAGAGTGGCTTTGTACAAACAATCATTAGCTTTGAGAACAAGAGAATAAACAGAAGCAAAATGCCCCTCCCTTTGGAGCTGGTGCTTCCCCTGCTTTCCCCTGAGCCTCAGTACTGGGGGAGAGGCCGGGCTGGGCCTCCCCACCTCCCCGCCTCCCCTCTCCCCCCTCCTCCCTCCCCACCTCCCCACCTCCCCGCCTCCCCGCCTCCCCGCCTCCCCGCCTCCCCGCCCCTGCCTCACTCTGCCCTCCACTCCCATCAAGCCCATTTGGACACAGTCTCCTGTCCAACCCTGTGTCCTTCATCAGCTCAGGACACTTAAGTAGTGATCCCAAACCTAGATGCACAACAACTGTCCCTGGAGCTGTACAACCTGGGGACTGAGCAGGCTGGGACCCAGGCCTCTGTGCTTTTGAAGCCTCTGGGGGAGCTTGAGAAGCCCTGCGGTGCGGGGGGAGGAGGGCACCGCCAGGGACTGTCAGCTACTGTGCGTCCTGCGCAGCACTGGGTGTTCCCAGATGCAGAGTGGACTGTATGTATATGTGTGTGGGCATATATATGCATTCATGTGTGAGTATGTGTGTATAAACCTTTATTAGAATAAAGACCACAATGTGAGTAGTAAAGTTTACATTTACATAGTGTTTTCCAGAAACCCAAACCCTGGCTTTATTTATTTATTGGCACACGCCCCTAGCAGGAACTGAACCCGGGACTCTCTGGTCCGCAGGCTGATGCTCCAACTGCTGAGCCCCACCCACCAGGGCCCCAAACCCTGGCTCTAAAAGTTTATGGCACAGTTGTGTGGACACACCTCAGATGACACCAAGAGCTGGTAGTTCTCAGGATTCAAGATAAAATATCAAAGCATTTTGGAACTCAGATAATGTTCAGGAATTTGCTCTTAATTTTCATGTATTTGGTTTTGTAATGAATATTAGTCCTGTATGAAAAGTCAAGCTTCTCCTGAGCCAGGGCGTTCAGAGTCATGCACCCTCTGTGCCGATGCTTTGGAACATGTGCTCAGTGACAGCCCTCCCCAGCAATGCCTCCCGAGTTTAAGGTTACACACACATGCACATGCATGCACATGCACAGAGGGATAAAGGGAGGCAGGCTCTAGGTGTTGTCCACCCAAAGAGCCTAGTGCTCACCTCCCAACACTCCCATCCACTTGCTTCCCTCACCCCCAAAACTCCAAGCACTGGCCAAATGGCTAAGCTGAGATTTATACATTTGTGTTTGGAGAAGAAAGGTTATAGCTTCCATTTCCAACATTAACACCTTTAACTAAAACAGAATGAGCCACCTGCGTTTGCCATCTGCTATGACGTGACCACCCTCCCTGGGTGTCTCCATCTCCAGAGCCAGTTGGTCACCTTCTCACTGACAGGGCTGGGAACGACATTGAGCTCAGGACTCAGAAGCTCCGCAGAAACAACCTGACCTAGAGGTTTCAGACAGTCACAGCTTTTACCCAGAGCCCTGGTCCTCCTCTGTGCGGCCAACGAAGAATGTAGATTCAGGCCAAAGCTTCGGAACACAGAGCTGCATTACCATCGCTGGCCCTCTCCGGTTCACGACGTCCTCAACAAGGCTCCAGAGTTGAACAGCAGTGACCCTCCTCATCTCCCTTCCTCCCCACCTCACTCCCAAAGATATGCCTATAAAAGCCCAAAGGAGGCCAGCCAGCCTGTGCTGCTTTGTAAGAAGGCAGAGGTCACAGCTGGGAGCTGCGGGGAGGGAGGCTCCCCAAACACCCGCTCTGCAAGCTTCACCTGCCTGAAGATTCTCAGTTGTACCCAGCGAAGTGGAGCAGGGATGCCCAGTCCCTGACAAGGATCCAACACAGAGCTGCTTCAAAGTCCCAGCACCAGAAACACAGGAAAGAACTGTGTTTTTTGGCATCAGGGCAAGGGCTGGAGAGGCAGCTTTCTCCCGGACAGACTTGCTGTCAGAGGCCGTCGTTCCTTTGGTGAGCCCTTCCCCCACGGGGCAGGCAGATGGCCACCATATCTGGGACACCAGCAACCTGGCTCACACTGTTTGCCCCGCCCTGGTGATTCTCTGAGGCCCCGCCCCACCCAGCTTTTGGGCCCGCCCAAGCTGTTTCCAGTGGCTTTACTAAAGGATTGGCCTGTTTTGGTTCCTGCTTCAAATTTTCCTAAATTCTCTCAAAAAAGCAGCATCTGGCCACAGGGAGCCCCATATCTCTCGTTAAGTGGCTCCAGGCCTGGCACTAGAAACAGCCAACCTTGGTTCACAACTTGGCTTTGCCTGGGCACCTCCAAGCCCAGCATAAGAAGCAGACATCTGAAGATCACTTTGTAGCTTATGCCTGGTGGCCTCGGGTAGAACACAGGCAGAGGCTGACCTTGCCCCAGAGCCATCACACCCAGTGGACAGTTCAGACCACATCGAAGCACCACCACCCAATCTCCTCCACAAGTGACACACTCAAGGAATGAACTCAGTAGGTACCAGAGCCCTGCTGAAGTAAGTCTTGCTCTGTGTGTGGGCCCCTACACAGATGATCATCCAAGGTAGTCAGAGTTTGGTGGATAGTGGACACAGCCAGTCCTTGCAGCTGATCAGCCTGAGTAAAACCCTCCCATTGATGTGCCAACAGCATTCAAGACTCAATTACAACAGAAGAGTGAAAAGTCCACAAGAGGGTGCACCTTGAGGGCCCAGCTGGGGTGATCAGGGAAGCTGTGCCACTGGACCCTATAGGACACCTACTACAATAGGCCACCCTATAAAGCCTAGGAGACATAGCAACTACCTAATAATACATAGAAACAAACACAGGGAGGCAGCCAAAATGAAGAGACAAAGAAACATGTTCCAAATGAAAGAAAAGAACAAAACTCCAGGAAAAGAACTAAACAAAATGGAGATAAGCAATCTAACAGATGCGAAGTTCAAAATACTGCTGACAAGGATACTCAATGAACTTAGTAAGAATTTCAGAGAACTTCATGAGACCATCAAGGAACTTAGTGAGGACCTCAAGAGCATAATAAAGGATCAGTCAGAAATGAAGGAGGCACTAACTGAAATAAAGAATAATTTACAGAGATTCAATAGTAGAGTAGGTAAAGCCAAGAAGCAAACTATTGAATTGGAATATAAGGAAGCAAAAAACACCCAATCAGAACAGAAAAAAATAAAAAAGAATCCAAAAAATGAGGATAGTTTAAGGAGCCTCTTGGACAACTTCAAGTGTACCAACATTTGCATCATAGGGGTGCCAGAAGAAAAGAGAGAGCAAGAAATTGAAAACCTATTTGAAACAATAATGACAGAAAGCTTCCCTAACTTGGTGAAGGAAACAGACATACAAGTCCAGGAAGCACAGAGAGTCCCAAACAAGATGACCTCAAAGAGTCCACACCAAGACACATCATCATCAAAATGCCAAAGGTTAAAGACAAAGAGAGAATCTTAAAAGCAGTTAATTACCCACAAGGGAGCTCCCATAAGGCTGTCAGCCAATTTCTCAAAAGAAACTTTGCAGGCCAGATGGGAGTGGCAAATAATATTTAAAGTGATGAAAAGCAAAGACCTACAACCAAGATTACTCTATGCTGAAAAGCTATCATTTAGAATCGATGGCCATATAAAGAGTTTCCCAGACAAGAAAAAGCTAAAGGAATTCATTATCACCAAACCAGTACTACTGGATATGAAATGTTGAAGGGTGTTCTTGAAGAAAAAGAGGATTAAAAAATATGAACAATAAGCCCTGGCCGGTTTGGCTCAGTGGTTAGAGCGTCAGCCTGCGGTCCACAGAGACCCGGGTTCGGTTCCCGCTAAGGGCGCGTACCTTGGCTGCAGTTTGTCCCCGGCCCTGGTTGGGTCGTGTGGGTGGCGGCCACTCGATGTGTCCCTTTCACATCGATGTTTCTCTCTCTTCCTCTTTCTCCTTCCTGCTCTATCTGAGTAAAAAATGGAAAAATGTCCTCGGGTGAGGATAAAAAAAAAAAAATATGAACAATAAAATGGCAATAAATACATATCTATCAACAACTGAATCTATAAACAAGATGAGCAAGCAGAACAGAAACAGACTCATAGATACAGAGAACTTTTTGTTGGTTGCCAGATGGGAAGGGGTTGGGTGAAAAAGATGAAGGGTTTAAGATGTACAAATTGGTTGTTAGACTGAGGAACCTCAAAGGGAACGGGGGAGGTAGGGCAGGAAGAGAGAAACCAAGGAATTTCTATGCGTATGCATAACCAATAGACACTGACAATAGTATGGGGAAGGCAAGAGGGGATGGGAGTAGGGAGGAGAAGGTCAAGGCAGGGAGGAAAAAGGAGGGACATCTGTAATTCATTCGAGAATAAAGATAAGTTTAAAGAGAAAAAAAAAAAAAAAGCCCCAGGCTGCTGCAGGGCATGGAAGCTGGGCTTCACGGGATGAGCGGTCAGGCTGTACCTGTGGGGTCCTGTCCACAGGACTCTCCCCCTCCAAAGCCCAGTGTGTGTGACAGGGCTGGCATCCACACTCCCCGCCTCCACCCACTCTCCTCACGAGTGTGACAACCTCTGTGCACTAGGCAGTCCCATGGCGTGTCCCAGTGACTCGCTCAGCTTCCACACTCCAGTGTCTTAGTTTCCTGTGGCTACCCTAACCAATTACCACATATCTGCTGGCTTAAAACAATGGAAATTCACTCTTTCACAGTTCTGGACACCAGAAGTCCAAAACCCAGTTGTGAGCAGGGCCACGCTCCCTCTGGAGGTCTGGGAGAATCCGTCACTGCCTCCTCCCATTTCCCGTGGCTCGCGGTGTTCCTTGGCTCGTGGATGCATCACTCCAGTCTCTGCCTCTCCTCACGTGGCCTTCCCCTCTGTGTGTCTCTTTTCTTCTTCTAAGGACACTTGTCCTTGGACTTAGGGCCACCTGGTTAGTCCAGGATGATCTCATCACAAGATCCTTAGTTATATCTTCAAAGACTCTTTTTCCAAGTAAGGTCACGGTCATAGGTTCCAGGTGGACATGTCTTTTGGGGAACACTCAGCCCACTTACACCCAGGTACTACCCCATGCCTCTTCTGGCCCCCTGCAGCGTGGCACTTGCCCACCTCTGTTTTTTCTGTCTCAGAGCTGCTTCCCGGGAGGCAGAGGTGACGTGGACACCCGGGCTCTCTTCCAGCTCCCCGTACAAGCGTCAGCTGAGTGAAGCTGTCCAGGTCAGGAGGTCACACCCTTCACTCGACAGTCCAGAGCTTTTCCACGACATATTCCTCTTCCTGCTCCAGCACCCCTTCCACTTTCTTCTGGCTTTGTTTTCCCTCGAGCCCGCCAGCTTTCTGGTCTTGGGTGACATCGCACAGTAGTACCTAGGAGTGCCCGGGGAGTGAACCAGCATCGTGCTGGGATACGATACGATCTAGTCCTCACAACACACCTGACAGGGAGAAATCACCCCATTTCATAGGCAAGGGAACCAAGCCACCAAGAAGTTAAATTGATTTACCCAAAATACATAGCACTAAGTGATGGAACCGGATTCGAACCCAGCTACACAGCTGCCTGCGCTCTGCCCCTCAACCCCTCAAAGTGCACCTTTGTGAACATGACACACAATGGAAGCCAAAAAGGAAAAGACACACAATAAAATAGTTGCAGGTCAAGTGACAAACTAGAATACAAATGACAAAGAGTAATGTCCTTAATATATAAAGAGCTTTTACAGATAATTAAGAGAAATTCCCAATAGTCTTATATAAAAGGACAAAGACCAGGTGGCTCACAGAAAAGAAAACAAATAGAATTTCAACCTCAACCTCACTCATGATAAGAGAAATACAAACTAAAATTGCAGCGAAATCTTTTTTTTCTTTTTTCCAGTTTTCATATTGGCAAAGATGAAAATGTTTGCTACTACATTGTGCTGGCATAGTGGGAGGAAGTAGACACTCATACACTCCTGTTGGCAGTGTCCTCTGTGGGCGGCAATTTGGCAAATTTGTTGCTTCAGGATGTATTCCAATTCCGTGTTCGTTAGTTCATGGTCAAGAACTCTTTCCACCACATATTCCTGTTCCACTTGTTTCACCTTAACATGTAACAGAAACTCTTTGATGCTGCTGTTCTGCCGTCAGGAATTCCTCCTGTAGATACAGCCGCACATGTGCAGACAGACATGTGAACAAGCAAACTCTCAGCAGCATTGTTTGTCATTGCAAAGGGCTGCAAAGTCCCCAAATCGAGGACCCTGGTGAAATAAATGATCGTACACTGAAAAATTTTACACAGGAATATTATGCAGCTGTTAACAATGATGAGCAGTGTGTATGTAGCTATCTCCAAGATATGGCATACGCTAAAGCAGATATGTACAGCTGTGTAAGGTTCACAGTTCCATGGGTATAACAATAGAGAAAGAGACGTGTGCTTATCTCTGCACACACCACCCCAGGAAGGGCATGGAAGAACTCTGTGCTTCTGGGCAGGTAACTGGAGTGAGGAGAGGAAAGGAAACTCACTTTTAATGTCTTTGAAATGTTTACCATGTGCATACGTTACCTATTCTGATTAGTAATTTAAAATTGGGTGGTTGGGACTTGGATACAAACCTAATAAATTACTAACTCTGGGGAGAGGAGGAAAATGACATGGCGAGCCGCATGGGGAGGGCTGGTTCTCTCCCACGGCCCAGCACCAAGAGTCTGACACACAGCAGGTGCTGTCATACAGCTGCGGGACAAAGTACTGCTTTCACAAAAGGGTGCTTCTGTTTTCTCTCCTAGTCCCACAGCTAATTTCTAGTTCTATTGATCAACCGCCCTGAAGACTTTCGGAGGGGCCCTTGCTGTGTGGCCCTCCCCAAGCCAGCGACAGAAGGAGCCTACCACACAGGTATGAAGACGGAGGGCTGTGCGTTCTTCTTGATGTCCATTCGGGAAGCCAGGCAGCCAGGCAGGTGGAGGCCGATGTGGTAATGGACCTGGATGAGCAGGGCCAGGAGCAGCTGCGGGTAGATGCGCCTGACACGGCCCAGGCAGCTGTTGACGGACAGGAGCTCACACAGGCCGCTGGCTGCCTGCGGGCAGAGAGGAGGCTGCTGGGAATCCCGCCCCTTTGTCTCAGCATCCTGGCAGGGGACGGACTGCTTCTTTAGGAGGTCAAACCTGGATCTTTGCTCTACTCTGGCCCACCCTGGGGAAGCCCAGGTCCACCCACACACACACGCCCACCTGGCTCCTGGCGCCCGGGCGAGCCCTCACCTGAGCAATGTCAAAGTCCTGCGTCTTTGCATTGACACACTCGGGGAAGGTCATGGCGGAGGGATTCCACCCCACCTCTTTCTAGACAGAGCCTTGATCCCACTGTGCCAGAGGGGTGGCGGGACTTACCCAAGGTCACCTCACCCCTTGGGGGCAGAGCTGGGTCTTGAACCCAGGGTTTCAGGTGAGGCTGTAGCTGCCCTGCCTCATCCTCTTTTGCACCAGGCACACATACTGCGGGGGGAGGGGGGACACCCCTGACTCTACTTCGGGCCATGAACTACGCGGCCCTCGCTGCCTCCTTGTGTAGCAAGCAGCCGAAGAAACAAGCCCCATCCTTGAGCAGGAGCCAGGAAGCACCGTCCTGGACTCTCTCACCCCACACCCCCTGCCTCACACCCCTGCCCCTACACCAGCCCTCCCAAGTCCTGGCAACTTGGCTCTGCTGGCGTTTGGCCCACCAGGTTCCCAGGACCAGGTCTGCACTCACCTCCTGACTCCTCCACCGACCAGCCCACTCTGCCTGGGCCGCCTGCACCCTGGCCCACCAAGCCCTCTCTAACTTGCAGGACAACGTGGGGGCAGGGAGAGGGCAGCGATGGGCTGGGTCATAAGACCTGATGGCTCACTCTGGCTCCACCACTCACTGCCCCTCTTGGGGCCTGTTTCATCCTCCATAAAGGGAGGTTGCTGGTCCTCTCCAGCTGGCCCCACAGGTGTGGTGGGAATTGAATGGAGAAAGGAGAATGCTCTCTAAAGAAATGGTTGAAACCTGTGCCACCAAAACCGCACCCAGCTGGCCCATGAAAGAATCCGTGGCCTGTTCCCGTGGAAATAAAGGACATGATGTGGGCTGGATGAGAACAATAAATGGCACTTATTTGTAATTCAAGGCTTAGGAAACCCTTTCACATACAGTCGTCCCTCGTTTATGGCGGTTAATCCGTTCCAGACTCTAGCGGTTGCACCTGGCGTTGAAGGATTCCTGGGGTGCTCGAATACATAGGCCTACAGTCCACACGTACAGTAATTTTAATTTTAATTTTAATTTTAATTGTGGCCCTGGCCGGTTTGGCTCAGTGGTAGAGCGTCGGCCTGCAGTCCAGGGAGGCCAGGGTTCGGTTCCCGCTAAGGGCTCGTACCTCGGTTGCAGTTTGTCCCCGGCCCTGGTTGGGACATGCGGGTGGCAACCACTCGATATGTCCCTTTCACATCCATGTTTCTCTCTCTCTCTCTCTCTCCCTCCCCACTCTATCTGAACAAAAAAAGGAAAAATGTCCTCGGGTGAGCATAAGAAAAAATTTTAATTGTAACACAGGGGTGTATAATTGACTCAGACAACTGAGTGCACACTGTATCATTTTCACTGTCTTGATCCATTTTTTTTTTATCCTCACCTGAGGACACTTTTCCTTTTTTTTTTTTTTTTTGTTCAGATAGAGTGGGAGGAAGAGAGAGAGAGAGAAACATCGATGTGAAAGGGACACATCGAGTGGTTGCCACCCACACAACCCAACCAGGGCCAGGGACAAACTGCAACCGAGGTACGTACCCTTCGCGGGAACCAAACCTGGGTCTCTCTGGACCGCAGGCCAACGCTCCAACCGCTGAGCCAAACCGGCCAGGGCTCAATCCACTTTTTAATGAATATATTTGAAAAAACGCAATAGAGTGAAGCCACGAAAGTCGAAGTGCGAAGTGGCGAGGGACGACTGTACACTCCTGCACTCTTCTCAACAGGGAAGACAGACAGGTGGGAGTTATTACTACCCATTTTACAGGTTTAAATATGAAGGCGAAAGCGGGTAAGTGACTGACCAAGGTTGCAGAGAGGCAGTGACAGAGCTCAGGCAAGCCTCTTGGACTCAAAGCCTTCACACTGTTCAGCAGCCCCAGACTAATGACTGCATCCAAACCAAACGGTCTGTGGTGTAGCGAAGTCTCTCGGCGTGTGCCATAGGGCTCTGCTCTTGGCTTAATCTTAGATGGTTTATCAATACCACGAGATAAACATTAGTCCAGGCTGTGTCTGTGCTCAAACTACTCTTGTTGGACAAGAAGCACAAGTGAGTGACTGAAGAATATACTAACACTCACTGATTGAAGGAGTAGGCAGATGCCCAGATCAGGGAAGGATGGGTGCTGGTGCTTATTCATAGAAGTCAGTGCTGGGAAGGGGCAGAGAGATCTGGTGGTGAAGCACAGGATTTGGAGGTAGGAGATCTGGGTTTGGGTCCTGGCACCAGCGCTCACTGCTGTGTGCCCTTGGGCAAGACATGGACGATTGCTGAGCAGGAGTATCTTCCTCTGGAAAGGATAATACCACCCACTCCTTCATGACCCGTATCTTTGTTTATTTGCTTCCTTCCATCAAAATGTCTTGCTCTCTGCTGAATCCCCAGAACTTATGAGTGTGCCTGGCACAAAGTAGATGCTCAATAAATATTTGTTGAATCTATCAGTTCAAATTTTTTTTGAATCTCTACTATGTGCCAGGTGCATATTAGACATTGGGGATATCATGGTGAGCAAAACGGGCTTAGGCACTCTCTTCATGCACCACAGATTCATCGAATGACCCCCTCCGACTATTGTCGAATCACATATGGGGTAAGTTCTCCCAAGATAAAATATGTGAAGCAAAGTATAACATGCACAGATTTGATCCTGTCAGGGAGATCAAGGAGGGCTTCCCTGAGGAGGTGATGCTTGAGTTGAGAGCTGAGAGAGTGAATAGAAGTTAACTTGGTGGAGAGTAGTCTAGGCGGAGGGAACAACATGGGCAAAGGCCCTGTGACAGAAGATAGCATGGCATGTGTGACAATCTGACAAAGACTAGTGAGGCTGAGCTGAGCAAGCAGGAGGCCACGGCGTGTGGGAGGCCAGCGAGGGGCAGGGCCTTGCGGCACCAGCGGCAGCACCGTGTTACTCTCCAGGGCCGCGGGAAGCCATTGAGGGGTGGAGAAGCACAGACGTACATTTCTCAGGGTTTGGGCTGCAGTACAGATTGGGAGGCAGGGAGACGAGCAGGGGCATGATCCAGCTGGCTTGGGCCAGGGTGGCGGTGACGGAGGCAGAGAGAAATCGTCTCTCCAGTCAGCCAGTGTCCCCCAGTCAGAGCCCTTTCCCTCCATGTCCCCAAGGCTGAGCTCTGAGCCTGACAGTAAGAAGCACTTAAAAATTTTGTGTCACCTAGCCCTGGCCGGTTTGGCTCAGCGGTTAGAGCGTCGGCCTGCGGTCCTGAGAGACCCGGGTTCAGTTCCCGCTAAGGGCACGTACCTCGGTTGCAGTTTGTCCCCGGCCCTGATCGGTTGTGCGGGTGGCAACCACTCGATGTGTTCCTTTCACATCGATGTTTCTCTCTCTCTCTGTTCCTCTCTCTCCCTCCCACTCTACCTGAACAAAAAAAGGAAAAATGTCCTCGGGTGAGGATAAAAAAAAAAAATTTTGTGTCACCTAAATGAAGGGATGAGTTATTGAGTCTTCACAACCACCGTATGAGACAGATATGATTCCTTCCATGTATAGATGCAGAGATGGAGCCTCAGAGAGGTGAAGTGACTTGTTCAGGTCACAAAAAAGTAACATAGCAAAGCCAGTTCTCAGACAAGGTCTGTGAGTCCCAGGTCATTTTGTTTCTACTGCCTCATGCTGCTGATGTAACTGTAGGTGACAATACTGTTGTCATCAGTGGATCACAATCCAGAGACAGAGACTTGCCCAAGGCCACACAACTGGCTGCCAGCAAAGCAGGGCACCAGGGCCCGGCAGGAGGGGGGGGCAGGCAGACAGGTCTCACCGCCAGGGGCACGATGGAGGCCCTCCCCTTCTTGGAGACCGGCTTCTCCTTCAGGCTGGCCAGGAGCAGGTCCAGCAGGTCTTGGACATCACAGCCGGGTTTGCGCAGTATCAGCTGCCTCCACATCTCTGCTCCATTGCTGGAGGTCGGGGTGGGATGGTTAGTGGGGACCAGGGTAGGCGAGCCCACCTGGCCTTGCAGCGGTAGCTGTGGGCATGCCAGAAAGCACTTCCTACGAGGAGGGGGCTGACAGCGGTGGAAAACCCGGCACTAAGTGAACCTCTGGGGAGACAGATGTGAACAAGATCTTAAGACATTCAAGGTCGCCGAAGTCTCACAACGACCTTCAAGGTGGATTGTTATTCCCATTTCACAGATGCAGAGCTGAGGCTCAGAGAGATAAAATCACCAGTCCAAGACCACAGAGCCAATGAGTTGTATTGTCAGAAAGTGACCAGGTCTGATGTCTCGGAAGCCTGTGCTCCTTCCCCCATACCAAGGAGCCCTTTGGGGCCTGGATCCTGCATTTGTCACATAATATCAAAGAGCCCACTCGTGTCCCTTAGAAGGCAGCACCGAGGCAGGGGAGGCACCAGTGGCTGGCAGCACCAGCCCGTGGGCACTCCCATCGTGAGGAGTCGGAAGCACTGAGAGACCAGCAGACCATAGGCTAACCCAGCCCTCTCCCCTTCTCAGAGCGTTTGAGCCTTCCACTAACTTTCCAGCGCCGTCCCCCTGGAAACCTGGTAAAGATAGTATGTCAACTACGTTCCTAGGCAACACTACTTGCGGTAAACATGACCCAATTGGAAAACTGCATCTGGGCTGGGAGGAACCATAAATTAACTGTAAGAACTGACAGGGATGCTGTAGCATTGAGCTTCCTGGGGTGCAGGAACTCTTGTGACTGGGCTTGTCCCTGTAGGGACCCTCGAATCAAGACTACGGATTCTTCGTTCCTATGAGGCCTGAGCCATTTAAGCCAGGGCAGCCCCCGTACCTTACACCAGAGCCTCTTGGACCCGGGGCCAGGAGGAGGGTGAGGAAAGCAAAGCTTCCAGGGTACGACATGTAAGGGGTCCCTCACTCTCGGGCTGATGTGAGGGCAGGCGTGGCACCTGAGAGCAAGGGCCTCCTCAAACTTTGTCCCGGCTGTCGGCCGGCTTCATGGGCTGCTGCAAGGTCTGCAGAGCGGAGCCCCTGACACTGCCCCGTCCTATATCCTGAGCGACTCTGCTTGTCAAGTGTGGCCCCGGCAGCCTCGTGAGCCTGAATGTTTAGTGGCTTCAAGAAGAGAACCCTCGCCCTGGCCGGTTTGGCTCAGCGGTTAGAGCGTCAGCCTGTAGATAAGAGAGTCCCGGGTTCGGTTCCTGCTAAGGGCGCGTACTTCAGCTGCAGTTCATCCCCGGCCCTGGTTGTGGTCGTGTGGGTGGCAGCCAGTCGATGTGTCTCTCTCACATCTATGTTTCTCTTTCTCTCTTCCTCCCTCTCTCCCTCCCGCTCTAACTGAAGATAAATGCAAAAATGTCCTCGGGGGAGGATAAAAAAAAAAGAAGAGGAAAATCCTCTGGTGCGCAGAACAGTCAGGAGGGTTCAGTTCTTGCCGGCGGGAGAACAGAGACGTGTCACCCCGGCTCTCACCACCCATGTCCTTGGTTTCTACGCGTGACGCCCACTTGTTATCAGAAGCACACCTCCTCCGCATAGCTGCACAGTTCTTTCACACTCACTCTCAGCGAGGTATCTTAAACGCTTTCTGCCTCGCTCTAGTCATTCAGAGGTGTGGAGCCTTTCCTGGGCTGGGGGCTGGGCAGACAGACTCGTCTCTCCCGCCCAGGAGCTGGCCATCTGGCCACAGTCCCTGCTGCCCATCAGACCACCTGCTCCCTGTAGGCTGAGAGCATGGCGTGTCCAGGCCCAGGCCCAGGCAGGAACTCAGCACAGCTTGCATCACTTGTCAAACCACCATCTGGAGTGGGAATGCAGGGATTATTTCCTCCTTTTGCCCGTGGGGGGAAACTGAAGCCCAGGGAGGACAAGCAGGCTACCCGAGACCACACAGCTGCTGAAGGCTGAGTCGGGACTCACTCAGCTTCCTTTCTATGGCATCACTAAGAGCTCTGGGCTTGGAGTTGGTCAGATCTGAGCTTAGGTCCTCATTCTGTTGCTGACTCAGTGGATACCGAATAAGAAACTTCCTCTGAGCCTCAGTTTCCTCATCTGTAGAATGGGGTTATTGAGTGATGAATGCTGAGCAAAGACAGCTAGCAGTGCTTGGGAAGTGCTTAATGATTGTCATAAGCACCACAGATCACGGAAGGGGGGCCATCTGGGAGGGCAAGGGGCTCCTTTGGGTAGAAGGAGAGTCCCAGACAAGGGTGGGGGCTGCTTCAACCCTCTGACATGCAGTGGCTGACAATCCCCCTCACTTGGTACCTGTCCAGTGGGAGCGGGCACATGAGCAGGGCCACGACGACCTCGGTCATAAAGGAGCTGGCCAGGAGAGAGATGGGCAGCAGGGCCACCTCGCGGGCCCGGGGCTCCTGGATGTCGCCCAGCTGCACATAGATGGCCTGCATGATCTCCGGGATCTGGAGGACCGTGGGGCCACAAGCAGGTGGAGGGCCAAGGAAGAAGCCGAGGGAGGCAAGGGGGCAGGGAGATGGGACGAGAAAAGGCGTGACAGGAGAGAGAAGGGGAGGGCGGAGGGCGCCTGCTGCTTCCCCGCCAGGAGCCATTGTCTTGACTGCCCACCTCCACCCCACACCAGGTGGGTGAGTTCTTTCTCACCTCGAGCTGGAAGCACCTAGAACCCAGCTGCCGCCACCCCTGCCCTGCCTGAGGGATGTGCAGGCGCTGTGGGGTCTCCCAGCCAGCCCCAGCCCCAGCCCAGCCCCCAGGGGCCTTACCACCTCCAGCGCCCTGTGCCGGTACCACTCCAGCACTGAGCTGAGCGTGACCTCCGAGGCCAGCTGCATCATCTCCCCCGAGTCCTTCCCCTGAGCCTCCGAGCCCCCTTTCAGTCCTTCCAGGGATGCTAGCAACAGGTCCTTTACCTGCTGGGGCCCCAGGAAGTCTCCGAATTCCTGAAACAAAGGCACAGAGATGCTGGCTACGTGGACAGACCCTGAGAAAGCCGTACACAGATGCATAAACACCGCCAGGCACACACGCAGGGCAGCGAGGGGTGCCCAGAAACTGCGACATGGCCCCAGAGCTAGGTGCTGCGGCCCACACGCTGGGGCACGGACCGGAGGGGTTGTGGGCCCTCAGGAAGGGTTCCTGCAAAGGGGACTTGAGCCTGGAGAGATGGGAGGGGAGGAGAAGGGCTGGGCAGGCAGGAGCTGCCCTTCTCCCCGTTCCGGGGAGGGCCCAGGCCTGAGGGGCAGCAAGCAGTCACCGCGATCACACGCAGAATGTTCTGGCATGGGCTGACAGGGTTGTAGGGCCCCAGGAAACGCTTGTTGCTCTCATACAGCTCCATTTTGTTGATCTCTTTCTTATCTCTGGCTCCTGCAAGAAGAGGACCTTCTCAGTGAGGCCCGACCAGCCTTTCTTTAAAGCTCTTTGTCAAACACAGATGTAGGAAGTGCATAAGTCATAGGTAATTAGCTTAATACATTTTCAAATGCTCGACCTATCCATGTAACTGGCACGTAGGTCAAGAAACAGAACATGACCAGCACCCCAGAAGCCCCTCTTGCATCCCCTTTCAGTCCACTCTCCCCCTTTCCCACCCGGGGTAACCACTATTCTGACTTCACCCACAGACTAGACATCCTTGTGGGTGGACTTCTATGAACGGACTCATATGTTATCCTTTTTAAAAAAATTTTTTTTTCTTTATTTTCACCTGAGGACATTTTTTTGTTTTTTGTTCAGATAGAGTGGGAGAAAGAGAGAGAGAAACATCGACGTGAAAGGGACACATCGAGTGGCTGCCACCCACACAACCCAACCAGGGACGGGAACAAACTGCAACCAAGGTACGTGCCCCTAGCGGGAACCGAACCCGGGTCTCTCCGGACCGCAGGCTGACACTCTAACCGCTGAGCCAAACCGGCCAGGGCTCATATGTTATCCTTGATGTCTGGCTTTCACTCGACATCATGTGGGTGAGATTCATTGACACTGTTGCAAGTAGCATTGCTCCATGCGTTCTCAGTGCTGCATAATTTTCCACGGTATGAATATATCACACTTTATGTGTCTGTTCCACTTCTGATAGACATTTGGGTTGTTTCCAGCTATTACATTGCGTGGCTATAAACATTCCAGCATGTCTAGTCCATGCATTTTGGTGAATATATGTACACATTTGTTAGGTGGATAGCTAGGAGAGAAGTTGCTATGTCGTAGGGAGGCGTGGGTTCAGCTGCAGGAGACACTGACAGATAGTTCCCCACAGCCAGGACCAGTTATGCCCACCAGCGTGTGCGAGAGCTGCAGGGGCGTCCCCTCCGGCCAGCGTGCGGCATCGTCAGCACGGTTCGTTTTTCCCGTTCTGGTGGGCGTGTGGCAATACCTCTTTTACCTGGCAATCCCCTTACCTATGACATTCCCAATCCCCCTTTTCTGCTTTTTCTCTTTAGGATTTATCATCATCTGACTTACTATATGTATTACTTTTTTTATTTTGTTGTCTCCTAACAACAAGAAGGTAAGCTCAACAGGGAGGAGTCTTTAGTTAATTAATCTTAGCTTGGCCGGTGTGGCTTAGTAGATTGAGCGTTGTCCCGTACACCAAGAGATCACTAGTTCGATTCCTGGTCAGGGCACATGCCCGGGTTGCAGTCTCGATCCCAGTAGGGGGAGGGCAAAAGGCAGCCAATCGATGTTTCTCTTTCATCAATGTTTCTATCTCTTTCTCCCTTCCTCTCTCTCTAAAATCAATTAAAAAAAAAATTTTTTTTTAAATAAAAAATAATTAATTTTCTATTTATGTCTTTACTACTGGGTTCCAGTGCCTAGAATAGTATCTGAATGATGGCTCTGTATTTCTACTGAAGGAAACAAATTTCAGGTGCATTTCCTGAGCCCTTACCGTGGCCTGGCCTGGGTGCCACCTGGCTCCGTCAGTGTAGACAAGACATGGGCATGAGAAAGGTGCATCAGGGTGGAGTGACCACATGGACCGAGTGTGTGGGTTGTTTGCAAAGGGGAGGCGCTTGAGACCTGGCATCACGCAAACGCAGGCTCGTGGGCTAGCTTTGCTGCTTCCCGCAGTCGGGCCTGGACAAACCCCTTGCTCCCGGGGCAGCTAACAGAGTGGGTTTGGCTTGGGTGGCCAAATAAAAGACAGAATACTAAGTTCAATGTGAATTTCTGGTAAACAAACAATTTTTAGTGAAAGTATATCAAAAATACACTTTCAGTCAAATTAGTCATTGTTTATCTAAAATTCACATTTAACTGGGCGTCCTATACTTTTATTTGCTAAATCTAGCAATACTAATTTGGTCTATGCTATTCCTGACTCTAAGGCGGATGATTAATATGACTTATACCACTTTCGCCCATCACTCAGGAGGCCCGGGTGGCTCCTGACAGCAGGGGAAATCCCCAAGGGCCGAACCTTTGTCCCAAATGCTAGAGGCCAGGAACAGCAGGGACACCGGACAGATCCCAAAAGGCTGAAACTAACGGCATCCTTATAGGCACAGGGAAAAAGAAACTCTATCTGCCAAGTACCTCTAATGTGTGATACTAAGCTGGTTTCTTCACATATGTAATCTCATTTGATCTTTCAAAAAGCTTGCGAGTTATATCCTATTGTACCCTTTTTTACAGATGAGGACATCTAGGCCTGGACAAGAAAAGTATGTATTTGCCTGAGGTCACACAGCTAGGAAGGGCTAGAGCCAGGTCTTGTACCTAGGTCACTCTGCTCCAGAGCCAGGGAACTTTAAACAACGTGCCAAGGTCCCTTGGTTTGGGGCAGTGTTGAGACTATGAAGAAAAGAAGGATGCAAGTAACAGGTGACCTTTAGGTGCAGTGCCACCTGGGTACCTGCGTCAGCCCATACTGCATCACTAGCTCCCTGAAGCTGAATCCAGGGATGTTCTTCACCCACAGGTTTTAACCACTCTCAGTTCTAGGATGGAATCTATTTGTTGTTCATTCATTCAATAAATATTCACTGAACACCCATCATGTGCCAGGCCCATGGCCAACCCTTGGAGAGTCAGTGATGAACAAGACAGTCTTGCTCTGACCTCAAATGGGATTAAAATCTAGTGATGAAGACAGACCAAGAAACAAGAGATTAGGACTTCCATGCCTGGGTATGTATGGCTCCATGGGAATGTGAAAACGAGAGTCACAAATTAAACTTGGAAGGATGAGGAAAAGCTTAAATAGAAGGATTGCTTCAATCAATGTTTGTTTGTAGCCTTTGCCCCCTGGTCCTGTGGGAACTAAGTCTTTGTACCTCTGCAAACCCCATAAGACTCTTTGCTGGTCTTCACTGTCTCCCACCACGGCCATGTTGCTAAAGCTCCAGTCAAGTCCCTGGCTGAGCACCTGCTCAGAAGCTTGCTCCAGAGGGTCTCCAGGCTTACGTTTTTGGACCTCCAGGATGGTGTAGAGGATGATGATGCCATCCAAAGCCTCCCGGCCAATGTTCTCATCAGGATCCCCGACGCGAAGAGTGAGTCTCCCCAGCAGAAGCCCCAGTGCCGGGAATCCTGAAGGCATCTGTTTGTGTTGTAATCTTAGGGATTGGATCTTATAGGTTCAATGATGCTATACAGTAAATGGTGCTGGAATATCTATCTGCCCCTGATAGCAGAGCCCTCTGAAGATGGTAAGGGCCACCTGGGAATCTCTGGACAGATGCACAGGCACCCTCAGAGCTGGGAAGATTCTCCCTAGGAGTGCCCCCCACCCAACTCCCAGGGAACACTCACATACAAAGGCAGGGTGAGAAGCGTGTGGCTCAATACACTGACATTGCTGTTCACAGCGCGTGCTCGCTCATGGGCCTTTCCAGAGTTCATCCAGGGCCCCAGCGGCTGTGAGGACAAGGTCAAGACTCAGAGCTACAGGCTGGCTGCCAGCTTCTGCTGCCTGGGTGGGCAGGCCAGTCTTCACCAATCAGCTTCTGGGAGGGCATAAAGGCCACTCCCCACAGTTCTTCTCTTCTCAGAGCACAGCGAGTCATGGGGTACAGAAGCTGAGAATAGGACTGAAAGACCAGAGGGAGGATGGTCCATGAGGAGAGAGATGAGACTTGGAGAGTCATGAGAGCAGAAGAGAAAGACAGGGCAAGAATGAAGACAGCAAAGATATGGGGGCAGCTACAGCAGGAGCGTGGGGGGTGGGAGAGAGTAATAGGGGCAGGAGTCTGGGACAGGCAGGCAGAGCACTGGCACAAGATGACATCCTGAAGTCAAATCACTCCTTCTGGGTCTAACCCCGCACACACACTCGCCCTCCTGAGCCAGTTCTGCTTTCTCCTCCACCCGTCCTCTCCTCCCTGGCCCCACACCTCCAAAATGCTCTTCAGCCCAGCAGGAGTGGGGTCCTCAACAAAGAGAGCATTGAGCAGCTTCTGCAGGGCATCCAAGGTCTGATCATAAAGTATCTGTGGACAGGAGGAGGAGGAACAAGCCACTAGGGGGCCTCTGGAGCAGACCCCAGCCCCAGGCAAACCCTGTGTGGATCCAGGAAAGATGCTTTCTGGTCCCACCTGTGAGACTAACTTGATGTATGAGATTGGATACATTACCTCCCGTCCACGGGTTACAGTTTCCTTATCAACAAATTGGTAATTATTATCCATTCACTTCTTACCTTATAGGGGAAGAAGCAGAGATCCAACATTTACTGAGATTCTACCATAGGCCAGACAAGCAACAAATAAGAGGGTGGGTGGAAAATGCTCTAGAACTGTAAGAGCTAGATAATCTTTTATTATTGTCTCTAGGGAAGTGCTCTGATTCTTTTTTTAATTTCTACTTCTAGACCTAAATAGATTTTCCAAGTTGCCTCTTCAGGGAGCCATCTCTCCCCTGCACGGGTTCCTCCTGCATCAGCCACACCACAGTCCTGGACTTGTTTTAGGAAAGTGCACACAGTATACATACACAAGGCTGAGCAGTGGGTTTGAGCCCCTCTGGTAAGGCCTGATTCCCCTGCCTTCCCTTGTCCTGCCAGTTCCCCATGCTGTGTCTCACATTGTCATTGCTCAGGCTTCCTGAGTCTGTGCACAGCAGGGTTACACCACATCCACCAAGCAAACTTCACTTGCTAACTACGTCCTCCTCCTTCTCACGCATCAGCCGCCTATCATTGTGCAGTGCTGACCTCTGCTGCCTGGGCCTGGTACTACAAGAGGGTCTCTCTCTCTCTCTCTCTCTCTCTCTCTCTCTCTCTCTCTCTCTCCCCCCCCCTCCCCCTTTCTTTGAGTCTTCTCTCGGTACACTACTTCTGGAACTCAGAGCCCTTATACTACCACGTGGTCTGGCCCCCACAGCTCTTTAGCCTTGATTCCCACAGCACTCTGGCCTGGCCCTCTGGGCTCCAGCCACATTGACTGTCATCCTTGCAGACACCATATTCTGTCCTCAGGCCTTTGCACAGGCTGTTCCCTCTGCCTAGCATGCTTTTCTTTCTGCAAGCCCCACTCCCTTAAGCTCATTAGCTCTTCTTTAACCTCTCAGCTCCAGCATCATGACCCCTGACCCCCATCTAAGCCAAGTCTCCCATTTGGGCTCTTTAGAGCACTAAGTACTTCTTACCTGCAACATTAACCCGTGTTGTAATTTTACATTAATTGTATGATTCTCTGATAATGTCTATCTGCCCCCTTCCCCCGCCCCTACTGTATCTCACCCCTGTACTTTGAAAGTAGGCCCTCAGTTAATATTTGAAAGGATGAATGAATGTGCCTTACCCTAAGCTAAAACCCCTCTCCCTTAACTTCCCCATCATCCTACACTATGGGTCACCTCTGCCCGCTCCTTTAGGACAACCCTGCAGAGGTTAAAGCTTATGTGAGTGAGATCCTTGAGGTTCTGCTTCTCTGGGCTCAGCCTGGTATTTCTTCATCGTGGCCCAGTCCTCAGCCCTCTTCCTCTCGATCCTGGCCACCTCCTCTGGCCATGCCAACATCTGCCCACATCCCTCTCATGGGAGAGAACCCAGAAGAGGATGGAACACTCCCGATGAGAGATCGATCCCTATTCTGAAGATTCATTCATTCACCAAACATCCCTCTCAGGCCAAGAGAGGGTCGGCCAATTGCCCAAGGCCCTGCCGCTTGAGCAGGAGGCTGAACATCCTTATCAACTCCTGGAACACCCTTGCTTTCCCTTCTGGGAGTCCTGAAATGTGCCTCACCCTGAGGACCCTGGACAGCCCGAGGACCTGCTGAGGAGGGCCTGCTCACCTGTATTTTCTCAGCCTTGGCCTTGTCTTTCTCCTGCATGACCTGCACAGGGGGCAGGGAGAACACACTCTTCACACACGTGTTCACCAGCTCGAACCTTTCCTGAACACCCAGGATGGGCTGGGAGTGACTGGTAAAGAGACAGAAAGCAAAGGCATGGAGTGAGGGAGGTGGCCCTGTGGCCGGCGGCTAGAGCTATGAACGCAGGGCTGGGATGAGGGCACCTCGATGGGGGTGTAGGGTGGGCCTGAGATTCACATCTACAAAGGGTGAGATGAAGTGGGGGGAGGAGGGAAGTGGGTGTGGAGGACTAGGAAAGTCCCCCTGGCAGGGACTAGGAAAGGGGAGAGAAGACATGGGAGCAGGGTTGGGACACAGCAGAAAGGCCCCAGAAGAGAGGCAGAACCCATGGGAAGAAGAAAACGTGATGGGTTTGAGGAGGGGGCTGTGGACACCTTAGCTGAGTCATGGTGATCATGGCCTGCTGGCGAGTGGAGCTGGACAGGAAATCCAGCGGCTCCTCCTGGATCTGCCTCTGGACAGGGGACCACAGTAGAGCAGATGAGGGGGGCAAACCCCTCCTCACAAGGAGCAGGCTGCAGCAGCCCCTCGGCCTGGGCAGAACTCCCCCACCTCCACTCCCTGTTGGGGTCCAATGAGGGGAGCCTGCTCACTGCTCAAACCTATCCTGAGTGCTCAGTTCAAAGCCACCAAAAACACCCCACACTTCAACCAGCTGCACCCCACAGGTAGGGCTCAGCAAGAACTGATTCTGAAGCCTCGTTATAGGGAGGTATATTTAAATCATGGACCAGCCCAAACCAAAAACACCATGAAGGGCTCTCGAAAGAAATCCAGTTGAGCCCTGGCCGGTTTGGCTCAGCGGTTACAGCGTCAGCCTGTGGTCCAGAAAGACCTGGGTTCAGTTCCCGCTAAGGGCATGTACCTTGGTTGCAGTTTGTCCCCGGCCCTGGTTGGGTCATGCGGGTGGGCAACCATTCAATGTGTCCCTTTCACGTCGATGTCTCTCTCTCTCTCTCTCTCTCTCTCTCTCTCTCTCTCTGTCTCTCTCTCTCTCTCTCCCTCTCTCTCTCCCTCTCTTTCCCTCCCACTCTATCTGAACAAAAAAATGAAAAAATGTCCTCAGTGAGGATAAAAAAAAGAAAGAAATCCAGTTGAATTCCTTTAAAGATGTTCTAATTACTTCTCACTTTTGATCTAGTACCTACACACAATAGGTGCTCAGTTAGTGGAAGGTATGAAGGGAAGGTTGTTTTTCCTCTCTTTAAGGGACCCAAAGCTAAATATAGTTTTGGAAATTCAGTGGTTATCCCCATCCAATTCATTCTGGTGGATAACTGAGAAGTAATTGTTCTTTGCAAAATGAGAAGGGAATTCCCTCCCCACCAGGAGGTATTTCTGATATTAAACAATAACTGCTCCCAGGTATACAGTGCTTTACCGTGAACTAACCACTGGGCTGTGTCCTCCCAACAAGCTGCAACACAGGTGCTATCACCGATGAGAAGAGTGGGGCCCAGAGAGGGGAAATACTTGCCTGAGCTCCCTCTGGACAGGCTGAGGGCAGTTAGAGGTGGAGCTGAGACTCAAGTGTCCTGCCTCCTCATCTATCCTCTCCCCACCCCAGCCCCCCATCTCATCAGGGGGTGAACTCAGGACTTCCGCTCTCTCCCCTCCCCAATGCCACATATAAGATGTAGCTCCCACACCATCATCTTCTTCATCATGGTCTTCTTCTCTCCTTCATTTTCTGGCATATCCTGGTCCTTCTGGAGAGCGATGACATTCTTGACCTCGGGGGCAGCAGAGGGCAAAGCCACAGGGTGAGAGCCACACTGAACCCAGCCTGCATTAGCAGCCCCCTCCCCCAGCCTGCAGGCTTGCCAGCCTGCTCCTCCCCCGCAGCCAGCCCCAGCAGTGCTCAGAGAAATGAGAAACCACAAGGGGAACTTCTGGGGGCGGGGTGAGATTTGAGATCTGACAGCAGGAGGGTATGGATAATCCTTGGAAGTGGCGTTTGGAGGAGGACAGATATCAGGAACTGCACAACTCTCCTCCCTTACCAGTCAACCAGGGGAGAACAGGCCGCAGCCAGGGGCACAGAAAGGGTCCCCACACCTCAAGCTGAAATCTCACCATGAGTAATACCTAAGGGCACATCCTAGTCAGATTAAGGCATTCTGCTACCCGAGAGAGGGAATACATTAACCAATATCCAATTAATCTATTCATTCTCCTTGTCTTAACAAAGAAGAAAAAACATGAAAAAAATAACTTCATATAGTAAAAAAAGCATATCAAGGCCATCAGGCAGACAGTGTTGTGGGCTAAAGATGCCACACGTTCTTTTCCACTCCTCCTATCAAGAGGACAGATGGTCCGGCCGTGTGGCTCAGTGGTTGAGCATTGACCCATGTACCAAGAGGTCGCTGGTTCGACTTCTGGTCAGGGCACATGCCCTGGTTGTGGGCCTGATCCCCAGTGGGGGACATGCAGGAGGCGGCCAGTCAGTGTTCTCTCTCATCGATGTTTCTATCTCTCTCTTTCCCTCTCTCTTCTTTTCTCTAAAAATCGATAAAGAAAAAAATTAAAAAAAAAAAAAAAGGAGGACAGATGACCTTTGAATCTGTCTGGACCAATAGAACACTATGGAAGGGATGCCATGCAGTTCCTGGCCTAACCCTTAAAGGAACTGGCAACGTCCCCCTCTGGAACCCAGCTGCCATGGAGTGATGACACCACATGGAGAGAGACCCCGGAAGATGGTGTCCTCTTGGCTGTTCCAGCCTCCCTCCCCCAGTGATCTCAGTTTACAACACACAGAGCAGAAGAACCACCCGCTGAGCGAGCCCAGTCAAATTTTAGAACCATGAGAAATCGGGCCCTTTCCATCCTTACTTCCCCCGTCATCAGAGTGAACTTTCAAACCACTAAGTTTTAGAGTAGTTTGTTAAATTGCAATTGATAACTTCAACTGTGATGGGAGAGGGACGGCTCACTTAGACTGGACGGTCAGGGAAGGCCTCTCAGAGGAGATATTTGAGCTGAGTCCTGAATGACGAGAAAGAGGCAGCCAGGTGAAGAACTAGAAGGAGGGTCTGTCTGTCTCCCCAAATTAGAATGCCACTTCTCCAGTGCTTGAAACAGTGCCTAGCACATAGTAGGGACTCAATTAAATTTGCTGAGTGGCCCTGGTCGGTTTGGCTCAGCGGTTAGAGTGTCGGCCCGCGGACCGGAGAGCCCCAGGTTTGGTTCCCACTAAGGGCACGTACCTCGGTTGCAGTTTGTCCCCAGCCCTGGTTGGAGTTGTGTGGGTGGCAACCAGTTGATGTGTCTCTCTCACATCGATGTTTCTCTCTCTCTTCCTCCCTCTCTCCCTCCTCCTCTATCTGAAGATAAATGCAAAAATGTACTCAGGTGAGGATAAAAAATAAAAATAAATTAAGTTTGCTGAGTGGTGGCAGCAATAAACCCTTTTCGCACAGGGACCGTGCTCACTGCTGCGCATGCATTGTGTAACTAGACCTCACTTCAACCTTTTCTTTTTGGTACGTGCCCCTAGCGGGAACCAAACCCCGGACTCTCTGGTCCGCAGGCCAACGTTCCAACCGCTGAGCCAAACTGGCCAGGGCGTCACTTCAACCTTATTATGCCTGTCTTATAGATGAGAAGAATGTTCCTGGCAGAAGTAACAGGTGCAAAGGCCCTGAGGTAAGAATGGGTTTGGCATGTGGGAGAAACAGTAAAAGGCTAGTGCGGCAAGAGCAAAGTAGACAACTGGAAGAATGCCACGGGATAAGGACAGATGCTCCCAAAACGCAAGGCCTCTTTCTAGTCCTGTCACCTTCTCCCCCCATCCCCCTCCCCCGCACCACCTACCTCCAGACTCTGTCCATCAAACAGTTTGCTCACACTCCGTGCATCATACTCATGTCCACCAGCCTGTCCAGTCTGCCCCACTGGCCCTCACCAAGTCCTGCAGAGGCGGGCTGTTTCTGGCCTCCCAAGGCCTGGTGCATGGCCAAGACCTGAGATTTCCAGCCTTTCTATCTCATTTAGAGACCCTCTCACTATTCATTCAGTTGTTTGGAAAACTTACTGAGCACCTGTGATATGCCAGGCACTGCTCTAGCTGCTGGGAATACAGCTGTGAATAAGATGGACAAAAACCCCATTCACAAGGGATGCAGTATAGAGAGAGACCAACAAGAAATAAGATGAAGAAGAAAAGCATATTGTGCATCAGATGGTGATGAGCACTGTGGAGAGAAGGGAATGCAGGGCTGGGGCGGGGGAGTGGGGGATGGAGAGGGGAGGGGCATCCCGGGACGTCAGCTGTCGGTTGGGTAGGAAGCATACCAGAGTCATTTTGTTGCCATCCTCTCTCTTCCCTGGCACATTCACCAGGCATGGGGTCAGTTCACCGAAGGTTCCTGCATGTCATAGTTTTGATGAGGAGAGAAGAGGGTAGAAAGATAAGTATACCTAGGGTGCCATAGTCCCATCTCTCCTCCCCAACTGGGCTTCTTCAGTCCTAAACCCTCCCTCCCTGCCGCCAGCAGCTTGACTGAGCTCCATTCCCTAAAACCCATCAGTGGCACCCCATCTCACTGAGCACAAAGCGGCATCCTTGTCGGCGCTTTCAAGGCCCTGCCAGGTCAGCCTCCTCTACCCCCCAGCTTCCCCCCGCTGCTCCCCCTCACTCACTGTGCTCCGGCCACACTGGCCAGACGAGCTTCCTCCTCAGGGCCTTGGCACAGCCGTTTCCTCTACCTGGGCCAGTCCACTGCCACACCGCCCTGCCCAGGTCTCATGCCCTCCCTCGGGTCTGAGCTTGCCTGCCACTCCTCAAAGAGGCCTCCCTTGACCTCAGCTAGCACTTGTGTATCATCTTACTCTCTCCTTTCACCGTGATCACAATTTATAGTTAGACTCTTACCTGGTACAGTAGAGACCTGCTGTTTGTCAGCCCCAGATTTCCTCATCTTTGTTTGGTGTAAGAGTTCCTGCTTCCCTGTGGGTTACCCATTCCATGCAGCTAGGTGAGGCTGAATTCCTCAAGCCCCACCCATCACCCCTCTTCAAATAGGGGTGGGCCTGCCACTCACGTGTGGCCCATAAAGGGAGTCCCGTGCCCCAGCCACAGGGATCGCTCTAAGGGTGGGCTCTTGGGTGAGCAGGGCAACAGAGCTCTTTATTTGAGAGAGTGGGTCTCTCTCCTTCTGGTGAGCCTGGAACGTCAGGGCCATCTCGGCCACCAGAGGCTGCTGGAGGATGGAGCCAACAGGAAGAGGCAGAGACACCCCAACAGCAGTGAAAACAGCTGGCACCAAGATCTTGGCTTCTAAGTACCATTCTCCACTAAAAAAGACAAGGCTCCTTGGATAAATGGCTGATTCTAGGACTTGGGCAGGGAAAGTTACAGGATGAGCCAGAAAACAAGGAAGAGACATCTGATGCCGGAAAACAAGAAGAGGGCTCAAGGGACGATGGGGATGAGTCAGAGGGACACAGCAGCTCGCTCAAAGAGAGTCCACTGGCCAAATTAGGGGAAGTTTGAGTGTTGTAAATACTGGCAGCAACAGATGATACGGTCCATTGAATAATCTAGGAAACCATGACTCTACACTAAGATAAATAAGTAAATAAACAAATTGGCAGTTTGATGGGGAATGGGATATTTACATAGTTTCAGAGTACCCCCACACATAGTATTTATTACAAAGGGGTACATAGTGACTTTACGGTGGAGAACCTGGGCAGCAACCATTCTCCCTCAGGTGACTGAAGTGAACATCATCAGTTAGGGGGCAAATCCAAAGCATTACGCCAGCAAATGGGGTGCAAAGAGGAAACGCTAGTATCACTTCTGTGAGGCGAATGTGATCACGAGGAAACATCAGACAAACCCAAACTCAGGCACAATGTACAAAATAACTGGCCTGTAATCTTCAAATGTGACAAGAACACGAAAGTCAGGAGACCAACGCCGCTTCGGCTACCCCGACGACCTCGAGGACCCCGCAGCCGCGGCCAGCAAGGGCTTCCCGGGCCTGAAGCGGCAAGTGAGGGGGTTGCCCAGGAGGCGGCCATGGGCCAGGTGGCCAGCTACCCAGGAAGCATCTACAAGACTGCTGACAAAGCTTCCAGACTTTCACAGGTTTGGAGGGGATTAGGCCTCCTGATGTGACAAAAGGAAGCCACGGATGACTCCCCTCCAGATCCTGAGCCCTGGTCACTGCTGCCCCCTTGGCCTGGCACCTTATTAAAGCGCATGCTCTAAAAACAATACCGTGGGCCCTGGCCGGTTTGGCTCAGCGGTTAGAGCATCGGCCCGCGGACCAGAGTCCCCAGTTCAGTTCTTGCTGAGGGCAGATACCTCAGTTGCAGTTTGTCCCTGGTCCCGGTTGGGGTCGTGTGGGTGGCAGCCACTCCATGTGTCTCTCTCACATCCATGTTTCTCTCTCTCTCTTCCTCCCTTTCTCCCTCCTGCTCTGTCTGAAGATAAATGCAAAATAAATAAATAAAAAGTAAAATAAAAATAAAAAAGAACGTGAAAGCCGAGGAAAGGCTGAGGACCGAGCAAACGACACAGACTAGGCAAGGTGTGGGGAGGGTTCGGAGCTGGGACTTTCTTCCAGAAAAACACTGCTGGGACACGGTGACATTTGAATGTAGTCTGGGGATTAGATGGTAGCAGTGTGTTAATATTGATTTCATGATTTCGATGGTTAACTTTTGTCCTTTTTTGTAAAAACTAAATTCAGGGGTGAGAGGCATCATTTGGCAACTCGTCAAATTATTCACAAAAAAGGTTTTGTACTGTGCTTTCAACTTTTCGGCAAGTTTTGATTGTTTAAACATTTTTAAAGAATGAGGGCAAACTGGAGGCATTTTCAGACAAAAATGATAAAAGTTTACCATCAGCAGAATTCACTAAAGGAAATTCTAAAGGATGTACTTCAGGCAAAAGGAAATCAATGCCAGATGGAAGGTCTGAGATGCAATAAACAATGAAGTAAAAAAAAATTTTTAAAAGAGGTTTTAATATTTGGGTAGATGTAAGAACATTAACTACATAAAATAATAATGTTTATAGGGTTAAGAAAGAATGTGTATGCATGACCAGGATAGCATATAAATTGGCAGGAAGGGATTAAATTGGGTTACAGTGTTCCAATCACAAAGGAACACATATTTGTATAAATGTCCAAGAAAGCAAATCTGTACAGACAGAGAGTAGATCAGTGGTTGCCTAGAGCTGAGGCATGGGTCGGGGGTGATATCTAACTGGTCGGTGGATGGGGTCGTGTGGATGGTAACTGGTCTGGGGTTTCTTTTGGGGGGATGAAAATGTTCTAAAATTGATTGTGGTGATGGTTGCACAATTCTATGTATATTTTAATACCATTAAATTGTACACTTACAGTGGGTAAATTTTATGGTATGTAAATTATATCTCAATAAAGCTGTTTTTTTTAGAAGTTCAACATGCAAAAAACAAAATTGCTCTACATCATTAGCATCATCAGTACAAAATAAGAATTGTATTAGAAAATAAGATGATTCATAATAGCAATAAAAACTGTAAAGTACCTAGGAATTAACCTATAAAAAATGCAATAGATTGTGATGGAGAATTTTTTATTCTAGTAAAGGATATATCCTATATAAAGGAAAACTTTAATAGTTGGATAAATTAATAGCATTCCAACAAAAATGCCAGCAAGCTTTTTTGAGGACCTAGACAAATATATTCTAAAATGTATCAGGAAGAATGAGGGCTTACTAATAGACACCAAGGCATGCTTTGGATGCTGTTGTCCTCAGAATAATTTTGAGAACTTTTAAGAGGGATTTTTACCCTACCAGATATTAATACATATTTACAAAGCCATGGTAATTTTTTTAATTGTATTGTATTGGTCTACAAAAAAACAAAAATAGTTGGAGATATAAATCATTGAGAGAAGATCTTTACAACATCAAAGACTGATGTGAGACTAATTTACAGAACACAGACAGATCAGAAGTGAGTGCGGGTTCCTAATAGGCCCCCAAGGCTTTGCTCAGGTGGGGTCCTCAAATACTCAATTGAGGTGAGCTGAGCCCAGAAGCTTGCCTGCTCCACTGATCAAATGTTGACCTAAAAAGTCAGGTCCGAAATTTGTCAAGAAAGAAAGAGGTATACATTTGGAAAGGAAGGTATAGTTAGTTGACTTGTAATTCGAACATAATAAAAGTATTATCCTATGCAGATATTACAGTTAAGGGAATTGAAATTCAGAGAGATGAAGTAGCTTGTCCCAAGTCACTCAGCAAGCAGAAGCTGAGCACTGAATCTCTGGTGCATGATTAATACACTGCATGTCCTCCACTGAATGCTGTTCCCCTCTCCCCCTCCTCCGCCCCACAAGTCTGAACACAAGGTTCTCCCAGGACAGTGCCCTCTCTAGGGCTGTCACCCTTGCCATACTCACCCTCAGGGACAAGTTGGAAGGCTGTGGTGTCCCTGTCTGGGGTGTCGCAAGTGGAGACCACCAGCTGGAACTGGCCCATCTCAGCACTGGCCACCTTGCTCCAGCTCTGCTGATGCTCCTCCAGGGGCACCGTGTGGATGGTGTTGTCCTCAGAATAATCCTGCTGGCTGCTCAGTGTCAGGGTGGATGTGTCGCTGAAGATGAGGCTAGAGCCCAGGCTCAGAGTTTCCTTGGAGCCCAGTATTAGGGTCATGTACGAGGGTGGAGAAAGGGCGGAGTTGGATCCCCGGGCCCTGGAGTGCAAGCTAATATTGTCGTTCAAGCCCGGAATCAGGGTCAAGCGTGCGGCCTGAGTGATGGTCATGTTCGAATTAGCCCTGGCGTTACTATTTAAAGCCATATTGATGGTTCCCTTGGAACTGCTGTTCCAGGCTGCACCAAAGGCTCCTTCTGAAACAGACCTAGAGATGTTATGTGAAGCCGAAGTGATGATCTCATTGGTGTTTGGGACTAGGGTCCCACAAGAACCTGGAGCCCCATTTAGGTCCAGCTTGGAGATGGCTCTGGAGCCCACACCGAGCAGGTGTTCGGAGTTGGAATCCAGAGGAGAGTTTGAGGCTGGAATAAGGAGCGGTTTTGAGCATGGCCTGGAGATGGAGTTGCCCAGAACTAGGGTTTCTCTTGAATAGGACCTTATAAATGGGTTTGATTCAGGCCTGGAAGGGTTGGAGTTACTCTGACCCAAATCAAAATTCTTGCTTGAGTGGGAGTGGAAGGCCTCCCCAGAGTGGTTGTCCACGCTCAGACCCTGGGTCTCGGTAGAGCCTGGGCTCGGAACGAGGTTTGAGGCTGGAGGTGGGGCCCCCTGTGAGTTAGGCGTTGAGATACGATTCAACTCCAGGCCCAGGGCTTCGCCAGCCTGGGAAGCGGTGATCTGGAGGGAGGCTGGAGCCACGGCCCTGCTGCCGTCAGGCCTGGGGGCGTTAGGAGACCCCCGGCCAGGGGCTTCCTCGGAGGCAGGACTCAGAATGGGAGTAAGGTCTGGAACAAGAGCCAAGCCAGGACTCAGGGGCAGATCTAAGATAGGAACAGCATCTGTGTCTGGGTTTGGCCCAGAGGTGGTGCCAGAGCCTAAACCTGGGGCCCCGGTGGAGTTGAGACTGGGTGTCATCTTCGGGTCTTCACAGAGGACCAGACTAGCCCTTGGACTCAGAGCCATGCCTGTCTAGAGGTCTCTCAATGCCACTGCCCCCTTCTCTCCAATAGCTGACTGTTGAGCTCCCTGCAGTGTTCCTGAGAGAGAGAAAAGACAAATTCAACTGTGCCTCACCTGTTAAAACCTTTCCATGGATCCCCACCATCTTTAAAATGAGGCCCTTGTGTGACTTACAAGGTCCTCCACGACCACGCCCAGCCCACCTTTCCAGCCCAATCCTGCACGACAGAATATTCAGCACACTTTCTTCCAATGACTCAGTTACTGGTCCAGCCCCTGCTAGACATGAGCTCCACTCTGGCAAGAACTGTGCATCTCTCAGTCCCTGGGGCATCCCCAGCATCTAGCACTGTGCCAAGTACATGGTCCACCAACATTAGACAAATGAGGAACCTCTCTAGCCTTAGGGTAGAAAGGAAAGGAGGAGCCTCCTTGCCGGTCACACCACTTCCAGCCAACTCCTAACTTGCTAAAACTACTCTGCAAATGGCTGTGGTTCCCAAAGGAGCCTCTGGCAGAGCTAACCACTCCCCCTAACACTTTGCCTGTTCCAAGTGGGGCAGCCTCCGTGGAGAACCTGGGGAAATCGTCAAAAACACAGCCAAGCCTCAACCCAGTAGTCTGACTGCTGGGTGAACTCCACAGTCCCCCCACCCGACCCCACCCCTGTCTAGACCTCAGCTTACCTGCATGCTTGGTGTTCTTAGGCAGGAGTGAGCCCCTAGGAGGAGACACAGAAGGAGATCAAGTCAGGTAGAGAGTGGTTTTTTCAATATTTATTGAGAAAAATAATATCCCAGAAGTTAGATATTATTGCAGCATTATACACTTGAGGAAGTGGAGGTCAAGGAAGGGAAGGTCACCCACCCCCACTGGCCCTCAGGGCAGCCAAGGCCATCTGTTTATGCCACCCATCTGCCTAACCTCCATCACTTCCCATTGTCTTCAGCATAGCATCCTCCATCCTGAGCAGCACCCAAAAGGCCATTCTGTGTCTGGCCCCAACTCCCTTTTCATCCTTCTTGCCCATCCATACTGTCTTCCCCACTCCTCTCCATCATCCCTCAAATCCTTTGAGTTTTTCCAAAGAGCCAGGCTCCTGGGTTAGGTCTGGGCTTTCTACAAGTCGGGCACCCCTTTCTCCAGCCTCCCCGGCTAACACCTAGTTTCACCACTTCAGATTTCAGCTCAAATGGTAAAAGCCTTCCAGGTCCCCCGGACAAGTGAGGTCCCCTTGTAAGGTCCCAAGACATCTGGTCCACGTCCCCTTTCTTGGCACACAATGTCTGATTCACCCACTAGACAATAAGATCCATAAGAGTCTAGCACAGCACCTGGCACACAGAAAAGTTTCAATAAATACACTTGTTGTTTTATCTTTTTCTCTCTTCTTCATTTGCTCATCCATCCTTTCACTAGCTGGTTTCATCACTTGTTCATTTATTGTATATCGATGTGCATTTACTAAATCGTGTAACACACTTTCTGTGCATCTTTATAACTTGGCTTTGGAAAGGCCGTGGACTGGGAGTCATGCTGTCCCAGGTCCACATCCCAACCCATCCTCTTACCAGTATTAGTGAACTTGGGTAATTAGGGACTTTCCCCCTCTGACCCTCATCCTCCTTATCTCTAATACGGGGAGCATAAAGCATGCTACCCAGGGTCATTGCCCATAGCCCACCTAAGGCCTTCTATAAATGACTGCTGCTTGTGCCCTGCCTGGTTTGGCTCAGCGGTAGAGCGTCAGCCTGCAGTCCAGGGAGGCCCAGGTTCGGTTCCCGCTAAGGGCATGTACCTTGGTTGCAGTTTGTCCCTGGGCCCTGATTGGGTCATGAGGGTGGCAACCACTCGATGTGTCCCTTTCACATCGTGTTTCTCTCTCTCTCTCTCTCTCCCTCCCCACTCTATCTGAACAAAAAATGGAAAGGTGTCCTCAGGTGAGGATTAAAAAAAAAAAAAAAAAGATTGCTACTTGTTCTATTGCTCTGCCAGGCACCGTGGGCAGAGGGGAGTCAGGCCGGCTGTGCACTGGGGAAAGTAAGGCAGAGTACGTGGGAGCTGACTTGATTCCAGCAAGCAGTTCGTGCACAGCTGAGCGTCCTGCCTCAGAAGCAGGACGAGCTCCCTCATCAGCAGCACCAGAAGCAATTTTACCCTGAAGCTAGTTAAATTAAAAATTCCACAGCTCCTTGCTTGCACAGTCCCTTCACAAAGGGACTGCACTAAATTTTGGGTTCACAGTTTTGTCTTCTTTTTCTTAAAGAGGAACCTCAAAATTATTTTAAAAAAAAAACTCCAGACTCCATAAAACCCTGGATCTTCCCTTATCACCCCTTCCACCTACGTATACTGCACGTGCACACACGCACACACACGCACACACACACATGCACACAGTATAGTTATCAAAGAGAGTCATTTTCAACCTAGAATAATATGAGTCAGCTCCAGCCTAGGAAGCAGGGAATGAGGTTTTGGAAAGCCTCGCTGATCTGGGCTGTGGAGGAGAGTGATTTATATCCTCTGACACAGCAGGTTCACAATACCAGGTCACTGGGCAGAAAACCACAGATCTCAACCCTGCTGACACCCCCTTCTATGAGAAAAGAGTAGATCTCCCCCCCACCCACTTTCTCCTGTTCCTTCGACCCTCTTCCATCCTGTAACAGACAAGCAGACTTCAGAGCTGCCTGACAATGCCTGACACAGCCTACCTCTATCCTCCATTAAAGGGCTGTTGTGTGCCCTGGCCAGGGTGGTTCAGTGGGTTGGAGCATCATACCATGCACCAGAAGGTGGTGGTTTGAATCCCAGTCATGGAGGCAACCACAACTGATCAATATTTCTCTCTCACGTCCTGGCCAGTTTGGCTCAGCGGTTAGAGCATTGGCCTAAGGACCAAAGAGTTGCGGGTTTGATTCTGGTCAAGGGCACGTACCTCAGTTTTGGTTCAGTCCCTGGCCTTGGTTAGGGCCATGCAGGAGGCAACCAATCGATGTGTCTCTCTCACATGGATGTTTTTTTGTTTTGTTTTTTATCTTTACCTGAGGACATTTTTCCATTCTTTATTCAAACAGAGGGAGGGAGAGAGAGGAAGAGAGAGAGAGAGAAACATCAACATGAAAGGGACACATTGAGTGACTGCCTCCCGCACGACCCAACCAGGGCTGGGGACAAACTGCAACCGAGGTACATGCCCTTAGCGGGAACCGAACCTGGGTCTCTCTGGACCGCAGGGTGACGCTCTAACCACTGAGCCAAACCGGCCAGGGCTTGATGTTCTCTCTCTCTTCTCCTCTCTCCTCTCTCCTCTCTCCTCTCTCCTCTCTCTCCTCTCTCTCCTCTCTCTCCTCTCTCTCCTCTCTCTCCTCTCTCTCCTCTCTCTCTCCTCTCTCTCCTCTCTCTCCTCTCTCTCCTCTCTCTCCTCTCTCTCCTCTCTCTCCTCTCTCCTCTCTCTCCTCTCTCCTCTCTCCTCTCTCCTCTCTCCTCTCTCCTCTCTCCTCTCTCCTCTCTCCTCTCTCCTCTCCTCTCCTCTCCTCTCTCCTCTCTCCTCTCTCCTCTCTCCTCTCTTCCTCCCTCCCACTCTATCTGAAGATGAATGGAAAAGTATCCTCGGGTAAGGATTAAAAATAGATATAGATATATCCCTTCCTCTCTGTAAAAAATTATTTTTTTAAAAAAAAGGCTATTATATATTGAAAAGAGCAATGGTTCTTGAGGCCTTGGGTGGGACCCAGGGGAACTAAAGGAACTCACTACTATTTTGACAGCCACATGCTACCTTTTGGGCTTTGCTCCAAAGCCCCAGGGCCTCAAATAGGGAGGGTCGAAGCGGGCCATGAACGAGCCAGTCCTATCCAAGACAGAGAATCATTGACCGAGTGCCATGTCTCTCCACCTCAGTGAGCCCTCCAGCCCCTTGTCGGTGCCCTCAGGAGGCGGAGTTATCAGTGGACCTTCCGGTCCCTCGCTGAGACACGTTTATCCGATGCATGGGCCCGGAATGTGTTAGGCACTCATATGAGGATGTGTGCACACACACATCTGGGATTAGCACACCTCAGATCTAGAAAAGCCAAACCAGAACTTGCCATCTTTTCCCCAAATTGGACCCTTCTATTCTCTTCCAGGAAAGAAACTGGCACCACTATCCAAGCCAGAAACAGTATCATCCATGACAGCTCTCTTCATCACTTGCTGCATCCAATTTTAGCCAAGTTCTGCTAATTCTGGCTCCAGAAAAGTTCCTAAATAGCTTCCAATGTCTCCATCACTACCAGACTCTAGCGAAGCCCCGTTGCCTTGAGGCTGGGTTTTGAAATCGCCCTTGGGACAATGGTCTCAAATTGAGCTGCAAAGATCTCCCTTTAAAATTTCACTCAACACAAATTGGTAGTTACAAAATAGTCACAGGATGTAAAGCATAGAGAATATAGTCAATAACATGGTGATAACTGTGCACGGTGCAGTTGGGGACTGGAAATACTGAGGGGAACACTATGTAAAGTACATGATTAACTAACCAGTAAAATAAATTTTTTTTAAAGTTGCATTTAACAGTGTAGTATTGGCATAGGAGTAGATATATAGACCAATGGAATAGAATTAAGAGTCTAGAAATAGCCCAGCCAGTGTGGCTCAGTGGTTGAGTGTCTACCCATACAGCAAGGGGTCACCAGTTCAATTCCCAGTCAGGGCACATGCCCAGGTTGTGGGCCAAATCCCCAGTGTGGTGCATGCAGGAGGCAGCCAATCGATGTTCTCTCTCATCAATGTTTCTATCTCTCTCTCCCTCTTCCTTCCTCTCTCTCTAAAATCAATAAAGAAAAAGAAAAAACTGCCCCACTTAAAAAAAAGTCTAGAAATAAGTCCACACAACGATGGTCAATTGATTTTTTTATAAGCATACCAACTCCATTCAATGGGGAAGAAATAGTCTAGTCAACAAATGGTGATGAGACAACTGGATATCCAAAAGAATAAAACTGGACCCCTGGCTC